AAAACAGACATTGTATTAATAGCAGATTTAGGGCAAAGGCAGCAGGAAAGAATCTATTTAAGTGAATCAGGAATTCTATTTAGATTGTTTTTAAAAAAAAGTGGAATACAAATGAATGAAGTTGAATAAAATAGAAATCTTGGAGTGCATCATATGCGTTAAGTATTAATATTGTTTTATAAAATTACCTTTTCTGCTGCATATATGTATTATATATTTATGTTGTGACTGGCTCATAATGTATCATGTAGCTGTTACAGTGGATAGTGGCAAAAATAAGTTTGAAAAAATTTGTTTAAGATATAGCCTCGGGGAAGCCTACTCTGAGGAAGACGTTACATGATTATCACTGAATTGATGGACTTAATATTTTATTTTTGTTAACTAGTGAAATTTAAGGCTCATGTTTGTACTTGTAAAATGAAACAATAAAAATTAAAATGAACTTTTTATTAAAGGAAGCAAAAGTACTATGAGTTGCTCTTTTCAAATATTAATTTTACTGTTCTTAATAGCAATATGTCTGAAGTTGTAAATGTTAGTTAATAGTAGTAGGTCATTAATAAGCCTCTTCAGAACTTATTGGCAGTAATAAAACGTGCTTCCTATGTTGCAGAAATAGTCCTTCCCTTTTCCAGAGTAGTCACCTTTGCTTTCAACCTCATCCCATTCATAAGCAACTCTCATGTAGTGAGGAAGCTGGCATTAAAAACAAGCACAAGCATTAGAACACGCAAGTTAGATTTAGTTCCCACGTTTTCTGCTTATTCTCAAATATTTAATAAAAATCACCATATTAACCCCTGCAGCAATTAAAAAACAAAGGCGGCGACACAACTTGTAAGCCATTGAACACATTCACTTTTGCATATTTACTTGGTTTAACTCAGCTGGATCAGTTGTGAAAAAACATACAGCAAGTAAAGAGCCCTGTACTTTCCAGAAAAGACTTCCAGTTTGAGCTTGAGATGGTTTTGAAAACAAAACAAATTTGTTCTCTAAGTACATGGCCTGGCATTTTTTTTTTACCAGATTTAAGAAGCTCTGGGATGGACTTTTTTTGGGGGGGGAGGGGGAGGTGGACATCGTTTTGACATTTTCTCTAATACATCTGTGGAATCCAAAACATTTTTAACTTGCTTAGGGGACTGTCTAAAGTTAGAAACATGCTTTCAATAGAATACTCAGTGTCCATATACATGTTTTTCAATGTTTATATTAATAGCTACAAGGCTATGTATATTCAAGACATTAGCAACAGGGTGCTCACCAAAATGGAACAAGGATAGTTCGGATAGTTCCTTTTCACTGTACACCTATGGCAAATACCACTGGTTAGCTGTCAACACCCATTCCAATCCAGTTTTTCTTTTGCCTTCTTCTCTATAGACCTAAAAAGCTAAAAAACTTACCTTTCCAACAGTCCCTTGTGGCCAAGGGTGGCCATGAGATGTTGGCAGTACTTCTCTACATTTAGACCTTTGCCCACTGGCCTTCCCTCTTCCTTCTTTCCTTGGAGGTCCAGCAGCCTTGGGGACAAAATCCACACCGGATGGGTGGTGGAGCAGAAGAAAACCGGTTCCTTAGGTAGCTTGCCAGTCTCACACTACTGCTGAAATCCTAGTTATGTGAGAAAAATAACTCTCCCAACATATCGAATCCTTTGCTTACCAGAAGTGATGCAAAGCTGAAAGTAATCATTAATTTCTTAAATTTTTTAATAGTTCAAGAAATTCCTGTTTGGATTTTTTACTACCTAAATCTTTAGATTACCAAAAAACTATTCGAGTCTTTTTCTTGACAAAGAAATATAAGGTCATCTACAGTGGCAGAAAATGTGGCTTTTGTAATATTCTCATATAAACACCTGACAGAGTGGTTACTGCCTGGGCCAGCAGCCAATTGAGTTGGTCACATGCCAGGAGCCCCTGCAGTCACCTGGACCCTTCTGCCAGAAGAGCCACCTTTGCTTTATTTAACAATCTTTGGACTTTAGATGTAAAACTACAGCCCTACCGTGTGAACTCTGGTGGGAAGAACTCTAGAGACATCAACTTATCAGACAGTTTCCATTTCATTCAAGATGGCATAACATTAATACACCAGCACCTGAAATCATCTGAGTTGGTGACAACTAATGTGCCTTGACATTCACCAGGCAGCTAAGAGATTTTTTAATTAATATTTTGAACTCTTTGATATAATGCCCCCTAGTGGTTTTCAATGGAAAAAAGTGCAAACTTAATGTATCCGCCTTCTTGGTTGCAAACAGAACCCATTCCGGCTGGAATAAGCATAAAAAGGATATATTAAGCATATCATCAGCTCCACTTGTAGCCCAAAAGTGAAAATAAAAAAGTCATCCATTCCTCAAAACACCTCACTGCCACTGAAGTGCATTAATATTTCCAACTGTTATAAATATGTGCTGATTGTGAATGTGAGTGGTGCCCCTCTGAAGTTGTGCAGTGTATTCATACAGCCTGCACCACCCGGATGTAGCCCTGAATAGTAAGTGGCTTATGTAATTTCTGGAAGTGTGTGAGAGTCAAGCTTGGAAGCCACGTAGTCATGAAACACTACCAAATTATATTGCAGATTTGCTCTATGGGAGACCTAGAGTCACTCACTGCTGCTGGGCACAGACACCACATCTGTTTGATAAGGTCTGGGTCACTTCAATACATCCCAGCTGCAAGAGATGCTAGGGAAGCAAGTTTTGGATTCTTCTTCTTAGAGAGGTCCTGATTCATAAAGTTGGAAATCCCCAAATTTAGTAAGGGTGTTTGTGATGGCTAATTTTAATGTGTTAACTTAACTGGGCTAAGGGATACCTAGGTAGATGGTAAAATATTATTTATGGGTGTGTCTGAGAGGGTGTTTTAGGAAGATATTAGCATTACTCTTCCGAATCTTTTCAATCAGTAGATTGAGTAAAGCGGACCATCTTCCCCGATGTTGGGTGGGCATTATCCAATTTGTTGAGAGCCTTAAAGAACAAGAAAACAGAGGAAGGTGAATTTGCTCTCTACTTGAGCGGGGCTATCCATCTTCTCCTGTCCTTGGACATTAGCACTCCTAAGAGGCCTTTGGGTTCAGATGGGGACTTACACCATTGGTTCCTCCTGTTCTTGGGCCTTCAAGCTTGGACTGGGTTACACCACTGGCTTTCCTGGGCCTCCAGTTTGTAGACAGCAGATAGATTGTGGAACTACTCAGCTTCCATAATTGCATGAGCCAATCCCTCATGATGACTCTCTAGCCCCACTCCCTTGCCCCGTGTGTATATTATGTAGGTATAGATGTGTATCTCTTATTGGTTTTGTTTCTCTCAAGAATCCTAATAGAGTGTTCAAAGGCTTTAGGGATCATCCAAAAAGCAAGACAAATGACAAATGTCCACCAGAGCTTGTAAATATTGTGTTTATCAAACCCTTCTCTCCTTGGCAAAGCTTCTTTTAAACTTCTTAGTGTCCTCTTCTCATTATCATAAACTTCTAGCTTCTTCTAAAGTCCTTCTAAATTAGTGAATTCTCCTCACTGGGAGTCGAGGGACATTTTTCCTCACTGTTACTGCCACTGCCACCCATCCGATACATTAAACAACAACTCCCATTCCCACCTCCCCCAGCTCCTGGCAGCCACCATTCTTTCTGTGCCTACGATATGGACTTCTCTAGATTTCCCGTATAAATGGAATCAAACAGTATTTGTCTTTTTGTGACTAGCTTATTCCACTAAACACAATGTCCTCAAGGCTCATCCATGTTGTAGTATGTGTCAGAATTTCCTTCCTTTTTAAGGGTGAAAAATATTCCACTGTGTGTAGATGCTACATTATTCTTATCCATTCATCCAAAGAGGGATACTTGGGTTGCCTCTACCTCTTGGCTATTGGGTATCATGGGGCTATGAGCATGGTTACAAACATGAAAAGTGATTTTTTTTAGTTACCGTGTGGAGGATGGATTATAGAGGAGAAATAATGAAACAGGAAGACCAGATAGGGTGTGTTGGAACATGCTCATTGCCAGGTTTTAAGACCCAGCTCCAATGCCACCTGGTTTTAGACGTCTTCCTGCTTTCCGCAAGCAGAACCAGTCTCTCTTTCCTAATCCACGCTGTTTCCTTAGACAGGCAGAGCATTTATGCAGATTTCCCTCCCCGTGGACGGTGAGTCCCTGGGGGGTCCCTTGGCAGGCTCCAGCCGGGCACTACCACCAATCCTCCGAGAGGAATGGGTGTAGGGAGAGCCTTTTGAAGCCTCTGTGGGTACAGGCTGTCTCTCAGCTACCTGGGGTCTCTGGGGAACGTATGTTTGACTTTCTATTCCCGGTAATATAAGTAATAAATGTTTATGGATGTTTGAAGCGGGAATGAAAGCGTTTCTATTCATGCCGCTAGAATCTGTGAGGCCTTTGCTTTCTTTTTTTCAAACCAAGAGCCCACAGCAAACTTGGGTTCCTTGGCTGGGGAAAGGAATGTAAAGTGAGGAGCAAGGTTTCATCAGGCTCGAGCTGGGGGCTGGCAAGACTGGAGAGGACCAGAAGGCAGAGCCGGGGGCCCTCGGAGGGGGCCTGGGGCGCAGCCCCTGGGGTGGGGTGGGGGAGTGAGAGTCTGGCAGGCTGTGGCCCTGGGTAGGTAACCCCCCACCCCACCCCGGGTTTCACAGGGAGGCCAGAGTGGCGAGAGCCCCCCGGCCAGGCCAGGAGGCACCCAGCCCAGCCCACCGGCCGCGGCCGGCTCGGGGCGCGCGGCAGGGGCGGGCGGTGACCACCGCGCCGCTGGCCGCCTCGCCCAGACATTCCGCTTCTGCCACTGGAATGCGCGGACAAGGCTCCTTGTTGGCTTCGAGCAGGGCTCTCGGGAGGGAGCCTGGCGCTGATGGCCCCGGGGCGGGGCGGGGCGGGGCCCGAGGCCGCGGGACCTTTAAATCGGCCGCCCCGGCGCACGCTCCAGGCCCCCGACGGACTAGCGACATCGACAGGCCCGCCGAGACCATGCCGCGCCCGGCCCCCACGCGCCACCTCCCGGGACTCCTCCTGCTGCTCTGGCCGCTGCTGCTGCTGCCGCCCCTCGCGGCCCCCGGGCCCCTGGCCCGTCCGGGCTTCCGGAGGCTGGGGACCCGCGGCCCCGGGGGCAGCCCCGGACGCAGTCCCGCTCCCGCGGCTCCCACCCGCGCGCCCCATTCCGGGGCGGGCCAGCCCGGCGGCGCCCGCGGCGCAGGTACCGTCGGGCGGGCGGGGGTGGCCCCAGCCGGAGAGGGATGGATGGGGACGGAGAGGGGCCGCCGAGGGGCGGCCCCGCGGGGGATGGGCGGAGAGCCCGGGCTGGGCCGGGGCGGGGGAAGCGGGCATCGAAGGAGGAGGAAGAGCTGGGGCACCTGCCAAGCGTTCGCTGCATCTCAGCCTCGGGCAACCCGTGGTGTGGGAGAAAGCATCTCCTCTCGGATGAATCCTGCAGGGAAACCGAGGTCCAGAGCAGGGAAGGGGGATGCTCAGGGTCACTCATATGTCCAGGCTAGAAGTTTGGGTCTCCGGAAGCTCACACTCCAGCAACCTCCCCCCGTGGTTTGCACAGCGAGCCGGGAAACGCTGGGGCTGCCTCCCTGCGCTGTCCCAGTCCTGATCTCTCGGTCAGCTGAACGAGCCCCTCCTGAGATTCTGCTTTCGGTTCCCTGGAACTCGAGCCCCTCCTGAGATTCTGCTTTCGGTTCCCTGGAACTCGCTCCAACTCCATCGAGGATGAGCGCATGATCCTTCCTCCCCTCCCCGTAGCCCTCAAGCTGCCCCAGTGAGAGCCAGGATCTGGCCCGGAATTCAGACTGGAAGGTAAGGGTAGGGGCGTGAGACCAGGAGGGAAACCTGAGGCGCCGGAATGCCCCAGGACCTGTCCTGTAACCATCCTGGTCTCAACCCCGTTCTCCTGCCCTTGACCAGATGTTCTGGCGAACTGACTGGGCCCCGCTCCCCAAACTATGCTCTCTTAGAGCATCAAAGACCCAAGGCACTTCTGTTTCCCTTTTTGGCCAGTAATTGGTTCCTGAAGCAGAGCCAAGGTCCTAGCCCAGCAAAGCTGGCTGATCATCTGACACAGCCCCTGGCAGCACACACAGGGCAACTGAAGCTTATCAAAGTAAAAGGACCCAGCAAACCAGTGTCAGAGCCCGGAATAAAACTCAGGGCTCCGAAATCCCAAGCAAGGGCTCTTTCCACTGCAAGCTCAATATAGCTTACACAAATTTTATCTTTATTACCAAAAAGTCCAGCCTCAGTCTAGCTAAAGAAACGTTGCAACTGACCAAACCATTTTCTGGGTGTCCAGTCTCATCTGGCCTTGGGATACATGCCTTGGGTTGATTTGTATTGTTTATCTCCTCTTGCACCTTTCTGGGTATGTTGGGAAGGAGCCCAAGGGACTCTTTCCTGCATCACCCTCAGTATGGCAAAAAGCACTGCCACTGAGACAGGAGGTGCCAGGGTTCACAAGGGTTAGATTCAGCTGGTAGCCAGCTGGTTGCTCCAGGCCAGGAAAGGGGGAAAAGACTTTCTTCTAGAAGTTAACTTTACCTGTAGTGCTGACCCACCTCCCTCGGGGATGGGATGGGAGAGAGAGGAGGGATTCTGCACCAGTTGTCCTTTATTACTTGGAATACAATCCTGATCAGGAACGATAATCCCTTCATAAATGCCACATTCTACCCTTTTCCGGATTCCCTTTTTTTTTTTAGCAACCAGAAATTGCTAAGCTGTGCTATGGCTATTATTTCTAGCAGGGCTATAAGAAATTGGCAATAAAGTAAGTATGGAAATATTTTAGGAGATTTAGATTCTTGCTTTCTTTGTTCTTGAGAATCAAATTGCTACTACCTAATAAATGAGAGTGAGATTCAATACTAACCAATGAGCTGGGCATAGTGTAGTCCCAGCTTCTTGGGAGGCTGATGCAGGAGGATCTCGAGCCTAGGAGTTAAAGTCCAGCCTGGGCAATATGGTGAGACCCCATCTCTAAAAAAAAATAATAATAAAAATAAATAATTAAAACGATGAATGATCATTGCTGAGGGGATACAAATCAGGAAGGAACCAGATCTTCATGGAATTTCCTGCCACCCTAGTGAAGCCTCAGGTATTAGTTTTCTAGTTCTGCTGTAACAAATGACCATGAATGTGGTGGCTTAAAACAATACAGATTTATTGTCTTGAGTTCTGTAGGTCAGAACTCTGACACTGGCCTCACTGGGTTAAAATCGAGGTGTCAGCAGGGCCACATTCTTTACAGGAGGCTTTAGCAGGGAATGCATTTCCTCGCCTTTCCAGCTTGTGCAGGCTGCCCCGTTCCTTAGCTCAAGGCCTTCTTCCTCCATCTTCAGAGCCAGCACAGCAGGTTGAGTCCTTCTCACATTGAATTACTCACACCTCCTCCCTCTGTCTCTCTCTTCCACTTTGAGGGGCCTTTGCAATTACACTGGACTCACTAAATAATCCAAGATAACCACTTCATTGCAAGGTCTTTAATATAATTATGCCTGCGAAGTCTCCTTTGCCATGTAAAGTAACGTTTTCTGGGATTAGGACCTGGACACCTTTGAGGGGGTCATTATTCTGCCTGCCACACCCCCTAAAACCGCCCTGAATAGAGATTCAGTGTGAAGAACCAAGCGGAGAAAGAACCACAAGTCAGGGCTAGATGAGAAAGAAGCTGGTTATTTAAACTTCTTTTTCGAGCCATTCCCCCTTCTCACCCAATACACATGCACACATACACACACATACTTACACACACATACATGCACGCACATATGTACACACACACATACACATGCAACCATGATACTTATAAGGGCACCATTTGGGTGATAGTGAAGGTATAGTCAAGCATCGGGTTCATAATATCACTTTTTTTTCCCTTTTACTCTAATTATGCAAAAAGTCCCTCACCCATCTCCAGGAAGGATTTTCAACACAGTCCTTTTTCCTTTCTCCTGATCCACGGGAATCTCAGGAGATGAAATGAAATTCAGGAGTTGTTTTAAAAAAAGAAAGATTTTTAATTCCTTTTGACTTAACTAAAATACATAACATGCAGCATATTTCAAGGTAGTGGCTCAATGTCAACAAGTAGGATGGTTCCTGGGTACATGAGATAATGTTGGTTTTTGTGGTGGAAAACGTTGCCTCAGACAGGGGTAACTGGGGCGCATAGAAAGCCCCCCAGGGCTGGGAGTCAGGAAACCTGGGGTCCAATCCATGCTCTGCACATTTCTAGCTCTCACACCTCCTCGAACCTCAGGTTTCTCTCCAGTAAAATGGGTATAAAAACAACCTCTGCACACCTGACTTCATAGGGTACTCTGTGATCTCTAAATTGTTACTGAAAGTAAGATGTTACTTATTTTCTTAATTGAATACCTCCAGGCAGTGGGCTGAAACTGAGAGGATAATTTTCGGCTTTTAAAAGAAAATTATACAGAGGCATAATCCCTGTTCCAGATATAGCTTTTTCTCCATAAACTGCTTAGCCTAGGAATTCTTTTTGAATCTACTTTTTTTTCCCTACTCACTGAGTAAATTGCTTTCTTCTAGACCCTTATCCCGAAAGGAAAAAGCCCTGAGTGACACTTCATGCCAAAGGCTCTCCTTTCTATTTAGGGCTGCATATGCATAGTGCGTGTGTGCATGTGTGTGTACGTGTACGTGTGTGTGTGTGTGTGTGTTGGGTGAGAAGGGGGAATGGCTTGAAAAAGCAGTTTAAATAACCAGCTTCTTTCTTATCTTGTCCTAACTTGTGGATTTGATTCTGGTGGCCAGGGTCGGGGGGAGTGCAAGCAGGGTTACGGGAAACAGGAAAGAATAGATGAAAAGCAAACCTTGTTGTGTACCAGGCACTTTTGTGTAGAAAAGAAGTAAGTTCTTTGAGGGTGGGGAATCTGGCTAATTTGCTTTTGTAGCTCCAGGACTTCATACATGTAGGCCCTTAAAAGAATTTGGTGAATGAAGAAGTGAAGGTGAGATGAGCCGGAGAGTTTGATGGGGCAGGAGGATTAGATACCAGGTCACAGTCTCTGCTGCTTAAAACAGCAAGACATGCCAGGTATCAGATTAAGCTGACATCCCTCTTTCCACTTTCAACTAGCTCAGGGCTCTAGTTGGGCCCAAAAGTTCACGAAACAGGGATGAATGACCAGATGGAGGGAGAATTTAGGGCTACCCTGGAGCAGTGTTCACCCCCTTGGAAGTGGAGTGAAAGAAGGAAGCCCAGAGTGCCTTGCCTCAAGTTCTGCCATGGCCTGAGGCCTGGGTGGTATTGTGCAGTGAGGCTGGCCCTGAGGGTTCAGGGCCTTTCACCCTGTTCAGGGGCACTTTGTCCTGTTGCCTCAGATAGACAACATGCCTAAAAAAGGTCTGGGATCTCTTCATTCCTAGGAATTACAAAGAACCTTGAGAGCAAAACCTTAAGCAGAGGGATGACATTCTAAGTGAAATTTCAGGGCTCAGCCAGCCTATAGGAGATGTATTTGGGGGAATGTCACAGCTCTATGTGAATTCTCACTAGACAATTCTGAATGCCTTGGTGCATTCAACACCAGAAGGGCGGATGGTCTTGGAGGAGGTCACAGGCAGTGAGTGTTGGGGTTAGAGGATGGTGCTTGGCCTCCTGGAGTCCCAGGGTTCTCTGGGATTGAGGCTTGTCTTATTTCTGGTTGTGGTCTGATCATCTCTCGGTCTTTTCTGTTCCCCATGCTCTTCTTTGCAGGAGTTTGCAAGAGCAGGCCCTTGGACCTGGTGTTCATCATTGATAGTTCTCGTAGTGTGCGGCCCCTGGAATTCACCAAGGTGAAAACATTTGTCTCCCAGATAATTGACACTCTGGACATCGGGGCGGCCGACACTCGGGTGGCAGTGGTGAACTATGCCAGCACGGTGAAGATCGAGTTCCATCTCCAGACCTACTCAGATAAGCAGTCCCTGAAGCAGGCCGTGGGGCGAATCACACCCTTGTCAACAGGCACCATGTCGGGGCTGGCCATCCAGACGGCAATGGATGAAGCCTTCACTGTGGAGGCGGGAGCTCGAGGGCCCACCTCCAACATCCCTAAGGTGGCCATCATCGTGACAGACGGGAGGCCCCAGGACCAGGTGACCGAGGTGGCGGCTCGGGCCCGGGCTTCTGGCATTGAGCTGTATGCTGTGGGTGTGGATCGCGCGGACATGGAGTCCCTCAAGATGATGGCCAGTGAACCTCTAGACGAGCATGTTTTCTACGTGGAGACCTATGGGGTCATTGAGAAACTTTCCTCTAGATTCCAGGAAACCTTTTGTGGTAAGTTGGTAAATCTTTGCATCCAATGAGAAAGGTTGTTATATTCACACATTTCACACCCAGAAAAAAGACAGTTCTTCTTTTTTGATGTAATTTTTTTTTTTTTTTTTTTGAGACAGAGTCTCACTGTGTCACCCTCGGTAGAGTGCATGCCGTCAGCCTAGCTCACAGCAACCTCAAACGCCTGGGCTCAAACAGTCCTCCTGCCTCAGTCCCCCGAGTATCTGGGATGATGCCACAATGCCTGGCTAATTTTTTCTGTTTTTAGTAGAGACAGGGTCTCGCTCTTGCTCAGGCTGGTCTTGAACTCCTGACCTCAAGCAATCTTCCCGCCTCGGCCTCCCAGAGTGCTAGGATTACAGGCATGAGCCACCTCGCCTGCCCCTTTGGTGGAAATTTTATGGAAAACTTAAATATATGCAATTCCTTTTTGGTGTTTTTTAAAACCAACTTAAACACACTCTGTTGGTTTAGGAATATAGAGCTGCATTATATATAACTTGGTTTGCTCATAAAATCTTCGTGTTTGCATTAGAAATGTGAAGGTCTGCAAATATCCAGGATAAATGATCTTGCTGTTTTCTGATGGGGTCAGAAAAAACAAAACAAAACTCAAGACACCTCTCTTGTCCCCTCTGCCCCACCACTACATATTTTCTTTAGTTTTACCATCTCTAGGTTTAACAGAACTCTGCTTGTTCCATAGATGACATGGAGAGGTGTCTGCCCATGGCTCAACAGGCCTATGTTCCAATGTAACTGTCAGCCCCAGTGTACCTTTGGTGAATACTGACTGTCCTTTTCCAATTCGACTCTTTCTCTGATTATTCTTTGTTGAAGAACAGGATTACAGACCAGGACGAATAGGGTTTCAGCTCCCCTGAGAGAGAGCAAGAAGCTGATTTTTAAAAAATCATTCTGTTACTCTCCTTCTACTCCTTTCTTCCTTTAAGATGGAGTTTGAATATGAACAGGCTAATTTCACTGGAATTTTTAGTATGAATTAGCCAAATCCATGAATACAAATCGATTCAATGCTGGAGTTTACTTTTAGTCATTGATCAGAATTATGATTTGTGGAACTCATGCTTCATTTTTTTTGACCATTTGGAGATAATCTTTTTTTTTTTTTTTTGAGACAAAGTCTCACTCTATTGCTCAGGATGGAGTGCAGTGCATGATCGATCATAGCTCACATCATGGATCGGAGCCCCCGAACTTTTGGGCTCCGGGGATCCTCCCGCCTCGGTCTTCCAGAGTGGTAGGATTACAGGCGTGAGCTAATCCCACAATCCCCTCTGTCGGATTATCCAAGCAAGTGCAGGCAATTTTCTAGTTTGGGTGAATTTTTAAACATAGATACCTTTTGCTATATAATTTATTCCAAATTTATTTATTCGGCATGCACTTATTGATCAGTGATGATACGAAGATAAAGATAGTCCCTCCCTACCATCAAGTAACATTCTGGGGGGGGGGGAGAGTGAGACAAACAAGTGAACCAATAATTACAATTGTAAATTCTAAGGACACTTTATATCTAAATTAACGTGAAACCCAGAAATCACTGGTTTGTCAAGAGAAGGGAGATAAAGTCTTTGGGGCAAAGTCTGGCCTTATTTCAGCCAGACTTGGCTGGGCTCCCCTTGTTTTTCCTGTCCCAAGACAGTGGGCCTTCACAAGCTGTCGTTGGCTTTGGTGGCATCTACTTGGCATTCACTGGTTTCCAAAAAGAAAGTAGCTTTCTTTCTCCCAGGAAACTCCCTCCCCACCCATGCTTGTGGGTGAGGGCTTTTCCATCAAGATGCTGGTCTGTGGCAAAGCTGGATTTCCAAGCTAGCACCTGGGGTTGGGCTTGAAGGCCATAAAGTAACAAGTGGTGAGTGGTAATCTTTTCCTTTTGGTACAAAAGACCTGCTTGTTCTGGGGGGAAAATGCCCTCTCTATGGAAAAAAAGACTGAGGGGTAGCTTGTTGTAGTCAACGGGTTGGAAAGATCACTCCATGAAAAGGCCATTCCTGGGAAAATATTAGCCTTGTCATGTCGCCAAGGGCAATGGAGGCTGGGTTACCTGCCACAGGAGTGCCAGCCTCCTCCAACAGGCCTCCGTGGATTCTCAGAAATGACTACATTTATTGATTCATTTTTCAAGACACACTAGGGAAAAATCCAATGAATGGCTCCAGTGAACAAAATGATGGAGGTATAGTTTAGCAATGATGGAGGTGCTTAGCAATCTCATTTATTTTGTTCTTTCTTTTTTTTTTTTACCTGTGTGTATTAGTGTATGAGTTCATTTTCCTTATATTAGAGGCCCCAGGGTTGCAGACATATATATAATATGTGGGGTCACAAACCCATATTACGTATTCAGAAGGCAGTTACCTGAATTGCCCTCCACCATTTGCATGTTCAAATATGTATCACTGCCCAAGTGAGTGAGTTCCAGGCCTAGAGGCATGCCTGTGTGGGGATTCTGTTCAGACACACACTATAGAGCCCTTGGAAACCAGATTCTGGCTGCAATAAAGCAACTAGCTCATAGCACTTCAGGCACTACTTGGTTGCCGCTCCCATGTTGTGTGATGGGGAAGCAAAAATCTTTTTCACGGGCAGGTGGGTAAGCCAAATACAACATCAACCAAATGAAACATCACTTACGCTTGACCCGTGTAAGTGTTTGGCTTCAGCTCCAAGTTCCAAATTCTCTTTCTCCTTTGAGAAAGTCTACAGCAAGAGCTGTAATGTAAAATTAGCAACATTTCTAGTTTAAGAGTGGTATTTCTAATAAGCCAGAGGCAGAATACAAATAGCCAATTTTTATAGTGAAGTATGGGGAGAATCAGAGGGGCCTGGAGAGTGAGGTCTTTTTGACATGGGAGAAAGCATCAGAAATGTGTCTCCCACGTTGCTGCTGACTGTTGTAAACGTCCTCTGCACAGCTGTGGACCCATGTGTGCTTGGCACACACCAGTGCCAGCATGTCTGCATCAGCGATGGGGATGGCAGACACCACTGCGAGTGTAGCCAAGGATATGCCTTGAATGCTGACAAGAAAACGTGTTCAGGTGAGACTGCTGGGGGGGGGGCATGGCTGATTCAGTTATTCGGGGACTTGCGCTCTTAAGGGTTTGGACTGGCCTCATGCTTTGACTCTCAGACCCCTTTTTATGGTAATTTTTTTTTTTTTTTTGAGCAGAGTCTCACGTGTCACCTCGGTAGAGTGCATGCCGTCAGATAGCTCACAGCAACCTCAAACGCCTGGCTCAACAGTCTCCCTGCCTCAGTCCCCCGAGTATCTGGGATGCCACAATGCCTGGCTAATTTTTTCTGTTTTAGTAGAGACAGGGTCTCGCTCTTGCTCAGGCTGGTCTTGAACTCCTGACTCAAGCAATCTTCCGCCTCGGCCTCCCAGAGTGCTAGGATTACAGGCATGAGCCACCCTTCGCCTGCCCCTTTGTGGAAATTTATGGATATAACTAATATATGCAATTCCTTTTTGGTGTTTTTTAAAACCAACTTAAACACACTCTGTTGGTTTAGAATATAGAGCTGATATTATATAACTTGTTGCTCATAAAATCTTCGTGTTTGCATTAGAAATGTGAAGGTCTGCAATATCCAGGATAATGATCTTGCTGTTTTCTGATGGGGTCAGAAACAAAACAAAACTCAAGACACCTCTCTTGTCCCCTCTGCCCCACCTCTACATATTTTCTTTAGTTTTCCACTCTATGTAACAGAACTCTGCTGTTCCATAGATGACATGGAGAGTGTCTGCCCATGGCTCAACAGGCCTAGTTCCAATGTAACTGTCACCCAGTGTACCTTTGGTGAATACTGACTGTCCTTTTCCAATTGACTCTTTCTCTGATTATTCTTTGTGAAGAACAGGATTACAGACCAGGACGAATAGGGTTTCAGCTCCCCTGAGAGAGAGCAAGAAGCTGATTTTTAAAATTCATTCTGTTACTCTCACTCCTCTTCCTAAGATGGAGTTTGAATATGAACATGCTATTCACTGGAATTTTTGTATGAATTAGCCAAATCCATGAATACAAATCATTCAATGCTGAGTTTACTTTAGTCATTGATCAGAATTATGATTTGTGAACTCATGCTTCATTTTTTTAACCATTTGGAGATAATCTTTTTTTTTTTTTTTTGAACAAAGTCTCACTCTATGCTCAGGATGGAGTGCAGTGCATGATCGATCATAGCCACTATATGATCGAGCCCGAACTTTTGGCTCCGGGATCTCCCGCCTCGTCTTCCAGAGTGGTAGGATACAGGCTGAGCTAATCCCACAATCCCTCTGTCGGATTATCCAAGCAAGTGCAGGCAATTTCTAGTTTGGTGAATTTTAACATAGATACCTTTTGCTATAATTTATTCCAAATTTATTATTCGGCATGCACTTATTGATCAGTGATGATACGAAGGTAAAATAGTCCCTCCCTACCATCAAGTACATTCTGGTGAGAGTGAGACAAACAAGTGAACCAAATATTACAAGTTGTAAATTCTAAGACACTTATATCTAAATTAACGTGAAACCCAGAAATCACGGTGTTTCAAGAGAAGGGAGATAAAGTCTTTGGGAAAGTCTGCCTATTTTCAGCCAGACTTGGCTGGGTCCCTTGTTTTTCTGTCCCAAGACAGTGGCCTCACAGCTGTCGTTGCTTTGGTGGCATCTACTTGCATTCACTGGTTTCCAAAAAGAAAGTAGCTTTCTTCTCCCAGGAAATCCCTCCCACCCATGCTTGTGGGTGAGGGCTTTTCCATCAAGATACTGGTCTGGGCAAAAGCTGGATTTCCAAGCTAGCACCTGGGGTTGGGCTTGAAGGCCATAAAGTAACAAGTGGTGAGTGGTAATCTTTTCCTTTTGGTACAAAAGACCTGCTTGTTCTGGGGGGAAAATGCCCTCTCTATGGAAAAAAAGACTGAGGGGTAGCTTGTTGTAGTCAACGGGTTGGAAAGATCACTCCATGAAAAGGCCATTCCTGGGAAAATATTAGCCTTGTCATGTCGCCAAGGGCAATGGAGGCTGGGTTACCTGCCACAGGAGTGCCAGCCTCCTCCAACAGGCCTCCTTGGATTCTCAGAAATGACTAAATTTATTGATTCATTTTTCAAGACACACTAGGGAAAAATCCAATGAATGGCTCCAGTAGAACAAAATGATGGAGGTGTAGTTTAGCTAATGCAATCTCATTTATTTTGTTCTTTTTTTTTTTTTACCTGTGTGTATTAGTGTATGAGTTCATTTTCCTTATATTAGAGGCCCCAGGGTTGCAGACATATATATAATATGTGGGGTCACGAACCCATATTACGTATTCAGAAGGCAGTTACCTGAATTGCCCTCCACCATTTGCATGTTCAAATATGTATCACTGTCCAAGTGAGTGAGTTCCAGGCCTAGAGGCATGCCTGTGTGGGGATTCTGTTCAGACACACACTATAGAGCCCTTGGAAACCAGATTCTGGCTGCGATAAAGCAACTAGCTCATAGCACTTCAGGCACTACTTGGTTGCCGCTCCCATTTTGTGTGATGGGGAAGCAAAAATCTTTTTCATGGGCAGGTGGGTAAGCCAAATACAACATCAACCAAATAAAACATCACTTACGCTTGACCCGTGTAAGTGTTTGGCTTCAGCTCCAAATTCCAAATTCTCTTTCTCCTTTGAGAAAGTCTACAGCAAGAGCTGTAATGTAAAATTAGCAACATTTCTAGTTTAAGAGTGGTATTTCTAATAAGCCAGAGGCAGAATACAAATAGCCAATTTTTATAGTGAAGTATGGGGAGAATCAGAGGGGCCTGGAGAGTGAGGTCTTTTTGACATGGGAGAAAGCATCAGAAATGTGTCTCCCACGTTGCTGCTGACTGTTGTAAACGTCCTCTGCACAGCTGTGGACCCATGTGTGCTTGGCACACACCAGTGCCAGCATGTCTGCATCAGCGATGGGGATGGCAGACACCACTGCGAGTGTAGCCAAGGATATGCCTTGAATGCTGACAAGAAAACGTGTTCAGGTGAGACTGCTGGGGGGGGGGCATGGCTGATTCAGTTATTCGGGGACTTGCGCTCTTAAGGGTTTGGACTGGCCTCATGCTTTGACTCTCAGACCCCTTTTTATCTAATTGCCTTTTGGCTGGTTTACTGTCGTTCATCAACAATTTTCCTTGAAAAGGAACGTGGGGAGAAAAGTGAGATGATGCATTAATCAATTGATTATAGTACTTATTATTAGTTTTAAAGAAAAGTGTTAGTAGGAGAAAAGGTTAGTTGAGGGGGTCCAAAATTCTTGGTTCCTTTTGAGGAATTGGAATTTTTCCTGGATATTATCTAATTAAATAGAAACTATCCCCTTCCTTTTGATGGTCACAGATGCTCATGGAATCTGGAAGTAGAAGAAAATTGAGAGAGGTCCTCACTCATCTGGTGCATGCACACTAATATAGTCAATGAAGAATGGGAATTAGATTCTTGTTTATTTGTTTAAATCCTAGAAAAAGTTTTTGAGAGGAAGAAAACTTACAGACTGTTTAATTCAGCCTGCTTATTTTGTAAATAATGAAACTGAGACAGAAAGAAGGGAAAAAAGACTTATCCATGTCACGGGGGCTGTTAGAGGGTTAGTTCCCAACTCCCTGCCCAATACCCTTTGCGCCAAGCTATTCTCCTTCCTTGTTTGATTAGCTCTGTGTGTGTGTGTGTGTGTGTGTGTGTGTGTGTGTGTAAGTAGCGTGGCCCATAATTAATTATTCGTTTCTGGCATGCTTTCTATGTATTCACATTTGTCCTGGTCATCTTTCAATAGCTATCGATAAGTGTGCTCTTAACACTCATGGATGTGAGCACGTCTGTGTGAACGACAGAACTGGCTCTTATCATTGTGAGTGCTATGAAGGTTATACCTTGAATGAAGACAGGAAAACTTGCTCAGGTGAGTGGGAGAGGAGTTTTGTCTATTGCCTCTATCCAGGCTTGGAAGGGTGGGTTACGGTGGCTGGGAACTTGGTCTGTTTTCCTTTCTTGCAGTCCTTGAACTTTTCCATTTCTCAGTCTTACCCGAAATGTTAGATATGGCAACATATACCTACCCAAACATGTAAATATGTTGCTCATTTCCTGCTCTGTACGCAGCCCTAACAGCCCTTTCTAAATGCTGTGGACACTTCGGTAAGTTAAAATCACATAGCTCCGCACCGACACTTTATAAGTGGAGAAACCTGGCACATACCGCTTTAACCAAAGGATCAAAGTTAACATCATCAGCGATGACACAGAGTGACATTATGTGTCACCTGACATGATGTACTGAGGGCACAATGGCACAGCTGTGGTACTGTTGCTAAAAATTCAGAATTATGAGGACATATCAGACAAACTCAACCTGAGAAACATTCTCACTTCACAGAATAATTTTCTAGGACTTTAAAAAACTGTCAAAGTCATAAAAGATAAGGAAGGACTGAAGAAATGTCCCAGACTGGAGGAGACTAAGAAGACATGAGACTGTAATGCAATGTGGAATCCTGGACTAGAAAAAGGACATTAATGGAATGATCATCAAAATCTGAATAAAGTTTGTAGATTAGTAAATCATATCATAACAATGTTAATTTCTTGGTTTTGATAATCATGCTATAGCTCTATAAGTTCAAATTTGGGGAAACAGAGTGAAGTACAGGAACTCTTTGCATTGTTCTGCAACCTTTCCATAAGTCTGCAATTATCTCGAAACAAAATGTTTAAAAATGTATCAGTGCAGAGGAAAGTGCACTGAAAGAAAATTTGGGTCTTGAGTTCTTATGCTGTTCTGAATCAATTGGTCTCCCTTGGGCACATTTTTCTCATTATAAAATAGGAGAGAGGTGAACCACAATTTCTTCAAACTCTCTGTTTTTCTGAATCTAGTAATTGGCCACATGACTGTTGGTATCCCTCTGAGTTGGGATAAACACAACGAAGCTAAAAGGAATGCTGAGTATTTATGAGATACTTAGATTATAAAGACTCAATACTGATGATTTTGAAAAGGAATTGGGCAAGATCAGAGAATAATTATGTAGGATTTTATTTAACTCAGTTAATTTCTAGTTAGAACAAACAGTGCCAATGGCTTTGAATAGTTTCCAATAAGTTTTCCTCTCATATATTTCTAGCTGCAAATAAGATTTCTATCTCTAGGTAACACTCTTTTTCCACTTTCTGTTTGTTTTCTCCTGGACTTTTTTTTGACAGCTCAAGATAGATGTGCTTTGGGTACTCATGGGTGTCAGCACCTTTGTGTGAATGACAGAAATGGATCCCATCACTGTGAATGCTATGAGGGCTACGCTCTGAATGCAGATAAAAAAACATGTACCGGTAAGGTCCACTGAACAAATTCTTTATACTTGGCTCTTTCTGTGGCAGGGAAACCAACTTGAAATTCACCAGGAGACTTAAAGATAACTTAAAGAACCAGGGTTCAGACATTCTATCATGCTTATAGGCAAAAGCACACATTGCTCAGAGGGTGGTAAGCTCACTGGATTTTGCAAACATAGATGACTTTAGAAAATTACCAGGAAGTAGGAAGGGAGTGGAGCATATGGGAAAAGCTAATTAAATGTAGGGTCCTTATCCAGGAAAATCTTATAGCTCTGTACATCGGGGACTTTTAAGCAAATAGTAAACTTTAGAGGAAGTCATTTGGACAGTAACTATTTGGGGTGATAGGCTGAACTGATCTTATTCCAGTTAAAGCTTGGTCTAGAATTTTTCTGTAGCATTAATCTTAAAGCTGGATCATGTTAGTAAAGGAGACTTTGTACATGCCTGAATTAGACCCACACAAATCTTCCAGTAAGTATGAAGCAAGTCATTCCCTGACAGTTTCTAGACGATCAATCTTCAGTGAAACCGAGCCTTATGCCTTGGCTAATGGGCCTATGCCAGTATTGCTAATCCTCATTAATTTGATTTAAACTCACTGGCAGGACAGGGTGGCATTTATACATGTAAAAACACTCCTAAGAGAAATTCTGAGCTCTCAAGGTTGTGTTTAGCTTTGGCATATTGAATATGTTTTGGATTATATATATATATATATTTCTCTCTTGAGGAGATATATCATGGGATCATGTCAAGATAGAGGAAGGGAAATGGCCTATCACCAATTCCCTTTTTAAAAAAACGAAATAATAAAAGAGTATTGAGTGCCTACTTTGTTTCCAGGATGTCATTAAACACTGTGAGGATCTAAAGAAGCACAAATTTCTACCTCTTAGCAACTTACAGCCTGGTTGAACAAGAACCAACTCCTCACAAAAGTGGAGACTAAGCCAGGGAGAGGACAGACAGAACTAAGGGCAGTAGACGCGGGGTAGGCAGGCGTCTGGGGAGGACACAGAGTGGTGGTGAAGTGTTAGGTCAAGAAAAGTAGAAATGGCCCTGGCAGAGGACTGGCTTGCGCCTGTTTGTTCAGGGCAGCAGGACTAAGTCAGTCGGGTGGAGAGGGCTCTTCTGCGGCTGCACTTTGCAAACTGGTGACGAGTTTCTCAGTTGGTACTTTAGGCTGCCAGGAATATTGAGGACCTGGGAAAACAAAACAAATAATAAAAAATTCCATTTAAGCTAACAGATATTTTGAATAAAATCAAGCAATTTATGTTTAAAAAGGCCCATAAATCAAAGAAAATTCTCAGTTAGGCAGACTACTCCAGGCAACAGTCCCAGATGATGGTAGCCAACATTCTTCCATGCCTACTATAGGCCATGCATGGTTCTAGGCATTTTAGACACAGTAGTGCCTTGGATCCTTACAGCAACTTTAGGAGGAAACCGGGGCACACACAGATTAAGTAACTTGCCCATAGTTACTTGGCTAGTAAGTAGCAGAGCAAGGATTTGAACTTGGGTACTTGTTCCAGCAGTTACATAGGCGCTAGATGGCAGGAAAGTTAGTATTTATGTATTTCGAAGTAACAATGACTACTATTCTAAAGCTGGGGGTACACGCCAGGAGTCAGACTGCCTTTAATGGACGCTTTTCCCTTTGTTGGTGGTAGGAAGGCTTGATAAATTAAATTCGAAGCTCCAGATCAGGGCCAGGGGCCGGAGTCATGTTCAATTCTTATCTTCAGAGTGGGTACTGAGCTAGGATGAAGGGAAAAATGAAACACTCTATTAGGCATTTTTCTGGAAAAAAAAATCTAAATTGTAGTGATGCAGGGGAATATCCATGATAAAGTTGGAAAGAAAGGCACTTTATGGATAGATTATATAGGGCCTTGCAATTCATGCAAAGTGGTAATATAGGCAAGAATGAGCCATGGGAGGCTTTTGAGTACAGAAGGACATTTAAGAGGAGAGTTAGAGGAGAATAAATAGACTTTGGCCCCTGAAATGGCAGAGGAAGAATGTATGTCTCCCAGGAAGCATTTATGGGCTTATTAAAGAATTGCTGTTTTCATTTGTCCTGGGCCAGTTTGGACAGGACTAGTATGGCACTTTTCTCTGCTCTCCACTCAAATTTGGGCAAAATGTCTCGGTTGTTGAAATGTTATTTGCTTGTGAAAGATAGTACTTTATCCAATCACGCACATCATCATTATCGATATTATTAACATTGTATTATTTCTCTATCTCTGCTTGTGCGTGTGTGCGTGTGTGAGGCAGGGCCTTGGTGGTTATAGTCCTTTTTGTGCAGCATTACGCTTAGCTCCATGTGCAATTAGGTCCCTAATAAATTATTTTTTGTGATGGCGATGACCGTCCATGAATAGCTGGAGATGTTGGAAGCACTGATAGTCAATCGGGAAAGACGGAAGGTAAGTTCTGGAATTTATCAAGGCTCAGTGCCATGGGCAGAAAAAAAGAGAAGACACCCTGAGATATCTGTGAGAGACAAAAAGGAATGGAGTGTATGAGATACACGGTGAGGCTAAAGGGATGTGAGCTGTGGGGAAGGAAAACAGGCTTTCTCCTGCCACGTGGGGCTTGTTGATGACTACTAAAGGGTCATTCCCTACACTCATTGCGTTCGAACTGAAGCTTTTCTCACCTACTTGTTTGTGTTTGGCTTTCTATTTAATGAACGTGTAAATATTTTCTTTCCTGCACCACTTGTGGTCAGTCCGTGACAAGTGTACTCTGGGCTCTCACGGGTGCCAGCACATTTGCGTGAGTGACGGGGCGGCGTCCTACCACTGTGATTGCTTTCCCGGTTACACCCTGAACGAGGACAAGAGGACATGTTCAGGTGAAGATCAGCTCTTTAAAACTATTTCGTTTGGTAGGGAAATCTTTTAGGAGCAAGCTTTTCTTTCTTTGTGTCTAAAGCACAGTTACTATTCTTTCTCCTTCTCAGAATCCTCCAGTAGCTCCCAGTTGTCTGCAGAATAGAATAACTATACTCTTCCCCCAGACAGCCTGCCCTCCACGATCTGATTCTGTTCTCTCTCCCTATCTCTCTCCTTCCTAATTAAAGTCTCCTTGTCTACATTTGTGTGTGTTTTTTTTAATTATGGTAAAATATATATAAAGTGAAATTTACCATTTTAACCATTTTTAAGAGCACAGTTCAGTGGCATTAGATACATTCACATTGTTGTGCAACCATCACCACTATCCATCTGTAGAATTTTTTCATCATCCCACACTAAAACTCTGTACCCATGAAACAATAACTGCCCATCACCCAGCTCCCTAGAGCTTCTGGTAACTACTGTTCTTCATTCTGTCTTTTCTGCTACCTTTGCCCCCAAATTCACTTCTTTTCCCCAGTCCTGTGGTGTACAAGTCTTGCACTTCTTTTAAATTTATTTCTAAGTATTTTATTCTTTTTTGGTGTTATTGTAAATGGATCCATCTCTCAACTTTCAATTTTGTTACATCTCAGTTTTATAATTTTCTATGGAATGTTTTAATTAGAATATCTCACTGAGCCTCTGCCTTCATAGAGCTTAGAGGCTATCAGACAAGACAGGCACTGGACAAGTATCATAAGTACCCATTTTAAACTCTGTATGGGGATGATGGGCATGTAGTTGATATTCAATAGATACTTTCTGGTTTACTGATTAACTAAGATGGGATTTGGGTTGAATGTCCCTAAAAGGTTCAATAGGATTTGGACAGGTGGGTAGATTACATTTAATTAAGTGAATTTATGGTCTCCTGGCTCTGTATTTTATCTTTGTAGAATATTTTCAGAGAAAATATTGCAACAAAGGACCATTCCTTGTCCTCAGGCAATAGTACTACTCAATTGGAAGATTATATACCAGTCTTCAGACCTGGGAAGTTACCTTTATTTCTATTTGCAACTTTAGGGGCTCTGATATTTTTTAGGAATAGCTGCCCCACTGAGTTAGGGGTTACCTTTATCACTTTCTTACATTTGATTAAATGTCAATACAAACCTGAATTTTTAGTTACACAGTATTTATGGGTAAGCGCTAGAACTCTCAATTAAAACCATTCAACAGAATAACAGTCCTGTATAGGATATCCTTTATAGGAACTACCTAGTTTTAATCCTTGAAATAGTCTGGCTATATAAAGGACTGTAATCCTCATTTTTATTTCTTTTCTTTTTTTTTTCTATAATACACATCCCGGAAGACTCATTTTTATTTCTTAATGAGAACATAATATTATAAGAAGACAGTCTTATCTTATATCTGTATCCTTGGCCTCCCCCTACACCATTTATCTTTTTAAAAATTTACTTTATACCATGGATAATTTCTGACGATCACAAAAGTATAGAGAATAACAAGCCCTCATATAACCATCACTCAGCTTTGAAAATTATAAACATTTTCTCAATGTCTCCTAATAGAAATCTTTCTGTGATATTAACATTCCAAAGTTATTTTCTCTTCTGTTTGCTCTTATGTCATTTTACCTCCTGGAAAATGCATTTGGGTAAGTCTTAAAAATGGAAATATTGAATTGTAGATTTCTTGATTTGTTATAATTCCTAGATAACTATGACACTTTGTGTACTGTCATTGTATTCAGCCATTGAAGAAGCACGAAGACTTGTTTCCACTGAAGATGCTTGTGGATGCGAAGCCACACTGGCATTCCAGGATAAGGTCAGCTCATATCTCCAGAGACTGAACACCAAACATATCCTTTCTAGAAGGTTTTCTGCTTCTGCTTGAAGCAAACCTAGGTACTACAATTGAGCCAAACATTTTCAGACATTCCACAGGCAAGTGCCTTATTTGTTAAGTTGTAAGATGAGCAGTAGTAACACATAACTTTTTTTTTAATTTAGAGTTCTTTTTTAATGGTTTAATAGACTGTTTTCACCATTCAATATTTACATGTAAAAGCTGCCTAACTTTTTTTCCCCTAGTGCTTTTTCATAACAGTATATACTCCTAATTGGGCTCTTACATTAACAGATGAAGTGATTATGCTATGATTACTTAATATGGCCTTCTTAGTTCACAATCTGTACATGTACAGAACAAGTTAGCTGATTAACAGGGTATGATATCTCAGATTACACAGAGTCATACACTTTGGCTAGCCAAGTGGTCAGAAAGCAGATTTCAAAATGTAACATGGTACAGTCAACAGAAACTTTGAAAATCAGTTCTTTAGCCAAAGGAGTAACTCAGGAAAAGTACTTTTTCTTAGAATAGCTCAAATTAACAACTCTGTTCTGATGTACCTTAGGGTAGTAGAATTTAGATTGTGGTAAGTATAGCCTAGGAACATGCAGATACTTTTTTTTGGGGGGGGTGTACAATTTTATAGGAATCAATTTCCAAGTCCTTCACTTGCTTAAGATGCTACTTGGAATCTATTGGCATTTCTTTTTCCCATCTCCCATTTCAGAATCACTGTTCTCCTAACTGTACACTATAAAGTTGTACCTCTCATTTACCCTGAATCTACTAAGGTGCATTTCTTAGAAAAGTAGAATCTGAAGAGAGAGCCAAACAAAGGGACAATTCAACAATTCCTTTATTCAAGACTTCATAAACATTGCTCCCCTCATCCATCCCACTAAGAGATGCTTTTCCAATTAAATTTTATATGAGCAAAAATTTTATATGGTCTTATTTGAAGACCACTGCAATGGTCTAATTTTATCATGAGCTCCGAAGAATAGAATTTCTGAGTTTTAGATTAAATTAGGCTTTAGGTGAGAAAACAGTTTTGCTTTTTCTTCACTTTTAGGACATAATTATTTTCTTTTATATTGTACTGAAGTGTTTGAAAGTGTGTTTACATTTTCTAATGAGTAAAAATAAATAGTGTTGGCCTTAACAACTAGCCACTAGATGGCATTTTGAAGAAGTTGCAGATAAATGAATATGGACAAATACATCGTTAAATTGCTCAAATTTCTCACCTGGAAATGAGGACAACCTGGTGCATTTAGCACTCATTCTTTTGTATACTGTATCTCCAGCATTCCTGCAAATAATTTGCTATTACCTGTATAAATGCTTGAAAATTACTGAACAAATAGTATGAGGATCTTCTGGAAAATCAGTATCATTTTTCCAGTATCTTTATTTCTAAGGAAATAAATGTATAGATCCTCATTAAGAGCAAACTTAGTGTCTCTGAGCTATGACTGTGAAACGGTTAGTAGAAAATAGAATGAAAGTTTAATATTTCTTTACTAATTGAGCCATTTAGTTTTTAAATGTTTTTATTCGTAAGATAACCATATTCACAAAGAAAACTTTAGGTCTATTTTCTCTTGATAGTATTTATAATATAAACCAATTATTACTGAGAGTGCAAACTGTACAAATTACGTACATGTATACAAAGTTTATTTAGTTACATTGAGATCAATATAATTTAGAACTGTTTAAAACTTTTTATTTTTTGCTTATTTTTTCTGGAGCATTATTGAAACTGTGATCAAAGGCTTATATGTAATAAACACATCTAAAAATAGTTAACATAGATCAAATGAACATTCCATTCCATTTTTTTTTCCATTCCATTTTTAATTCATTCTGGTCTTAGAAATGTACAACTAAAGAGTATAGTTGCAAATTTAGGTGTTAAACTTTTTACCAAGGACAAAAAATCCTAAGTTTATTTATCATTTTGCTTTAGAATCCAATTGATAAAAGCATATATTTATAAAATTGCTATTAATTGGCTGGGTGCAGTGGCTCACGTCTGTAATCCTAGCACTCTGGGAGGCCGAAGCGGGTGGATTGCTCGAGGTCAGGAGTTCGAAACCAGCCTGAGCAAGAGCAAGACCCCGTCTCTACTATAAATAGAAAGAAATTAATTGGCCAACTAATATATATAGAAAAAATTAGCTGGGCATGGTGGCACATGCCTGTAGTCCAGCTACTCAGGAGGCTGAGGCAGAAGGATTGCTTGAGCCCAGGAGTCTGAGGTTGCTGTGAGCTAGGCTGATGCCACAGCACTCACTCTAGCCTGGGCAACAAAGTGAGACTCTGTCTCAAACAAAAAAAATTGCTATTTATCAACAAAATCTAATGCTGCCTTTTTTATTGTTAATGATAAACCTTTTTTCACTTATATATTTGATACATGTAATTTTTTTTGCCTTTAAAGCTTGTAACTTCTAGGACAAAACAGTCCTTTAAATTGTGTATTACTCAATGTTTTTGGTTTGCATTGTCTTTGATATAATAAAAAAGTTATTATCTTTACATAGTATTGTCATGCCTGTTTTTCTGGTGACTTATCAATTTTGTCTATTAAGCATATTTCCTTAAATTATACTGAATTAACAATTATTTTGAATGTATAATGGTTTCTTGTCAAAGGACAGAATGTTGAGACTCTTCCTATATTTTAATCTCATACTAAAATGTAAAATATAAATTCAGGTTAAATAGGCTTCAATCAAGCATGTGGTAGGAGAGGGAATAATATAAAATTATCTAAATTTAGATAAAATAATGATGAGCTTTACATTAATACAAGCTTCTGAAAAGCAAACATAACCTACAGATAAAATATAAACTTTTTTTTTTAAGGCAAGCACAAAAATAAGGTTTATTGAGGAGAGAAAGATAGGATTATATAGCAAGAGCATGATATAGGTTTACAGAATGTGATACATACAGCACAGGTGGGAAAGGGCACAAAAGGGGCTGGTTATGGTCTCAGTCTTGTTTTATAGTGCCCAGATTGGGACCTCCCTGTGGCTCAGACGAAAATATAAACTTCAAAGAAACAAAAAATAAATACACCAAGTCACACATTATGTGGAAAACACCTATTGTTACTTTTCAAAATTTTTGAAAGTGCATGACACAGAGCTACAGTATTATTTTCTAAACTTATTTGAGCATAGAATTAGTAATACATATTAGTATACCACAAGAAATGGTGGTGTAGAAGGAATAAATGAGAGCTTATTTGCAAGAAAAAGGCGAAAGTATTTAAAAAGAGATGAGTTTTCAAGAGTGAGAAGATAATCAGTAACTAGCTTCAACTAATCATGCCTTGACCAGTTAGTTAACTGGAAGCTCCTGGCTCAGATAATACTAATTTGTTTCATAGTCCAGCACAGGGAGCCTATGAGCAGGTGCCAATGTATCTTAGGTATTTACAGGTTAATGCTGAAAAAAGAGATACACAAACAAATCAAAAGAAACATCTGAATGGGATAAGTGGTAAGTTTGGAAAGAATTCCTCAGAGAGACCTGATTTGTGCTGTTTGCCCTAGGTACAACTGGCCTCTTAAGAGGGTGGGAACATCAGGGAATGTATAAAACAGCCTGGGAAGCAGAGCCAGATGGCATGCTGGGGCGCAGAAAGTGTATTGCCTTGCTTTGAGTGGGGGGCTCCATAGTAAAGACATTTTAAGATTTAGGTAAGATCTTATTTTAGATAGAGTTTAGATTTTATAGGACAGGCACTAGGGACTATTGTCAATTCTAGACTGTGCGGGCAAGGCAAAAGGTAAAGGCAAAAGGCAAGGTAAAAGCATTTGAAGATTTTTTTGCCCGAGATGGGGAAAGACTCCAAGTGGGGAAATTGATTTTTTTGATGCATAAATTACATGCTAGATTACACAAATCAACAGTGGTAGCAGCAGATTATGGTTAAAGGAAAACCAGAAATAAATAAAAAAAATGGGTGAGACCAAATAATTTCATGAGAGTGGTTCTACTTGGATTTCTGTCCTATGCCTTAGATTTTGGGACTTTGTAATTCTCAGGCATTCAAAAAGGACAAAGGAGAATGAAGAAATAAATAAGGCAAAAAAAAAAGAAGAATATAAAACAGTCGACCTCAGGCGAGGAAATCCCAGTTTAAATATTTTAAAGTGGGGGGCAACTGTACGCTGTAACTAACCACAGTTCAAACAAATTACATTAAAACTGTTACCTTGGTGCTGAGGTAACAGTTTAATTAAACTGTTAAAAGAAAATCTCCTACCCTCACATTGCTCCAGAGAGTTCTCTGGTACACAAAGGCAAAAAGGAAGGTTTGAAAGATCTCAAACACACACCTGCACTTTCATTCGGCCTACGGCGCCAGCTTACCAAAAACAGTAAATGATTTTTCCTTTTCAAAAATGTTGGGACTATGGGGCTTACAAAATACCAAATCTCTGTGGCCTCATTTTGAACGGGCATCTCTCCTCCTTAGCCTTATACTGACATCTCCACCGCGACCGCCCAGGTGTGGCGAAGCGGAAGCGACAAGGCAGGACGCTGAGGGGGGCGCACGGCTGGCAGTGGCGGGTCGCCGACTCGCCCCTAATAAAACCCATAAAAGAACTGAGGCCAAGATAGGCCCAGCCGCAGCCCCGACCCAGCGCCCCGCGGCTCCCAGTAGCCCATCGACGTCCGCGCAGGCGCACAACACCCGGAGCGCAGTGCTGGGGCGTCACCGGAAGTATCCTTGGGCGCCCCGGATGCGACCGGGCGGCGGCGGTTGCCAGGGCGACGGGAGCTTCTCGGAGCCTGTGGTAGTCGGTATTGGAGATGTAGAAGCAGTTACCTGCTGCGGGCCTTGACGGCTGTGGCCTTCCCCTTGGAGTTCCCACGATGTTCTTCTACCTGAGCAAGAAAGTGAGTATTCCAGGGGGCAGTCTCGTTCCTCCTCCATCCCTGCAGCCTGCGGGCGATCCCCGCATCCTTCCCGCGAAGCTAGGCGGCTTCAACCCGCCCTGATCGCGGCTTCACCATCCCGCTGCCAACCTTCCCGCCTCGTCCTACCTCGGACCACCTCCTGTGGGTTGCAGAGCTCCGGAGAGTCCTTGGCGGAGCCGGCAGCCCCCTCGCACCCTCTCGCAGCCCTCTCCTTCTCCTGCCCCTGGCTAGGTTCTTTTGGGTGGGCAGCGGGACGGATCATCACGTGCTACCCTATCTTTCCTCCTCCCCCTGTTGTTGATCTAGGTGACTTAAATTCTTTGGATCATCACAGGCTCCTGCAAGAGAAAAGAAATAACAAAAGAGTAGCCTAAGTGTAGTGTAGGGAAAGGGAGTAATGACTGTGGATAAATATTTATACCTCCTCCCCCGCTTACTTTTAAAAATTCCATCAGGCGATTCCCCCGTTAGCATCCTGCTCAGTCACTGCCCTCTTGGGTGCGCTTCTTTCCCAAATGGGAGAGCTCAGGGCAGTTCAGGGAACCATGCCAATTTTCATTGACAGCTCATTTTTTTTTTTTTCTGCAAGGCCATCCGTTTTTCTTCTTGGAAGGTTTTCTTCAGCCTTCATCTCCTGTAGACTTATTTCCCAGCTCCTTCCTGAAAAGTTGCTGGAGTGTCTGTGGTTGCTTTTACAGATTGCCATTCCCAATAACGTGAAGCTGAAATGTGTATCCTGGAACAAGGACCAAGGGTTCATAGCATGTGGTGGTGAAGATGGATTACTGAAAGTTTTGAAATTAGAGACACAGACAGGTAAATGAATGCAAGCCCAGATGTTAGAAATTGGTAGAAAGTTGGCTGGTGTCATTTGTTCAATGAGATTTACTCATGATATTTATCATTATGTAATTCTGATTATTTTAAGAGGGAAAAAAACCCTAAACATTTGGTGGAATTTTTCTGGGAGTATTTGTGCAATGAAGTTCAGAGAATGTTGAATGTAAACATCAGATGGCTTTTGCTGAAGTTATTGATGGAAAATGAAAAAGAATGAAGAATGAAAACTAAGTCACTATGTTGTCTTATGCTATTGTACTACATTATGTCTATTGTACTACATTATTAGAAGTCTAGTACAAATAAACATTTCAGTAAGAAATCTTGGCAGATTATTTATAGGCCTGTATCATCCTTTCTGTTTATCAGGTGTGTTAATGGTTATGTACCTAGTACCCAAGAACAGAAAATGGGATATGTTTAACATTTTTAATCAGTAGGTCTCTTGGCTTTGCAGCTTGATTTCTTTCTTTTTTAGTTCTGTGGAATCACAGCTAACACTGTCACATATCTTTAGCCTCCCTAGTATTGCTCTAGATGGGGGATCTAAATAACCAAATTAGAGTTAGAATCTCAACTCTGCCACAAGACTACTGAATGACTTTCAGCAACTAGGTGAATATCTTTGGATTTTAGTTCATTCTGTTGTAAAATGAAGGGGTTTAAACTATATTACATTTTGGATTCCTTACAGCATTGCTACTCAAATTATACTAGGCATAGTATAATCACTGGAAGAGGTTGTTAAAACGGATTTCTCATTTCCACCCCCAGAGTAGATCTGAGATGGAGCCTGAGAATTTGCATTTCTAGTGATGCTGGGTTGTCGGTCCTTATATCACACTTTGAATAGCACTGCCTTACAACTTTGAATGTGGTATGAATTATAAATACTTATTGAGCATTTTCCATGTACTGGATGTTTAACCTTCACTGTCATTTGACTTCACAATAGTTTTGAGCAGTAGGTATTATAGGTGGGAAAATTGAGGTTCTGACCAGTTAATAGCTAACCCAAGGTTAGACAGCCAGTAAGGGCCAGAGTTAGGATTTGAAACTAAGTTTGTCTCACTTCCAAGTCCTTGTTTTTGACCACTACACAAAGGGCTCATGGACAGCCTAAGCAAAGAAGAGAGTAATTGCTTTAATGTGCTAGATTAATTATAAGAAATAAAAGAGAGGTTTTGGGAGATACTTAAGTAGCAAAGTTTGGCTTCTGATGTTTTGTAGTTTAATCTCTCAATGCTTTAATTTTTAAAATTGTGTTAAAATAATTTTTCTCTGTTATGTTTGTCAAATGTATGTATGTATTTGTGTGTGTATATATATGTGTATATATTTTTTTTTTTTTTAGTATATATAGCAAATTTTATTATACTTGCATTAAGAAATGTGGCTGAGCACAGTGGCTCATGCCTGTAATCCTAGCACTTTGGGAGGCTAAGGCAGGAGGATAGCTTGAAGCCAGAAGTTCATGACCAACTTGAAGCAAAATAGCGAGACCACATTTCTCCAAAAAAATAGAAAAATGAGCGGGTGTGGTGGTGCATGCCTGTAGTCCAGCTACTTGGGAGGCTGAGGTGGGAGGGTTGCTTGAGTCGGTGAGTTTGAGGTTTCAGTGAGCTATGATGATGCCACTGCACTCTAAAAAGAAATGCATTCATTTTGTTTAACATCGAAGACTTCTTTTGTAAACCTATTTCTTTTTCTGCTCTGTGCTTTTGATGAGCTGTGGTTAGAGTATTCTTTGAAATTAGTTAGCAAGATGGGAAATAGATTCTAGAGAAGCTTGGAAAATGGAGTAAATTATTTGTTTTGGAACTTCATAGTTATGAATCATGCTGAAAGAGATAAACATGAGAAATATGGCTGGGAGATTCTGACTAGATTGATATATTGTATTTAATAATAATCATGGTTATACAGCAGATCCCTCCAGTGACAATCACCAGATATTGTGTGCGTGCTTACTATGTATCAAGGACTGTGTTATGCTAAGGATGCAACATTGTATGTACATTGTTTTCTGGCTTAGCTACAATAGTATAGTACAACAGTCCTCAGTCTACATCAATACATCACTCTCTGTGGCATCATTTTTAATGACTATTCACTTTTCTTGCTGCTACTGCCAACGCCTCAGTCCTCTCACAGTCATGAGAGGATATAGAGAGCTCTGAAAGCAAAAGTTTGGATCAGAGAAAAAGTATTCAGGTCCCTGAAAGCCAATGGTAGCTGTCTGCACAGTCCTCTGGGAACTGCAGGTAGCTAGAATGCCTCAATCTTCCAAGGTGCCCACGGCAACAAGATTGACCAGAAATATAAGGTCAGGTGTCCATAGCTGTACCCGGGGATGTGTACATAGTCCTTTGCAGTCAGTCATTCACACAGAGAAGTGAGGCAGCCAGCTGAATCTGCCAGAGAGTCTGGAGAACATGGTAGCATCTCCTTAGAGTTCTATTATCTTTTCAAGTGTTGCAAAAAGTCTTCTATATATTTTCATTCCAGGTTTCAAACTTACTGTGCAGCATATAACAGGAATTTCTTTTGGAATTGGGCTACTAACAACTTTTATGGATGCAAACAACAGCATTATCAGTCAATTTTTTTCTAAGGGAAAGATTCCAAAGATTTAGTGTGCTTGGTTACTGGTATTATTTGCAAGATCTTCTGTTCTCCTATACTATACTTTTTATTCTGAGTTACTTTATTACCCTTAATCTTTAAAAATCCTTCTTTGGACTTTTCATGGACTTTGGATTTTTGGACTTACTGATTTTATTCTGAAATTCCTCTTCATGAGTTTGAAATGCTTTGTTTTATTGGTGCCTTCTTTCAGCAGGCTTTTTAAATCCAAGGGTTACTGGTATGAGCTTTTAGAAGACTTAGTATGACCAGATTTCTGTTCCCATACTGGTTTGGTTTTATTACCTTATTGGCTCTGTGGAATCTAGTAATGTAACTCTGGAATCTTGGGATATTGCTGACTTTATTCTACCTTATTTAAAGCTTTTGGCCTTTTTATGGATATCTGAGAACTTTCAGATGGGTTTTATGAATATTTTTGCATGATCAAGTTATGGAGTTGCTGCCAGCAAGAGACATGTTCATATGTGGATGATATTTGTTCAGTATGTCAAGCTGAATTTAATTTTTTTTTTTTACTAACACAGAAATTCTTTTGAGAATCAAACTAAATTTCAAAGCCTATTCTTCTTATATATCAGCACATATTTTGTTAAGAGTACCTTACCTTATGGTTTAACAGAGAGAAAACATGTCTACCATGCAGAACTGTGATTTCAGACCATATAAACAAAAGACAGAACTATTAATACTTCATCACATATTCAGATATGTTAGGTCTTGTAAACCTTTTGGATTACATATCACTGATTTTACTTGATTATAGCTACTATTGCTAAAGGCATTAGAATGGATTTTTCAGAGCTAGAAGTTAAGAAAAGTGTTTCCATCAAATGTTTTAGATTAGTATTTTTAGAATATTTTTAGAATAAAGTTTAAGTGTGTTGTACAGTTTTTAAAAAATGAGTGAAAGAACCTCATGTTAAAAAATTCATGTTCAACCTAATGTATATGTCAACAGCATTCATTCTATGTTAGTTGCTTGACAGATTATTGCAGTGTTAAACTGTACATGTGTATTTCTCTATTACCAAAACAGCAATTGGATAATTAGAACTGGTGGTTTTTAGAGGAATTCTGGTATTTTTTTCCTGACAGAATAAAGACTATTTTTTGTGATATTTTAAGGTACTTATTGTCAGAAAGTTGAGCTTTCTTTAGCATTGACTTTTTTTTTTTGAGACAGAGTCTCGCTTTGTTGCCCAGGCTAGAGTGAGTGCAATGGTGTCAGCCTAGCTCATAGCAACCTCAAACTCCTGGGCTTAAGCAATCCTTCTGCCTCAGCCTCCGGAGTAGCTGGGACTACAGGCATTCGCCACCATGCCTGGCTAATTGTTTCTATATATATTAGTTGGCCAATTAGTTTCTTTCTATTTGAGATGGGGTCTCGCTCTTGCTCAGGCTGGTTTCAAACTCCTGACCTGGAGCAATCCGCCTGCCTTGGCCTCCCAGAGTGCTAGGATTACAGGCATGAGCCATTGCACCCAGCCAGCATTGACTTTTGTAATTCCTATTCTCACAAACTCTTAAGATTTTTATAAAATTTATATTTTTAAATGAAAGTCTTAAATATTATTTTTTACATGTTAACAATCAGATTTTCTAAGTGAAGATTAATTTATTGAGATGGCATTTTAATATTATTCTCTGTAGGATGATTTGTAATCAAGGAGACTAAATAAATTTTTGTAGTTTGGATAAAATCTAAAATTCTTATTATTTCCTCCAAAGACTTCATAATTTTCCCTATGACTATTACTCTGGCCTCATATTAGGCCATTTCCCCCTTGTTCATCCATGTAGGCCTTCTTGCCATTTGTGAAAGGCCCTAAACATCTACTTCAGAGCCTTTGTGTTTGTCTTTCGTAGCTTGGAATACTCCTTCTCTTTCCCTACCTCACCTGACCATCTCTAGTTTATCCCTCAGTCTCAGCTTAAATAGCATTTCTTCAGAAAGTCTTCTCTGCTTCCCTCACCAGTCTAATTTAAGCTCCTTTGTTACTACTGTATCTTACCACAAGCTTTCCAAGGGGAAAGAGGAAATGACTGTTTTGTTCATCATTTTTTTTTAGCCAGAACCTTTATAGTGTATAGCACAGTATACACATTCAATAAATATTTGTTGAATGAATGAATAAGTTAATGAGTGAATATGAGATTCTCAAAAATCGAGTAAAAACCCATTTCCAAAGTCTTTGCTATTTGATCACTCAAACTGTAGTGGTTTTAATCTGTAAAACATAAACATTTCTTTCTTTCTTTTTTCTTTTTTTTTTTTGAGGTGGGGTCTTGCTGTATCGTTCAGCCTGGTCTCAAACCCCAGGGCTCAAGTTATTGATCCTCCTTTTGCCTCAGCCTCCTGAGTAGCTGGGACATAATTATTTTTATTTGTGATCTTTTGGGAAGGAATAAGTAGCAGTGATGATTATTAATATATTCAATACATGAGTAAATAGTGTTCTTTTATACATTTTGCTTCATTTTACCAGAATAATATCTTTGCAAGGGATATGTATTATTATTATTATTTATTTATTTATTATTTTTTTTGAGACAGAGTCTCACTCTGTTGCCCAGTCTAGAGTGAGTGCTGTGGCATCAGCCTAGCTCACAGCAAGCTCCTGGGCTCAATGAATCCTTCTGCCTCACCCTCCCGAGTAGCTGGGACTACAGGCATGCGCCACCATGCCTGGCTCAGTTTTGGTATATATTTTTAGTTGGCCCATTAATTTCTTTCTATTTTTGGTAGAGACGGGTCTCACTCTTGCTCAGGCTGGTCTCGAACTCCTGACCTCGAGCAATCCGCCCTCGGCCTCCCAGAGTGCTAGGATTACAGGCGTGAGCCAGCGTGCCCGGCCGGGATATGTGTTATTGGTTCATGTTTGTACCATGAGAAAAATAGATCAGAATGAGGCATATTTAAAATTTTTTTAATACCTGCCAGGAATACAGAAAAACCCAAGGAATGTTAAAAATCTTATAATCTTGCTCTTTTATGTGTTTATCATAGTAATTTGTTTTTTTTTTTTAAGATGATACAAAATTGAGGGGTCTTGCAGCCCCTAGTAGCCTTTCTATGAATCAGAATCTTGAAGGTCATAGTGGTAAGTCACGTAATTTCTTTTAAATTATGTTTGAATGGCATTTAGGCATTTAGAAAACATCTACTTAATGCAGAAATGTCAACATTTTAAATAATGATAATATTTAAAGTACAGATGCTCCTTGACTTATATGATGGGGTTATATCCCAATAAACCCATTGTAAGTTGAAAATATTGTAAGTTGAAAATGCATTTAATACATCCAACCTACTGAGCATCATAGCTTAGCCTAGCTTACCTTAAGTATGTAAGAATACTTATGTTAGCCTATAGTTGGGCAAAATCATCTGACACAAAGCCTATTTTATCATAAAGTATGAAACATCTCATATTATTTATTGAATTCTCTACTGAAAGTGAGAAACAGAATGGTTGCCAAGGGTACATGAAGTACGGTTTCTACTGAATGTGCATTTTATACACATCATCATAAAGTCAAACTATCCTAAGTTGAGGACTGTTTGTAATCATTTCTATTGAGTTAACATGACCTAGAGTCATTCAACAACTTTAACAGGATTAAACAACATCTTAAATAAATCTGAAAAAAAGTAGCTTTTATTTCATATATTAAAAAATACTGTTTTCTTTAATCTGAAATCATAGGACAGATTCTAAAAAAGGATTATATATATATAATATATATAATTCTATATATAGTTCTTATATATAGAACTTCTATATATAGTTCTTATATATAGAAGTTCTATATATAGTCCTTTTTTAGAATCTGTCCTATGATTTCAGATTAAAGAAGACTAAAGAGATATAACAATTGATTGCACCATGTGATCCTAGATTGGATCTTGGAATAAGAAAAACAAGTATCTATAAAATGACATTATTTGGACAACTGATAAAATTTGAATACAGACTATGAGTTAGATAATAATATTGTATCAGTGTTAAATTTCCTAATTTGTAATATGGTTATGAAAGAGAATGTCTTTATTCTTAGGAAATATACATTAAGGTATTTAGGGATAAAAAATGATAAGAAATCTATTATTTATATAACTAAGAGGTTTAAGATATACTTAAGACTGTGTTACTAATGGAATGGAAAATAGTGGGAGGAAGGAGAGAGATTATGGGACATATCACCAAATAATAACAAGAAACCCAAAATACCAAGTACTTAGGTATGTTGTCCTTTGGACATCATTGTTTTGGGGAGTAAGGCCAATTGGGTAAATCATGCTTACATTTGTTTCTTGTCATCAGATATACGGCAGCTCTTGGAACTGGCCATGATAGGCACCTTTGCTGGCATGAAATATAGGGATAGATAATGAAAAATAGCATTATGCATTGTTATAGAAAATTAGCGATGTTAATAACTGTGTCCTATGAATATTTTTAAGTAATATTGAAGACTGGTTAGTTGCATAGGAACTGTATTGATTTTATTGTGCTCTTGGTGTTTATGTATATAAAAATATAAATTTGAAATTAATTGTAGCCCTTTTAAAGTATCTAAATTGTTTCGTAATGTTCTAGGTTCTGTTCAAGTTGTAATATGGAATGAACAGTATCAGAAGTTGACTACCAGTGATCAAAATGGACTTATCATTGTGTGGATGTTATATAAAGGTATGCTAGGAGAGCTTATTTAATCTTTCACATATTGGACTCTAGAACACAGTATTTGGATGGGAAAATAACATCTCCAAAATAGACTCCTTTTACCTAGCAACAGGAATTCAGCCTGACTGCACAGCGATGACATTTCTGGATTTATTGCTGCCTGCTTTTCACTTTGAATTGTGACCTTGTATTAAGAAAGTGAATTAAGTGACTGTTGGTTATCTCCAAAATGAACTTAGACTCTTAGCAAAAGAATAGTTTCTACTTGAGATAGCTCTTCCCCCTGCCCTCAGATTTCCAATAAGAATTAGTTCCTATGTGGTCATTGGCTAGAGTTAGCTCAGTAGATAAAAACACATTTAGTAAGAAGTCAAAGGCAATAGTTCATTTCCTGTATATGGCAGTTAGCTTCCTTTTCTTTCATGGATACAGATTTTATCTTAGCTCTGACTAAGTGGCTCATAATTTGTGCCTCTTGTCCACAAGAGAGTACTTGAGAGAGGGTGAGGGAAGGATTAACTTTGATGTATCGCTTTTATCAGAAAAACAACTCATAATAATACATATTCTCCTGAGGCTGGCCTTAGCCATTATCTTCAAAAGGGATACTTTAGTTCATGTGTGCTGTTTTAAAAAGGTTCAGGGTATACCATTTGATAATTCTTCATTAAAAAATATACTGTAATACTTGAATTTTTAAAAATGTTTGTGTGTGTGTACGTATAGGGGGTAGAATGTGAAAATATAACAGATTGGAGTAAACATTATTTGTTACTAAGATAATTCTTCTTTGAGCTTCAGTCCTGATTTTAATACCCTACTATGACTAGTTATTCCAAATTACAGTAGTATTTGCTTGGCTGTAGGCCAGACTTCTTTATATCAGAGTATAGTAAAAAGCCTTTTAAGAAAAACAAAAACAAAATAGCCTGGTTTTTGCCTTTACTTTGGTTATACTACAAGACAAGTCACATCTCACTCCAACCCTGCATATAACTAGAATGTTAGTGATGTGATATCACTAATGTAATAGGAACTTTCAAAGAATTTTTTCAAGCACACTTAAACTAACATGCTATATTTAATATGTATGTAATTAATCATTGCAGAGTTTATATATATATATATAAGGTTATTCTAGGTTTTTTTTTTTTTTTTTTTTTTTTTTTTCAGAGTATTGTTTTTTTTTTTTTTTTTTTTTTTTTTTTTTTTGGCTATTACTGAAGTGTGTTGTTCAAGTGGATGAAGCTTTCAGAAAATACAGTTGTTTGGGCCCTGCAAAAGCAAATGAAGTTTATTTTTTAATTGAAAGAAAGAGACAGGGAAATAAAAACGAATAAAGGAAAAAAGACAGACTTTTATTATGTTTTCTGTGATAATCTTTTCAGCAATTATTAGTTAGGGCCCAAGTTAATTTTGCATTTTATTTATGTTGGATTTGAAGATTTTATAGTTTAATGTCCCAGGTTGTAGAAAACATTGCAATTATTTATCTCACAGTATGCTTTTTGGAATGCTTTTAACTCTTAAGCACCTTTTAATTGATGAGAAAATCTTGACTTGTAATATCTTTGATTTGTGAAAATAGGCTCTTGGTATGAGGAGATGATCAATAATCGAAATAAGTCAGTGGTGAGAAGTATGAGCTGGAATGCTGATGGACAGAAGATCTGCATCGTTTACGAAGATGGGGCCGTGATAGTTGGTTCGGTGGATGGTAATGCATTGATTGGACGTAGAACTAAGATCAATATCTGGTGATGTTTTTATTTTTAGAGATTGAAGTTAATGATCATATGTTAGCATTCTAATTGAAAAATAGACATAAAAAGAGAAAACAGTTGTTAAACAATTTGATGACATTCAAGAACCACCTTTTGGTTCTAACCATTTGTTTTTAAGTATATGCAAGAAAAAAAGTCTATTCTTTTTCAATTTTCTACAGTGGCACTGAAAAAAGTGAATTAATTTTTCAGCATTATTTTAAGTATGTCTGCCTAATTATATAATTTATCTTTATTCTGGTAAGACTGTATAAATATGTAGATTTTAGTTTCAAGACGTATATGGAATTATAACAATCTGCGGTCATTTTTAATAGACCTGAATATGTCATTTTTGATTGTATTTTATAGCCTTAAAACCAATGTTTTTCAAATTCTAGTGCATAGGTAAAACTGGATCTTCTGAGAGTCTGCACCTCTGTTTAATTTGAAACTATCCGTAGAGAAATTATGTATTTTAAAATTATTTTCAGGCTGGGTGCAGTGGCTCATGCCTGTAATCCTAGCACTCTAGGAGGCTGAGGTGGGTGGATTTCTGGAGGTCAGGAGTTCGAAACCAGCCTGAGCAAGAGTGAGACCCTGTCTCTACTATAAATAGAAAGAAATTAATTGGCCAACTAATATATATAGAAAAAATTAGCCGGGCATGGTGGCACATGCCTGTAGTCCCAGCTACTCGGGAAGCTGAGGCAGAAGGATCACTCGAGCCCAGGAGTTTGAGGTTGCTGTGAGCTAGGCTGACGCCACGGCACTCACTCTAGCCTGGGCAACAAAGTGAGATTCTGTCTCAAAAAAAAAATTATTTTCATTTGTATGTGTGTATGTAACTTCATGTAGTCAACTAATGTTTGTGAGTGCCTCTAAAGCAACAGCTATAGTTCTAGGAACAAAGGGTAAAACAGTGAATGACATTCCAGACCTAGATCAGGAGAGAGAGATAATAACCAAGCAATTACAATACCCTGTGATAAGTGCTAAGGCAAGGAAAATACAGGAACATGTAGAAGTATCATCTAATGCAGAGTTGGAGGGATCAAGGAAGGCTTCTTGGAGGAAGTGATATCTATGCTGAGGTATTAGCCACAAGGTAGGTTGATGTATAGAATGTCTCAGGCCTAAGAAATAGCATTCGAGGAGGTCCAGATGAGTTGAACTTAGATAGTCATGTTTGGGCCATTGAAAAAAGTTGATTATCAGTTAGTAGAGTGTAATACTGAAAGTGAAGTAGTATGTAATAAAACGAGAGAGATAAACAGGGCCAGATCATGCAGATCATAAATTATATTAAGGAGTATGGACTTATCTCTGAAAGCATTGGGAAGCCAGTGAAGGATTTTAAGAACAGAGCAATGTGGTAAGATTTGTTATTTAGAAACAGCTCTGTGACTGCAGTATGAAGAATGACGAAAGGAAAAGAAGATAGTGGGCAGGTATATTAATTAGGAAATTACTGTGGCAATTCAGGTAAGAGATGATGGTGGATTGAAGCCTGCATCAGGGTATTGACAAAGGAATGAAAGTGAGTGGATTCTAGAATGGATAGGACCTCATTATTTATTGGATTGGAGATGAGGCGATGGAAGTATCTAGGGCGATATCCAGATTTTTAGTTTTGGAAACTGGACAGATGGTGATGCTTTTCATTGAAATAGGGAGTGTGGAGAAAGACTGGTTTTAAGGGAATATTTCTGCTTTGGACATGCTGATTTTGCTATGCTATAGGCCATCCAAGTAAATATATCCAGACCATAGTTTGATATATGTTTGTACCTCAGAAATATATGTACTGAATGCAAAATTTTGGGAACCACCAGCATATTCATGGTAACATAAACCATTAGAATAGATGAAGAAATCTAAGGACCATCTGTGGAGTTAAGAAGCAGCAACATTTAAGGAATGAGCAGAGGAGATTTCACAAAGGTTACTGAAAAGCAGAACTCTGGGAAATGAAGGAGTACATGGGCTTATGGAAGCCAAGAGAATCTCAAGAAGGAGGAAATGTTAAAAAAAAAAAGAAGAAAAGTGTCAATTGGCTTTAGCAACAGGCCATTAGTGACCTCCATGAAGGCAGTTTCAATGGAGTTGGGGGCTGGAAGCCAGATTGGGATGGGGTAAAGGTAGAGTAGGAATCAAGGAAGTGGAGACTGCAAGAAGTGGAGATTCTTTCTTGAAGTCTGGTTGGCAAAGAGTTGGTAGAAGTAGGGTGATAGCTAGAGGGGAAATTTAGGATTAAGGGAAATGTTTTTATTTTATTGTGCTTTGTTTTTATTCGAGGCCATGAATAGATATGGGTGCAGGCCTTGGAGAGGAGTTTAATGAGAATGAGAAAATGAGAATGATCAATAGAGGGAGATCTTTGCAAAGCCCAGAAGGGATTAGATCAGAGACTAGGTGGAAGATTAACTTTGGATAGGGATCTGGTTGGGAGATAACCTCTTTTGTTGTTTTAGGGGGCAAAGCAGAAGGTGTAAGTGTGGCATAGTTATGTTCTGAATGTTAGAAGGTGGGAATGAAGAATTTCTTTTTGGGTAGCTTTTATTTTCTTTCCAAAGTAAAAGATGGGCTCATCTGCTAATTGAGAGTGAGATCCTGTGTCAGAGTTTAGAAGAAAGGGGCAAAGTTTGAAACAGCTGCTATTTCAAGTGTCTCTTCATGTATTTGGCACATACAGGTGCCCAGTAAATACTTATTGATCAAGTAAGTTGAATGAATGCCATGAACAATGTGAGAGCTCTATAGGAAAACAAAGATTTTGAAAGCAGTTGTTAGAAGATCATGACTTTGAACTTTTAATAATTATGTTTATGTTTCATTGTAGGGAATCGTATTTGGGGAAAAGACCTGAAGGGTATACAGCTATGCCATGTAGCATGGTCCGCGGATAGTAAAATCTTACTTTTTGGAATGGCAAATGGGGAAATACACATTTATGATAATCAAGGGAATTTTATAGTGAGTAGATGTATTTACTGGTTTTATTTTTATAATTTTATATGGTTATTGTACATATCATTCATAAATATACACATTTGTTATGGTGGTTTGCCTAATCAAAGTCTTCAATTCAGGTTTTTTCTTTTTTCCAATCATTTAAATTTTTTTAATTAAAAAAAGTCTTGGTTTCTTCAAGGCAAATTAGTGCAGTATGTTGGAGTATAGCTTTTAGTTCCGATTTTCTGGTAGCTGGAAATGACAAGATGTCAGTGCATCGAAGCAGAGGAATAATGAGTAGGGTGATGTGCAGTTTAGGCTTTGTGTCTTCTAGTATCTGAAGCCAAAGTTTACATGCAGTTACCAAAGATTTTTTTTTTAGCAAGATATGAAAGGTTGTTTATAAAAAGAATGGGAGACTTAAACAGTAAGAGAGAAAAATCAATTCTTGGAAAGAAGGATAATTATAATAGGATTGGGTAGTATAATCTGGAGAAAAATTCTGGCTTTGTAAGATTTAGCTAGAATAGATCTCTCATTTACTGATGGGACAGTTTTATTTTTAATGAGGGTTAATGACGTTAAATAAATCCAATAACTGGTAGAAGTAAAATAACTAACTTTTTAAATGATACTTTCCTATTTTCAAAGTACTTTTATATACTTCTTTTCATTTGAGTCTTATAAAAACTCTGTGCATGTCTTTTTTTTTTTTTTTGTGCATGTCTTTTTATCGTCATTTTACATGTGGGAAACATGGAGACTTAGGTGAAGTGATTTGTCTAAGGATGGTATCCCAGTAAGGGATTAAGCTTACACTTGCAACCAGATTTTTAAATCCAACTTTCAGTTTCTTTTCTACAATACTGTATTCATGCTGATCTCTTTTAAAATGGAAAATATTAACCCTAACCAATTTTATTTAGATGAAAATGAAACTGAATTGTTTGGTGAATGTCACTGGAGCCATCAGTATTGCTGGAATTCACTGGTACCATGGCACAGAAGGCTATGTGGAGCCGGATTGCCCTTGCCTTGCTATTTGTTTTGACAATGGAAGATGCCAAATAATGAGACACGAGACTGACCCAAGTAAGTACTTTTTCTGTTTTTTTAAAATGTGGAATATTTTTAAAAAGTGGAACATTTTAAAAAACATTTAAAAATTGTTCTTAAGGTTTTAAAGTTCTCTAGGCTAAGTATTTTCCCACAGTTACCTCATTTTCCTCTTTCTGACTAGATCCAGTTTTGATTGACACTGGCATGTACGTAGTAGGTATCCAGTGGAACCACATCGGCAGCGTGTTGGCCGTGGCGGGCTCTCAGAAGGTGGTCATGCAGGATAAAGATGTAAACACTGTGCAGTTTTACACTCCATTTGGTGAGGTAAGGGTGTTAGAGTTTTATCTTCTTTCTTTCCATTTAAGTGTGCAGTGAGTAAGGTAGGGGAAAAAAGTGTGGAGGAAAAGGTATAAACTTGTCACATTTTCTCTTAGGGACATTTTGAGTAATAAGGATGAGATATCAAGTGTATGTTTCGATAACATCTTTATATTATATGTCTTTGTTATATTTTATCATGGAATTTATTTTATAACCTTCTAATTTTATAATGATAAAATGTTATAATTTTATACATTTGGAAAACCAGAAGTTTGATAAAAGAACTCTCCATGGACTAGTTGTTTAGAATATTTTCTCTGTGATCTGAATGTGTGTCTCTTTTCACAGCTGGCTTTTCAGTAGTTTTTAGTGTAATGTACTTGTTTCAGATGAATTTTTCTGATTTTCAATGCCATATTTTAAATGTGCTTAGATATTAAACATATGTAGCTGTATGTCCTTCCTCCACATTTATGTCTTAATTTGTTACAGAGTAATCAATTATTTGAAGAAAACTTGTCTTAGTAACTAATCTTAGGTGATGCTACACTAAAATATAAGCATTGTTTTCATAAATGCACATGTAGCTATTATCCTTTTCAACAATACTAATAAATTTAATTTTAAAAGAGAATTTTCTGAAGTAGCATTAGAAAATATCAAGTAGGATAATTAATAAATTGTGAATTTTAAAGAATTTTGAAAGTGAGAGCTTATTAATAATTAAGCTTAATGTATTTTTGCATATCTTATTTTCTAACCCAATATTGTATTATTTTGTCCTTTTTGGACTGTGTTGGTTTTTATAAATTCACCAAAGACTATAATAATAAGTATTTTTGGCTATATAAAAGCCTGTACTAGTTTTTTTAATATTTTAATATTAATATTTTTATGTATTTTGATAATTTCTATAAAGGTAAGAAATGGTGTTGTCTGATGCTTTTAAATCAGTATCTCATAGTTACCCAGTAGAATGTACTGTAGAGAGTAGGTGCTCTCTATACACTGTCAGCTAACATTTCTAGTAGATGTAAAAGCTAAGGAAAACCAAAAGCATCGTTTTCAAGTTTCCTAAATAATTAAAAATATGAATTCTATTTATTTTTATGTTTATACCCTCCTTTTTGATTCATATTCTTTATTGGTTATTTTTGTTGGTCACCATTGGCTTACTTATCGTTATATTGCTTTATCTATTTATTTTCATTAGTTTGGCCTTCTCCAAGTAGAAAAACATGAGTTCTAAAGCCTATTTGTTGTATCTTGCAAAACAGTGTGTTAAGTGTCTGCTTAAACCAAAAACTGTAAGTGGGTTTTGGTCCAGTTATAATTAAAAGTATCTAGCATAGTTACTCAGGGCATATTAGCCACTTAATATTTTTTGAGTGAGTGAGTGAGTATTTGGGGAATTTATTTTTGTTTTTTTGTATTTTGTATCTATGTTATGTTAAAACAGGTTAGATAACTTGGAAGGGAGTTATGTAAGGATTTAAACTGAAGAAAACCTCAGGGAAGAATGTGCTTTTGATTCTGAGGGCTGAGATCTCCTGGTTTTTGTACTGTGGTCTTAGCCAGGGTGGGGGATAACAGAGCATGGATTTGTAGTCAGGTTCACCTGGCTTTGAACTCTATTTCTACAGTGTAGTTTTACTTAGAGAAGTTATTTAACCCCTGAGATTGAGTTTACTTATTTTCTGAAGTAAAGGTAATGGCTCATGGTACTGTAGTGCAGATTAGAGGAGATAACAATGAGGAAATGCCTACCACAGTGCCTGGCACTTAGTGCTTACTAAAAGTCAGTTTTCTTTCATTGCTGCTGCCACCGCCTGGGTGGTTTGCAGTTAGGAGATGGCCTTATTCTTCTCCCACTGTGAATGGACCAATTCTAAGACTACTGTTGTGGGAGCTTGCTTATTCCCCTTTGATCTTATATAGGCAGTAAGACAGACTGGATCCTGTTAGGTTAAAACTTTGTTTTTTTCCTCCCCATTGGTTTCCCTAGCAAAATGGAGTTTAATACATTTGTCTTAGTCCATTATGTGCTGCAATAATATAATAGCACAGACTGGATAATTTATAATGAATAGAAATTTATTGGCTCACAGTTCTAGAGGCTGAGAAGTCCAATATTGAGGCACTGGCATCTGGTGAAGGCCTTCTTGCTGTGTCATCACATGGTGGAAGGGCAAAGAGGGGACAACAGAGAGACAAGAGGGGACTGAACTTGCCCTTTTATAATGGCAGCAATCCCATCTAATCACCTCTTAAAGGTTCCACCTCTTAAAGGTTCCACCTCTTAATACTGTTACAATGGCAATTAAATTTCAGCATGAATTTTGGAGGGGACAAACATTCAAACCATAGCAACATTTAATTTGACTTTAGAGCATATCTACTTAAGAACAAAGGATCCTAGTATAATTTATTGAAATTCTTAGGATTATACTGTTCTGTCAAATGAGACGTGTAGATTAAAAATGTTTATCTTTTTATGGCTACATTAAAAAAGTGTTTGTATTTATTTACTCATTAATTCAGTAATAACATGTACTGTGTTAGTATATGAAGAGATTAATTTAAATGTACAGTACATTTATTTACTTAACAGATATTTATTGAATACCTGTTTACCAAGTAAAGGAAATAAATGTAAATATATGCAGTTAGTGCTCTCAAGAAGTTCATTGTCTCATCTCATTCTCCAGAACTATAGAGGGAAGAAGGAAGGCAAGACTCATTAGGGAATCACATTTGATTTGTATCTTAAAGGACGAAGGTCCAGGAGGACAAGGACCAGTGAGGACAGAGGTGGAGGAAAGGAGAGGAGGTTTAGGCAGAAGGGATATTATATAGGTCAAAGGTATGGAGGCACAGTGGTTCCTTCATGAACAGGTGCATAGTAATTATGGCTAAATAGTGGGCAATTAAGCCAAAGAATGTAGTTTTGGGCCAGGTGGGAAAAAGGCATTGTGTGCTATTGATGGTGGGGGGAGCTATTGATTTTTAAAAAATTATTTAACTTTTTTTTTAAAGCAAGGTAGGATATGATCAGATTGGTGTTCCAGAAAGATAATTGTGACAGTGTAGTAGAGACTGAATTGGGGACATGAGTAGAAGGTGGGAATAAGAAAAGAGATAAAAGGTAAGAATTGAAGTTAGGATGCTAATACTATAGTTCAGTCAAGATAAAAGGTAATTGCTGGTGTGGTGGCATGGACCTGTAGTCCCAGCCACTTGGGAGGCTGAGATGGGAGGATCGCTTGAGCCCAGGAGTTCTGGGCTATGTCGCACTATGCCATTCAGGTGTTTGCACTAAGTTTGGCATCACTGTGGTGACCTCCTGGGAGTGGGGAGACCACCAGGTTGCCTAAAGAGGGGTGAACCAGCCCAGATTGGAAACAGAGTAGGTCAAAACTCCTGTGCTAATCAGTAGTGGGATCATGCCTGTGAATAGCCACTGCACTCCTGCCTGGGCAACATAAACATAGCGGGACCCTGTCTCTAAAAAAAGTGTAAAAAGGTAATTGTGGTGAGTGGAAAGGAGGAAAAGCAACAGGATTTGGTGGCTAGTTGGTTGTAGGGGTGGAAGAGAAAGGTGAGACTTCAGGGTTGGGTTTACTATTAATAATATATTTCATTGATTCTAAAGTATAATTTTTTACAACTCTAAAATTGGGATGCATCTTGTAATCAAAATTGTCATATTTTGATTAGCAGTGTGTTTTTTCTTTCCTTAGTTGTATATAAAAATAAAGATACATATTTTGATCTATGGCATCTTAAATTTGATACTGAGTTTTTTGGATATAGTTTGTAACTTTCACTTATCATATGCACGTTTTTCATCATAAAAATTGAAGGAAATGATTTTAAAATAAGTAGTAACCTTTCACAAAATAATTTTTATATTACTTTTGATCTCTGTGAAGTGATTAGGGTTAATTTATATTTGAGTTAATAGGTATTTTAGGGTAAATGTGATTTTTTTTTTTCAGCATCTGGGTACTTTGAAAGTTCCTGGAAAGCAAATGTCTGGACTGTCTTGGGAGGGAGGTGGACTGAAAATTGCACTAGCTGTTGATTCCTTTATATATTTTGCAAATATTCGACCTAATTATAAGGTGAGTATTAAGAGCAGTAGTAAAATAAACAGTGTTTTTTTTTTTTTTACCAAATCACTTTATTATAGCTCAAAGTATATTCAAAGCTGTTTTGTTTTAGAAGCCAGCAGAAAGGAGCCTTTTTTATGTGAAGACCTTAGAACTAGTAAACTTTTCTAGAATGCTATATATAGTTAGTAAAATTACTCATGAGTCAGGTTCTCAGCAGGAAACAGATGACACACTCAGAGGAGCACTAAAGAGAGATTGAGAAAGGGGTTATTACAGAGGTGTGGGAAGGGTTAAAAGGGAGGAGCAAGGGATGCTGAAGCAAGCACCCTGTGATTGGCAGCAGTGACAAGCCTTCACTACTAGCTCGGGGCCTGGCAAGGCAAGGCAAAGAATTAAGGTTCCTGGAACCCATGAGAACTGTGGCTGTAGTAGCAAATACTATCATAATAATGTTGACATTGAATGTTGATTTATTTAATATTACATATAAATATATTGAGAGAGTTATACAGAGGGAAAGCTGTAAGTATGCAAGTTCTGTAATCAATAGATAACGTGATGTGGAGATAAATACCAGAACAGGTACAGCTAAAAGAGTTGTACATAGCTATTTGTGATTGGAAATTGGGCCAGGGGGTCTGCATTTTTTGTTTGTTTTAAATAAGCCAGGTACAATTATTTGACTGTAAACTATGTACATATGTTACTCTGATAAAAAACAAACAAAAAATAAGGGTGGGGGAAAAAAGCAAGCAACGATTTTTGAATTTTGGGTTGGGGACACAGAATTTAAACTTTTGGTAGGGATTGCTCTCCTGTCATTCCCCGCAGCAGTTATTATTGACTATTGAAAATTTTCTTCATTGAAATTTAAATTTTACAAATTAAAATAAGTTAGACAAACTGAATTTATTTCTGGAGCACATTCTTTTGTAAATGTCTTTATTTCAGATATTTTTGTTATTTTGGTGAGAAAAGACATTAAGCTGAAGGTTGAATTTTGTCTTTTATTTCTGAAGAATATATTTTACCAGCACTGATAAACCACATATCTTCAATATTTCTAGAGTAAAAGTAAAATATGATTTTTCTTTCCCAATGCTAAATATTCCTTTTCCCTTTCTCTCTCCTTTCCTCCATCCATTGCTTTCCTTTCCTCCTCCTTTTCATCCCAGTGGGGTTATTGCTCAAATACTGTAGTTTATGCATATACCAGACCGGATCGTCCAGAGTACTGTGTTGTCTTTTGGGATACAAAAAACAATGAGAAATATGTTAAATATGTGAAGAGTCTCATTTCTATTACTACCTGTGGTGATTTCTGCATTTTGGCTACAAAGGCTGATGAAAATCATCCTCAGGTAAGTGTTCCTTGATATCTTGCGATCTGGATGGGTTAACTGCTCGGCAGAATAGGGATATAACTGTTTAGTTTTTCAAGCATGGTGTTTGTATTGGCAAGTACAGCAGAGTATTGAGTCCATTGGCCATGTTTGTCTAGACCCGTTTTGGAAAACTTTGTGACTGCACTGGTTCTGTGTCCCCTGATTTTTTCCCTCCAGTCAGCTAATCATTGGCCATTTAAATTCACCATTTCAGGGCCAGGTGTGGTGGCTCCCACCTGTAATCCTAGCTCTCTGGGAGGTCTAGGCAGGAAGTTTGCTCAAGGTCAGGAGTTTGAAACCAGCCTGAGCAAGAGTGAGACCCTGTCTCTACTAAAAATAGAAAAAATTAGCCGGGCATAATGGCGCATGCCTATAGTCCCATCTACTTGGGAGGCTGAGGCAGAAGGATTGCTTGAGCCCAGGAGTTTGAGGTTGCTGTGAGCTAGGCTGACGCCATGGCACTCTAGCCCGGGCAACTTAGTGAGACTCTATCTCAAAAAAAAAAAAAAAATTCACCAGTTTAGTACTGAACCTTTTTGTGTCTGAATATATTTAAAATAGCATAATTCTTTTTGAGTTTAAAATTCTATTAGGAAAAATGAATATTCAGATGCCTAGTACCGTGTTTCCCCGAAAATAAGATCTACCCATAAAATAAGCTCTAGCAGGATTTCTAAGCATTGGCGCAATATAAGCTCTACCCAGAAAATAAGACCTATTGATGGGCGTGGCTACACAGTGTATCTGCACAACCCATGCATTTCACCGCGGAGCGGTAAAGAAGACAAGCAGCCCTTCTCATCTGCCCCATGAGAGCTCTATTGCTTGACATGACAGATTGGGGCCAATGGTACTAAAAGAAAGAGTCCCAAGAAATTCAGGATGGAATTTGGGGTTTGGAGAGTTATGATGATTCCTGAAGACTTAACTATATTTGAATAAATGTAGATTATTGTACCCTACTTAAAAAAAACAACACATCCCCTAAAAATAAGCTCTAGGGTGTCTTCTTGAGGAAAAATAAATATAAGCCCTTGTCTTATTTTCGGGAAAACATGGTATATATAAATCCTGAAGAAATTATGTAACAATGAACATTTATAACAGTTGGGTAGCTTTTGTCCATGAGAAATTTACTTCTATTTGGAGTTATAGTGCTTTAAAAATCAATATATCATAGCATAAAATAAATAATATAAAATGTATTTTTTTAAAAGTATACTAATAATCTAAATATTTGGAGAAATATGTAAATATTTCAAAAAAGGACTACCAATATCTGGCTTTCTTATAAATTATTTTATCGCATTAAAAAGTATAGTTTTGGTTAAAGGTGACCATTTGAACAGTCACATTTGACTTTGTTCTTTCCTGAAACTTGCTAAAAGAACAGTAAAGGTATTTTTTAAAAAGTAATAAGCCCATAGGGACCAAAAGGGGAAGGGAAATGGCAACAAAATTTTGTAGGTTAAACAGTAGCTGGATTAGTGGTAATTACCTTAGCAGACCTAAGAAATCTGAATTATACGCCATTCATGGAGAAAATAAAGAGGCAACCAGTTTATATCACAGAATCTCGATAAGGCACAGGACTTGGGGTACCTGGTAGGAGAAAGAAACAAACATAAAGGCAATTTGGAAATACCAGAGATTATGCAGGAAGGAGAAAATGTAAAAAAAAATAAAAAGGCACATAAAGCAGTAGATCTCCAGATCTCCTTCCCTATCCTGACCCCATAGGCAGCTGCCTGTCTACCACCTATTAAGACTGGGGTTTACTCTTGAAGGGGATCAAAAAGTCCCTGCACTGAAGGGTACCAAGCGTAGCTGAGGGTGGGGTATCTCTGCCGAAAACAAAACAATTAAATTAAAAGTTTGCTACTCAGTTTACTCCGGTGTCCTTTTTCCTCTTGGTTTCCAGAATACTGGCAGCCAAGCATTGAGCTTTGAGATAAGGGATTAGATGAGTTATCCTGGGAAAAGACCTGTTTAAGAGAACAGACCTCTAAAGGTACTGAGATTGGGAGTCCCCAAGGAAGCAGCCTTGCCTATCACCTTACAGTAAAGACCCTCCAAATAGCTTTTTAGTGCCTCATAAGTACAAGTAGATACCTAACAATTGTCAGACATTTGAGGGAAGCATGCAGTTTAACAGACAGACACCAAAATAAACACAAGTAGAAAAGAACTTGTAGGAAACCGAAACTATGCAGGGAGAATGCTTCTTAAAAAAAAATCATTTCAAAAGAACTGTTAGTATTACCCTCAGAGAGTTAAGAGGAATTACATCCATAAAATAAGAAAAGGATACTATAGAAGAGGAAGTTTTTGGAAATTATAAATATAATAACAGTGAAAACTTTGGCAGGAGGGCTAGAAGATAAAATGAAGGAAAACACCTATAAAGTGGAGCAAAAAGACAAGGAAGTTGAAAAGAGGAGTAAACAAATAAGAAAATTAGAGGACCAGTCATGGAAGTTTAGCACTTGAATAATATTTCCAAAAAAAAGTGAACAGGCAAAATGGAGAGGAGTAAATCTGGAAAAACAAAAAATACAAGAAAGTGACCCTGAGGTTCTAGATTGGAAGTACCTAGCTCAATGAATACAAATATTTTCATATCAAGACACATCATTGTGGAATTTCAAAGTGGTGGGGTGAAAAAAAATATTCTGTAAGATTTCAGAGAGGAAAACAGATTTCAGAAGATCAGGGATCATAATAGCATTCTACTTGTCAATAGCAATACTTTGGAGAATTGCCTTCAAAATTCTGAGTGAAAATGATTTCCTATTTAGAACTCTGTATCTTAACGCCAATAGTAATTAAATGTGAAGCTAGAATACAGAAATTTTTAGATGTGCAAGGTCACCCAAAATTGATTTTCCAAGCTTCCTTATCTTAGGAAGTTACTTCAGGGTATTGTTTACCAAAATGAGGAGTAAACTAAAAGAGTGGAAGAAACAGAACCGAACACCAGTGGTGAAGAGTGTCCCAGGTGGCGGTTGTGCAGCATGCCCAGTGAGTCAGATGAGAGGAGGTCAGAGGACTCCAAGAGAAATCTGAGAGGATGAAATGAATAGACTACCTAATATGTTTGAACCCTTGTGAGGAGATACACTCTTGGGGATTTGAGTTAATATTAATACATAGAAAACTAAGCAAAGGGAAAAAAGAAAGACAATTATCAACTATGGGGAAAGCAAAATATGCTTGAAAGGAAAATAAATCATGATATGCTTGATGGCTCAGCTGTGAGTAGCATTTATATAGACAAAATGATGTAATCACTGTTTTTTTTTTAAATGAAAAAAGGTTTTAGTGGAAGTATAATAAACATCTTAAACCCTAAATTCTGATCGGATAAAATTGTGTTAAAAGTGGACAGATAGAGGGATGGAAATGTGCCCCTGTGTGGTGGGGGTGGGGTGGGGTGGGTGGGGCCAAAGGATGTACGAAAGCTGAATACTTATCTTTCATAGTGGGAAGGCAATAGATAAAGCAGTAAGTTGAAAGAAAACAACAAGTAGTACTGTAAACACATGACTTAGATTTGTGGAGGTAAATGGCAAAAGGATGAGTTAAAGGGAGCAGGAAATGATCATTTTTAGGATCATTTTTAAGAATGTCATTTTTAGGAAGAAGTTCTAAAATTATTTGATTCTTGAAACTAAGAGCATATATAACTGGTAAAAATGAAAAGTAAGTATAAGAATACAATTTATTTATGGTATTTTGTGGCAGCAAATAAGCTTATTTTAAATAGTGAAAGGGATAATTATACTTTTACTATAAATTTTATCATTTAGTTTATATTTATGAAATTATTAAATAAGTGTTGAGATGCTGAAGAAAGGAACAGGCTATATGTAAATAGTACATAAAGAATTGGCTTATTAGAAGTTGTTATTTTAGTTGGGAAAACATCTAAGTAGATGGTATTCTTAGTACAAGATACTGAAAAGATGACTAACAGTAAGAAAAATGAAATTATCACTTTAAAACAATATGATGTGAAGTGTGCATTATGCTTGATTATTTCCCTAATATTAGTCATTGATAATTATTTGTACATAAGTCATTTTGACCAGGTTGGATGGTATCTTTTTGAATTAACTGATTTTTTTCTGAATTTCTCATGTCATTTATATATTGCTTCAAAGGAGGAGAACGAGATGGAGACATTTGGTGCAATGGTAACAAATTAAGTTAGCTCTTATTTAGCTGGATATAGGATTAAAAATGAGTTTTGAGATTTTAGCTGATCAGGGATTGTGGGAATATAAATGGTGGAAAGTAGCCAGTGTACTTGTGTTTCTTAAGTGTCTTTTTGGAAACACTCTTCCATTATATAGAGAAATCAGCCCTGGTTTAATTTTAGTTCATGTTTCTTTATATTTAATACTATAATAATCTTTTTTATGTCTGCTATTTTTTGTACCTAACAATTTTATCAGTTATTTCCCAGATAGTGATATTGAAAAAGAGATAAGCATGTATATGTTAAGCATATTTCTTTTATTATTCATAAGCAGAAGTTCTGATACTCTTTTTATCTATTCACAGTTTGTGTTAGTTCTTTGTAATTCTATTGGCACACCCTTGGATCCCAAATACATTGATATCGGTAAGGAAATGTTAATATTTATTCTATCTCCAATCGGGTTTTATTTGCAACACTAAAGACCTAACAATGGTATTTATTAATTAGAATGATATTCTCTAAATGAAGATGACCATACTGGTTTGTCAGATCCAGTACCAGTTTGTATCTACCATCATGGTAGAATTATTAATAATGCACCATTTCACTCTCAAAAGCATCCTGGTTCATACAATAAATTATAAGGTTACTCTATCTAAAATTCTCTGTAATTTTGCAACTGCTATACTGCCATCATTTGCTTTAAATGGGAAATATAATTGTACAGAAATTGGTATGCAATCTAATGATTAGTATGTAATAAACTTAGGATTATAGAAAGAATTTTACTATTAAACCATTTTTATTATTAATAAACTGCTTGTAAATACCTCTCTTTCATAAAAACACTTTAGCTGCTTGTAAAAGTGAGTTTGCCTTTTCCAGATTTTTCTCATGAAAAGTCTATTAATAGGGACAGCTTAAAAAAATTCCTGACTTTTTGTTTTCAAAGGACATTTGCTCCTTTAGATTTACCATTCCCTATATCCAATAACTATGAAAGTAACCCATTAAAAAATTCCAAAGCTTATTTTAAGCAGATTATTAAAAATCATTAACAGATATTTTCTTGGCATTTCACTGTAACTTCCAAAAGTAATAGTTTTCTTTTAAAGTGTATGGTAGTATATTGGATATAGTATTACAAAAATTATTAAATCTAAGAAATTGAAAACCCATTGAATTATTTTCTGACACTGAGAAGTAGTCATTTTTTTTTTCAGATTGGACATTCAGTCTTAATAATCAAATGTTAATGTCTACCTTTCATTTTGCTAAGCTCTTTGGGTGATAAAAGCAAATGTGAGAAATAATGGCCTCAAAGACTTTATACTCTATGGTTTAGGGGTGTGGTATCTCACTCACTTTGATATATTGAAACATTTCAACTTCATGTCTTATATTCATTGCTACATAGGCATGTTTACATGTTTTATATATGTATATGTTCACATATATACATATATTAGTGTTCCTTCATAAGAAGTTTAGCTTAAAATTATTACAGACTCTTATCACATGAATATCTTCTGTTAATATTTTATTAGAAGCATAATCGTCTTTAAGGGATAAATTATTGTCATTCTTCAGATTATATGCTTTTTCTTTTAATATCAAAAGTTATTTAACATAGAATTATAATGATTATAGGGTTAGCCTCAAAGTAATTTTTATCACAGGTAGACTATTTTTTTTAATAAAGCTAAATGTAAATCCTTTCCCTTCATAAAATGGCAAATACTTGAGGGCATGATTATTTGTATTTTTGAGTCTCAAAACTATTTTTTTTTTTTTTTTCAGTCTCACTGGCTGAAATTTTAACAAACAGTTCTTTCATTGGTCTGTAGCAAACACAGCCAAAGACTCGACATTTTTATTTCATACATATCCTGTAAAATTCCTTTTTAAGCCTCTATGCCAAATTTTCGTGAAGATTGGAGGCTAAAACAAAAAAAGTATGCCAATGATACTGTTTTAGAATGTATTATTTTTGTTTTGCCACCTACTATCTATTCTTCCTCTTGACAATTTCTTTAGTAACTTTTAAAAAGAACTTTATACATTATTATAGAAGTTTAGTGTGTGGGACTCTGTTGTACTCTACACATCGGAGTCAGGTACCCTTTTTTGATGCTCTTCTGTTGAGCCCTCATAATACCTTTGGTGTACTTCCATCCAAAGTACTTCTCATTCTGCACTCTGATTACTGATTTTCTCATCTGTCTTCCCCACTAGACTTGAACTTCTTAAAGATCTATGTCTAATTAGTTTCCAGATCTCCATGACCTAACACTATGCTTAGCCTGTAATAAATGTTTATTGAATGCATGGAAAATATTTCATTTACTTATCAAACTATCAACAAGTATATACTGTGTCAAGTACTGTATTGGTCATTTGGAATAATAAGAAATTAATTATGACATTTCCTGTGGGATGTCTAAACAAATAATTAAGATACAGTCAATCAATTGAATAATGACTTATTGCTTCCCTGTTGTGTGCTAGGTATTATGCTAGATGCTGGATAAATGGATATTGGTGCATAAGGATGTCAGGGATGTCTTTTCTAATTAGAGAAGGTTTCATTGGAGCTGAGTTTTATAGGTTAAGTATTTCTTCAGGTGGCATTTTAAGGAGAGAAAACAATATTTTTAGAGGAATGAAGGCATGGAAAGTGGCTTTCTAGTCCCAGGTTGCCTGTGCTGTAGTCATTTTAGCAGGATCACGTGGGCAGCTTTCTAATGATGGTCTCTAACCCATGCACTAAGTTTTCCATATATTCCAGAGAAAGTTAATTTGTTGAAAACATTTCAGTGCAATTTCAGTTTACCAGCTCTTTAAAGGGCTAAGAAATGAATAAGTAGGAAAGTAGGGGAACATTACAGATGTAGACATTTATTTCAGGCCTTAGTATTAAAATATTATAAGCAGCTTTCACTTATATGTGAATTCCTAGATTGTTTTAAATTGTTTTACATCCTTACTTGGCAAGTAACTACTGCCTATTAGTGTTATAAAGTTCAATTGATAGAAGCATAATTATTTTCTTTAACATTTTTTTCTAATAACCTTTCTAGATATTTTGAATTTTTTCTTTCCAGGTATTGCATAGTTGAGAAGGGCTTGAAATGCTTTTATCTTGGTTGTGTTCTTTTCCTAAAACATTCTACCTGTTAAAATTTGGTCTTCTTTTTTCTAGAATCTTAGTCTGGGAAGGATGGATCTTTAAATAAAGATCTAGCAAAATATATACAGACAGGATTATCTACCTATATGAATTTGCCACAATTACTACCATATTGATTCAAAAGAACATAGGTTTTAAATATGTTCTTGTTTGTTTTTTGTATTGACTGTAGAATTTGTATATGGTTTTATTATAAAAGGTATGTAGATAATGAAAGTAAAAATAATAAGCAACCACATTGAACTAATACTTCTTAATCCTTAATGAGGATCAGTCTGCTGTAGTGGTTAAGAGCCAGTTTGACTGGGTTTGTGTCCAGCTCTAATGCTTTGTAGCTGTGTGACATAGGCAAATTATAACTATTTCATGCCTTAGTTTCTTCATCTGGTAAGTGAGGATAATAATGCCTACCTTATAGAGCAGTTATGGGTTAATATGTATAATGTGCTTTAGAACAGTGCCTGGTCTACATTTTTAAAAATTCAATGAATACTGACTTTTAAAATTATTAAACATTTATTCTATGCCAAGCACTGTGCTATACTTTATTATCTCTTTTAAACTTTAAAACACTTCTATAGGGTTGGTATTATTTTTACCTTCAAATTATAGTAAGTAAACTGAAGTTCAGAGAGAACAGATAATTTACTCAAGGTCACAGAGTGAATGGATGTCTGTGATTTGAATCCAAGAAGTCCTGTGATTTGAATCCAAGAAGTCTGACTCTTACCTTGAACCACAAACATTTTAATTTTGAAGTAATCAGACTAATGGTAAACTCTTGTGAGTATTTAGGATGTATCAAAAAGAAAGAAACATTTCCTTAGGAACAGTGTTTAAAAAAAAAAAAGAAAAAAGAAAGAAAGAAAGAAACATGAATTTAATTTAAAATTGTAGGTAAACAGAGGTTGGAAAATGCTTTTATATGTTTAGGAAAGGTGGATTTTATTAGAAAGGAGTTAAGATTTTCCAATGTACTTCAAATCATGCTAGGGACATAATAGTTTCCAGCATCAGGGTATCCATGATGGAATTTACTAAATATTTAGCAAATGCCTTAGGATTTAGTGAGGATGAACAGGATCAGGGAAAGAAGAGCAAAGCCTGGCCTGGCGTGAGCGCCTCCTGGAGGCTTTGATGCCATTCTCCATGCCTGGTTTTCAGTGAATTGTTCTCCCCAAGAAACTTGGTTTTGAGCTCCCTCCAGAGGTCAGTAGTAGTATGTATTTTGAGTAGAAAAATTTTGACAATTGTATGGGAAAATTTTTTTTTAAATGACTCTAGTATATGAGTATTTAGCATATGCAACTTCTTGAATTTGAATCCCTGAGTTGTTAATCCACTTAATTAACATCATTCCATCACACTAGTTTCTATAATAATTCTTTGTTTAGTTTTTAGGTTTCTTACTTTCTTAACTATCCTTTATTTGGATGGTGGCAAAAAATCCGTAAATGATAGCTCCTATTAACATCATTCTTTTATTCTGGCCATTAATGATTGCTTCACCTAGTAGTAATAAACTGAAAAATAAGGTATTATACTGTTTTAAATATTTGTAAATTTGGAAAACAGATCCTAAAATGATTTTTTATGAAGGAGTTTTTTTTTTTTTTTTTTGCTTTTATATATTTTCTGTGTGTGTGTGTTTAATGTTATATTGTTTATTTTGTGTTTTGTGACCTTGGGCAAGTTATTTTACTTATTTAATCTTCTATTTTTTTATCCATAAGATAGATTTGATGAGGCTATCTACTTCATAAAAGGATACACAGTAGGAGCTCACTTAAATGTTCTCTAAGAAGTGGGACAGATGGAAAAAACATATGTGTAGAAGAATATGTTCCTAATATCTGTTAGTAATAATAAAAAATTATTCATTTAGAGAAATATAATTTTCTCTATTTTTGTGACCTTTTTTTGGATTTGGTAGAAGAATTTATTTCTTAGGAAGGCACTTGGGAGAATTTTATTTTCTAAATTAAGGTGGAAATGTAAAACTTACAAGAAGAGGAGAAAGAACAAAGGCCTGAACCAAGCAATATTGTAGTGGGGATGGGAGGAAGGATTGGGATTTTGTTTATCCATTCATCAATTAATGGGCATTTGGGTTGTTTCTATTTTTTGACTATTATGAATAATGATGTTATAAACATTTGTACCAGTTTTTGTGTGGACATGTGTTTTCATTTCTCTTGGTATATATATCTAGGAGCAGAATTGCTGGGGCATATGGTTGCTCTATATTTAACATTTTTAGGAACTGCCAAATTATTTTTCAAAGTGAATGCACCATTTTACATTACCACCATTTTCCCCTCTCTTCACCAACACTTGTTATTGGCTGACCTTTTGATTCTAGCCATCCTAGTAGGTGTGAAATGGTACATCATTGTAGTTTTGATTTGTATTTCCCTGATGGCTAATGATGCTGAGCATCTTTTCATTTGCTTAATGGCCATTTGTATATGTTCATTGGAGAAATGTCTATTTAGATCCTTTGTCCATTTTTTAAATTGGGCTATTTGTCTTTTTATTATTGAATTGCAAGAGTTCTTTATATATTCTAGATACAATTCCTTATCAGACATATGATTTGTAAGTATTTTCTCCCCTTCGGTGGTTTGTCTTTTCACTTTCTTGATGATGTCCTTTGAAGCACAATGTTTTTAATTTTGATGAAGTCCAGTTTATCTACTTTTTCTTTTGTTGCTTGTGTTTTTGGTGTCATATCTAAGAAACCAATCAATCATTGCCTCATCCCAGGTCACAAAGATTTAAGTGGAAATATAGATTTATTCCTAAGTTTTATTTTAAGAGTTCTATAGTTTTAGCTCTTGCATTTAAGTCTTTTATCCATTGTGAGTTAATATTTTTGTATGTTCCTATAAGCTTTTGATTCTTTTCTGATTTCAGAGACTGTGTGTGAGTATATTATCTGTAAAATGAGAGGTTGGATTCAGTGATTACTAAAGTCCTTCATAGCACAAACATTCTGTGTAACTGTAACTTAATTGTCTTAATGTTCTTTTTAACAGTACCATTATTTGTTGCAATGACCAAAACCCATGTGATAGCAGCTTCAAAAGAAGCATTTTATATCTGGCAATATCGTGTGGCAAAGAAGCTCACAGCATTGGAAATTAATCAGATCACGCGGTCTCGAAAAGAAGGGAGAGAAAGGTATATCTTTTGCTACATAATTTTTAGTAGCTCAACCATATCCCATTTAAATCAGACATAGTTAATTATAAATTATCATGGTTGGGGACTGTAAAGTACCTTGATTAGTAGAAATATTTTTCTATTAATTTGAATGTCTTTCAAATTTTTCTGTTTAGTTATCGAAATAAAAGAGAGGTAGCATGAGATAAAGGCTGGAAATCTATGTTTTTATAAGGAAATAGATGCCCTCACTCACCTACACTCACCAGATTAGGGTTATTATGCTCTACTGAAATACGATTATTCCATTGGGGGTCCAAGTGTCTAAATAGACCTTCATTTCTATGGGTTAGTGGTACAGATCTTTCTAGGAGGGTGGGGTGATACTAGTATCAATCACCAGAGGAGAAGGCAGGTCCTTAGACATAGATGTGGAAAAGGTTTTTAGGTGGGGTGAACTGGGGATTTGGCTTCTTTCTCTTTCCCTGGATTCTAAGAGTGTGGAGTTGGAATTACTTCTGGTAAGTGGGGTAAAGAGGGCTCCGCCACATAGTGAGGTCAGGAGCCAGGATGCAGGGATTCCCTATAGTAAGTTTCAAGGTGAAGATGCATTTTATAATTTATATTGTCTCTATTAGTGATACTCTTTGTTTTTTGCCCTTTTGTTGTTACCGTAAACCTTTAAGTAAAGCATTTTGTTGAATGTTTTAGTCTAATGATTCTTAATAAGGATGTGTTGGTGGGAGTAGGTAGGGGGAGTCATGTCAGAAATCCCAGGTTGCTTTTTCAAATCATCATCTTCACTCACACATACTTGAGATCTTTTTCTTTTTCTTTTCTTTTTTTTTTTTTTTTTTACCCCAGTTTCACCTACATATAGTTGAGATCTTAATGCAACCTTCTCTTCCCTTTAAGACTCACAATCTGTACTAAGATAGATGCTGTCTCCCCAGTAAAAGGATTTTGGATGTGTGAATTCATGTAGAAGCAGGAAAAAACACTTGAAAAACATTGTATTTTGTCTTCTCAGACTAAATGGAAAGAATCTTTGGGCTTTTTGAGATCCTTGTGCTGGTAGGACTTATTGTGGTTGCAGTAATAAGCAGAGACCTGCAGTCTTCAAGAACAAGGTGGATCTTGGGACAAAGTTGGGACAAAAAAGTTTAGCCTTTCCATAGAGTGCATGTCCTCTTTTGGCCAGCTAAAGAGATTCTGGTTTTTGTTTATATCAGGAAGGCAGCATTTCCTTATAATTGTATCTGGAATATTCTGACTGGTTTTATTAACTTTGGGCAGGTTCTCCCTGGACCTAAGTTTCTCATCTATAAAATATGGTTGATGATGTTGTTAAGAGCCAACATTTATTGAGTACTCCTTATGTGCTAGACACTTTGTAAATCTAGTTGGCACTTTTATTGTTTCACAGAGAGGAAACTGAGACACATGAGTATATATTATTTGTCAAAGATCACACCAGCTGATAAGTAGGGATGGGACAAAAAGCCAGGTTTACTGACTCTGAACCACTTTACTCAGAATGGCCTTTCTTATGGTGTCTTTCTTATTTTAAGAGAAGGAGCCAGACCAAATGATCTTTTGAGGGACCTCCTCTTCTAACATCTTTGAATTTTATTTTGTGATAAGTAGGACTGGATATGCTTAATAGAAATGTATTAAAATACAGACACATGTACCAGTTTAGAGGTATGACATGTTTTTGTATTTTAACATGTCTATTAAATTTATTTACAATATGATCTCTTTATTATATTGATGTATTGATATATTGATCTCTATATTATATTGATCTCTTTATTATATTTATTACAATTATGATTTCAAATTTACATTTATAAAATTTCATGACATTTAAAAAATAGAAAATGAGATGATTTTCCTGTGATTATATTACAGCTACCTTTTTTTTTTTTGAGACAGAGTCTCACTCTGTTGCCTGGGCTAGAGTGCCGTGGCATCAGCCTAGCTCACAGCAACCTCAAACTCCTGGGCTCAAGCAATCCTCCTGCCTCAGCCTCCCGAGTAGCTGGGACTACAGGCATGTGGCACTATGCCCATCTAATTTTTTTCTATGTATTTTTAGTTGGCCAATTAATTTCTTTCTATTTTTAGTAGAGACGGGGTCTTGCTTTTGCTCAGGCTGGTTTCAAACTCCTGACCTTGAGCGATCCTCCCACCTCAGCCTCCCAGAGTGCTAGGATTACAGGTGTGAGCCACTGTGCCTGGCCACAGCTACCATTTCTTTTTTTTTTTTTTTTTTTGAGACAGAGTCTCACTTTGTTGCCCAGGCTAGAGTGAGTGCCGTGGTGTCCTAGCTCACAGCAACCTCAATCTCCTGGGCTCAAGCGATCCTCCTGCCTCAGCCTCCCGAGTAGCTGGGACTACAGGCATGCGCCACCATGCCCGGCTAATTTTTTCTATTTATATTAGTTGGCCAATTAATTTCTTTCTATTTTTTTTTAGTAGAGACAGGGTCTCGCTCAGGCTGGTTTCGAACTCCCGACCTTGAGCAATCCACCTGCCTCGGCCTCCCAGAGTGCTAGGATTACAGGCGTGAGCTACCGCACCTGGCCCACAGCTACCATTTCTTGAACGCCTTTTATGTGTCAGGCTCTGTGCTAATGTACTTTACAAACATCATTTTATTTATGACTCTCAGAAACACTGCAGAGGGAAATTTGTTATGTTTACTTTACAGATGGAGAAATTGAGCTTCAGAGAAGTTAAGTAATTTGCCCAGAGCCTCAGAGCTGATCTTTGATCTGTCTTCCCTATTCACTTCCATTCATTTTAATAATTATTCAGTAGATATTATGGAGCACTTGACAATGTGTGGCATTGTGCTAGGGACTGGAGATATATATCCTTTGCCTCTAAGAAACTCAATACCTCGTGGGAGAGACAAGTAAACCAGTAGTGACACTGTGATGTGAATAAGGATTATAATATAATAAAATATGGTATTATAATAATGTAAATATCTCTCAGGATGGGTCCTAGAGAGATGGTGGACATCTAAATGTGATGCATATTCCTAACAGAGGAAGGATAGGGAAGGCTTCTTTACTTAGAAACAAAAATTCCATTAATTGGAGCTTTCCAAATCCATGTTAAGTTTTAATTTTATTAAACACATTCATAGAAGGGAAATTATGGACTAACAACAGAGAAAGTATCTAAGAAGTTGATCCTGACTAACGTTCAGCTGAAGAGTAATGTCAAATATCTCTCAGGACTTAATGAAATTCATTGGCAATGTATGGTTTTTGGCATGACTTTCAGGAACATATCGCTTGTATAACTAGTAAACACCTGGTAGATAGTTTCTACCTTTATAGGATTTAACTCTTGAAAATCATCAGGATTTTTATGTTAAATAACACTATTCTTTGGTGTCAAACAATCCTTTAATTGTTCTGGAGATTATGAAATAGTAAAATACTTATTTAAACTTTCTTTGAAATTCTGAATTTTTGTTTTTACAGAATTTATCATGTTGATGATACTCCTATTGGATCAGTGGATGGGGTGCTTGATTATAGTAAAGCTATTCAAGTAGGTGATTTTATTTTTACCATAATATATTAATATTTATAGATTTGGAAATATTGTAATTTTATTTTGAGACCTGAAAAAGAATTTTTTTCCCAATGAATAGGATATTATTTTAACAATTCTTTAAAAAATTTTCTATTCTGAAAACCTTTTTCTAGATCTTAAAAATTCTTAAATAGAAGTGGTAGTTGGTGATGAGTAGCTATTAATATGATACTACTTAGAAAAGCATATTATCTAAAAATATTGGGGAACATAGTTCTTCCTCCCCTTCTCAGTCCTCCCCTCTCAGCAGCCATCTGTTTATTCCTCTTTATCTATCAGTCAACCATGGGTTGGTCTGTCACCTCTGGCTTATTAATGAGTGTGCATATTTTTGCAGATAACATAGTGTACTGTCCCTTTCTGGAAATATGCTTTTTTTTTTTACAAGTTCATGTAATTTAATATTTTAGTAAACAACTTTTGATGATTTTTCTAAGAGTATTTAAAACAGTGCCTATTGCTTATAAAGTGTTTTCTTATCTAATTTCTTATCTGAGGCTCACAGCTCTGTTAGTCACATAGCATGTAATATCCTCTCCATCTTCAGATTAGAAAACTGCTAGAAAACTTCACTGATTTACTCAGGATCATACAGTGATTTAAATAGCAAAGTGAGAATTCAAGTTAGGTCTTTTGGCAGCAGATCTAGTGACCTATTCACTAGAATATGCAGGAGTCTGTTTAGTTATCTACACCTCCATCCGTTTATTCAACAAGTATTCGTTGAATGTCTATTGTGTGCTAGACATTGGAGTAAGTACTGGGAATCCACTGGTGATTAAGACACAGTCCCTTCCATTAGGGAAGTTTTAGGAAATTTTGAATTGATTCATCATCAACCAGCTCTTTCCCCACACCTTTGCATAAAATGTAATGAATTCACTCCCGTCTTAAAAACAAAAGTCTGCATTGTCAGCCACATATTTTCTTCTAGCTACTTCCTTGTCTCTTCATCCTTGCATAGCTGAGCTTCTTGAAATACTATCGTGTATTTATTCATCTTTCTCTCACCATGCATTCCATCTTCACTTCGTTGCATTCTGGTTTCTAGATGCCTTTGAATTGCCCCAAATAGGTCTTTTTCTGTCTTTATATTATTTGATCTATGTATGACACTTAATATTTTTGACCACTCTTTCTTCTTGATTTTTGTGAAACCACACCCTTGGCTTTATCCCTAGCTGACTTTTTTCTTCTTAGTCTTCCTTGTTAAGGGCTCATCTACCCATGTCTTATTGTGGTGTTCCCTATTGTCCATCTTAGGCAGTCTACTTTTTTTCACTTATTAATAGTCTCTTCTTAGTGTTCTTATTGAAACCTACCCTTTTAACTATATGCTGATGACTGCAATATATATGTTTCCAATGTTGAGTTTTTCGAATTTTTGGATATTTCTTGGTGTCCGGACAGCAAGAAATTGAGTGGCTCAAAAGTATTCCAAGTTTAACCTGTCTGAGGCTGACCTCATCTTTGCTACAAATCCATATCTCCATATATATTCTATATGTCAGCAACTGGCTCCGTTATCTATGCAAGAATCATGAGAACTCTTTTCTCTTGCTCCCTATACCTAATAAATAAATCACCAAGCCTGTTGATTCTGTCTCATAAATTTCTCTGGAATTGGCCTCCTACTTTCCATCTCTGTATCAATTAAGTCTACCATTAGTTCCTGCCTAGATCACTGCAGTAACTTTCCATCTAGTACTGCCCAATAGGACTTTCAGTGATAATGCAAATATTATATATTTGTGTTGTTGAGTGCAGTAGCCACTAGCCATATGTGACTTTTGAGCACTTAAAATGTAACTAGTTTGACTGAGGAACTGAATTTTAAAACTTTATTTCACCTTAATTAGCTGAAATTTACATTCGAATGGTGACATGTGGCTAGTGGCTCCCCATACAGGGTAGCACTGTATAGCCTCTCTATTGTCAGTCTTCCCCATGCTCACTCTGCCAATCTGTTACCACACTGCTGGCCGCTGTCAGACCACTGGCCTGTGCAGCCTTTCTAAAATGTAAATCTGATCATATAGCCCCTGCCCTCTCACATTATAAACCTCTGATACATTCCCATATTTTTGAGAATAAAGTAAAGATAGCCTCAGCTACTCCTCCCTGGTCCACTTCTCTTCCCCAGCACATTCCTCAGATACTATGCCAAACCACTTGTAGTTTCCTGAATATGCCATGCTAGCTTTTTTTCTTTTGATTTTTAAAAACATTTTATTTTGAAATAGTTATAGGCTCACAGGAAATTGCAAAAATAGTCCCTTCACTCAGCTTCCCTTTATGGTGACATGTAATGTAAGTGTCATGGAATATTAAAACCAGGAAATTAATATTGGTACAATTCTGTTGTCTAGACTATGACCTTATTTCGTATTCAGTTTTTACTTGTTTTTATGTGTACTTACGTGTGTGTGTGTGTAGTTATATGAACTTTTATCACCATAAATGAACTCCCCTCATGCTACTTCTTCATTTTCTTACCTACAACCCAGCCCTGTCCTTGTGCCCTGGCAACCACTAATCTGTCCTCCATCTCAGTAGTTTTGTCATCTTGAGAGTGTTTTATGTATGGAATCATACTAATATAATATGTCACCTGTTGAGATTAGCTTTTTTCACTAAGCACAATGCACTGGAGAGCCATCCAGGTTGTTGCAGTGCTATGACATTTTACCTTTCATCATTTTGATGTGTGTTAGTCCTTCTGCTGTTTTGTTCATCTTTTAGAACTAAGCTTGGGTTTTGCCCATCTTGGTGTAAGTTAGATGCTCCTTCCTCTGTGGTCTCATAACCCTTGTTTGTATGTCTTTTTTATCATACTGTACTGTGATTAGGTGTTTAGTTTCACCATCTTCCTCAGTAGACTTTAGTTCTACTGAGTAGTTCTAGTGCTTAGTTCAGTGGCTGGCACATAGTAGGTGCTCAGTAAATAATTGTATGTTAACTTAATAAATATATTATTGACATATTCTTTCTTAGTGAATTATATGCTACCTTGTCATTTAGTAACTATTTATTAAATAATAATGATTGATTGATTAATTTATTTTAGGGCACAAGGGATCCAATTTGTGCTATAACTGCATCTGATAAGATATTGATTGTGGTAAGTTGTAAAAACCTTATTTTATGAAAAATAATTATTTAAATTATAGAAATAGGGTAAAGCAATGAGTTTTGGAATTGAATATCATTTTGTGGGCACCCCAGGTTTTACTAAATCCAATATAAGAAATAAGAAAGTTTTAAAACTTGCCTCACAAATTACTAATTATTTGCAAAAATAGCTATTGATAAAAGCAGTAGAATCATGGCCAGCTGAGAAGATAAAGTACACCTAGAATTTTTAACACTGTGGTTAATGAGCCCCATAAAGGTGAATAGATGTGGAGTAGATTGCGTGGTGGGAGTAGGTCTTAGAAAGTTTCCTCCTTTATATAGCCTGCTATTTTATTTTGAAGAAAGTACTTTGGCTCAGCCACTTTCACAAGGCATAGAATGAAGAGGTGGTATGTTTGTCAGCCAGTAGAATAGAGAAGTCCATGGCAAATTTCTGCCCAATTTTTCAAATAGAATCAATGGCATAGTGTCTTTTCTTGAGCTCTCACATTTGAATGTATTAATTTTAGAAATAAATGTTTACTTTAATACAGTAATGCTGGTGGGATTATTGCATTGGAATTATGTAAACAGAGCCTTAAGTGTATATTTCAGTTCTAGTTACATTCTTTAGCCATTAGCTCATTTTATGGGGGAAAAAATTCTTAACAGCATAGGATTCTGTAGTATTGCTGCCTTTCTGCTAGGCACTCTTGAGAATCTTGCTGCAAAAGCTGTGATGCTCTGAATAAAAAGGGGAGAGGTAAAGATTGGCTGTGTGCAGCCTTCCACTTTGTCCCATTGTCATGGCCTGAGGCACAGAAGAGTTTGAAAACCACAGCTCTTTCTTGTCTGTTGTACTTACTCTTGATTGGGTTTTCCCAGAGTTGCATAGAAAATTATATTCTGTTTTTTGTTTTTAACATACTTAACACATTAACTGCCATGTGAGTTGTATTTAACTCACACTATTTTTGAACCCGGGGCTTCATGAAACATATGTAATACACACATCTCTTTACTTTGAGCTGCGTGAACTATTTATCAAGTTGCATATAACTCACACACAAAAAACAAAAAATAACAAATTTTTCATTCAATTAGAAAGAATCATTTTGGTTTCAAAGTTTTCATTCTATTTTCATAATAAAACACTGTGGCCCCAAGGAAAAATTTTTTTTTCTAGTGTGGCAGTCAATGTGTTAAACTAATACTCATGGTATCACTGCTTTCAGATCATCTTCTCCTTGCCAAAAACTAGTATCAGATAGATGGCAATAGGATAAAAACCTAGACTTTCAGTACCCCACTATTTCATATCATGATCTTCTATTGATTTTTCATATATGTATGTGAAATTTAATTCAAGTGCTGTATGTTTTAGCTTTTAATGTACCCTGAATATTAACCTAGACAAAAGCTGTAAATAACGTTGTGATATAAAAATTTGTGTATTAACAAAGAGCTATGTTTCTGACTTCTTTCTTGAACATTACATGAAAAAAAAGTTAGACCACCTTCAACTGCTTTAAAAAAGGTTTTAATTAAATTACTAGATAAATATGTACTTAATAACGTTTCATTATCAGAATTGGGAATTTGCTATGATCCTATCACTTTGATTTTAAAACAAATATATGGACATACAGAGAGACCTATAGTTGTAGTTTAATGTTATTATGGCAAATATGCTTTGGTAATCAAAAGTAATTTCCTTAGGGTCGTGAATCTGGCACCATTCAGAGATACAGTCTTCCTAACGTTGGTTTGATTCAAAAATATTCCCTTAATTGTCGAGCCTACCAGTTATCCTTGAATTGCAATTCTAGGTAAGCCTGAAAACTCTCTTCCCATAGATGTTAGACTCAGCAGTTATTTATTGGGATTGTTTGTCTTAAAATTCAGTGTGGTTTTACTATAATGTGTTTGGTTTAAATGTCTTTCTGTAATTGGACATATGGACATGCTTGTAGCTCTGACTCGGGTGGTGAAAGGGTAATATATGTAACCTAAATGTTTGTACCCCTGTAATGTTCTGAAATTAAAAAAAAGAAATTGTAATGCATTTTTTTTTCTATTAACAGTAAAACAGCTTTAGAGCTTTTAATGGTATTGAGACTATTTTATATTTCATACCAGTTGGTTTAATCTCTTTGGATACATTTTCCTCGCAAGGGAGCAAAATGAAGAGTACTCTATATTTTCTATCAAATTTACAAAACAAAATTTTTAAAAAGCCATTTCTGTCATATCATATTTCAGGTTTCTGATAAATGGATTATGAAAAACAGTAGTATAGGTAATTATTCTTACGATCACTGATAGTAATTTTACAATTTTTTCCCCTTCTCCAATTGCATTATTTTTAGTCGTCTTGCTGTCATAGACATCTCAGGAATTCTAACTTTCTTTGACTTGGATGCTCGAGTAACAGACAGTACAGGACAGCAAGTAATTGGCGAGTTGTTAAACTTGGAGCGAAAAGATGTCTGGGATATGAAGTGGGCCAAAGATAATCCTGATTTGTTTGCCATGATGGAGAAGACAAGAATGTATGTTTTCAGAAACTTGGATCCTGAGGTAAAAACAAGAAATGAATGTTAACAGTCCATAAATAATGGGCCAAATATAAAAACCTGGATATTTCCCCTTTGTCTCTTTAAGAAGTTTGTTGAACACCAGCCATACCAACATGGCTGCATGACTTTCTGAAAATAAATAGAAACTTTTCTGTAGGCTTTTGAAATATTTGGTCTTAACTGGGAATAATACATATCTTTTAAATATTTTCTGCTTTCTCTGAAAAGTACTTCCTAGGCATTTCTTTGTTCTTTTTAAAAGGTGGAACCATGGTGACTACATAGTTTTTTTTGTTTGTTTTTTTTATTTATCAAAGTTTAAAAAAAAAGAAAATAAGTAGTCTTATTTACCAAAATTTCTTAAAACAACCTAACCAAAAAAGTGTAGTTTTGACATTGCCTTGTCCTTTCTGTCTCTTCTGCCTATCTATTAACTTTATTCTGTGCTTTCCTTATTTATATTAATATTTACATTCACTGTATCATCCGCCAACCTATGTTTTTTCTTAACCCAGATACTGTTATGAATATGTAAATGCAGACTGTTAGATATCAGGAGTCCGCTTTTCCACTCATTTTTAAGGTTACATTTTGATTTTCTATTTGTGCCTCACATCAGCTAATTTTCATACTCTGGATCTTCCCATTAGTCTATTCTGGACATGCTGTTAGCTGTTGTGTTTATGAAATACGAAATGATTTGAGTGATAACCTAATCAAACCATCATTAAGAAGATAAATCTTTTAAACGATTTTTGAATTAGTAATGGATTTTCAATTTGGAATTGTCTGTACTTCTGTATTCTACTACTGTAAATAGTCTTAAATGCTTTATGTCATTGATTTCCATTTGTTTTCATCTGTAAGCTTCCTTCTTGGGAAGAAATTGCGTGCTTGGGCCACTGAGCTGCCAGAGATCTTCTGGTGTAATTTATTTAGGGGTAAACTGTTTGCCCCTTTAATATCCTAAATTGTTTTCACATTTCCTCATTTGAGCTCTGCTCAGGATCTTTGGGTTGGCAAATGACCTGATGTAAATTGCTCTCAAAGGCTATGTCAAAACTTTTAGGAGTCTTAGGATCCTTGTAATTCTTAGAGAAATGATTCAAAGGAAATGCATTCAGGGCTGCTGCATTTGCCCATGAACATGGGCTTCTTTCAGGAGTCCAAGACCTTTGCCACAAAACAGTTGTGAAAATTTGGCAGGTAACCTCAGGATAACCTGGAGGATGGGAGTAGAATGCTTTGAATGTTAGAGTCCTTTTTCTATCCTTGGCCCTGTTCATACTATCATATGCCTGGAGAAGAGAGAGTTTGTCGTATCTGGCTGCTCATAATGTGTGTGTTGCACGCATCGTCAGTCTAATACCAAGTGGAATCTTTGCCTGGTGGAAAGTGTTTCTTAAGTGGCTTTAACAGAACAACTCTTTTTTTAAAAACATTATTTTTTATATGAGTTTATTTACTGGCTTGGCATGTAGTTCAATTTCTATTAGATTTAGAGCTAGATGGATTTCTTACAACCTTCTCACTTTATAAATGATGCTGTACTGTTTTTTTCATTCATGAGGACACTGGCTCACTGTAGTCCTGCTTGTTTGGCTACTCTGCTTTCGTTCCTCTAGCTGCTTATTGATCATGTAAGAACATACTCTTCAAAACAGAATTTTTTGAATCTGCATAGCTACAGTATAGTATGTTCCTTCAGGACACTGTTATTATTCTGGAGAAAAGCTATTGTTTGATGGTTAATAACTATATTTTTAACCATTTGAGAGTTATTACGAACTCTAGATGCACACTTTAACTTGCAAATCTTTCTTCAGATTCTTTGTGAGAAAAAGATGCCACCTATGTGCAAAGTTTTAATTCACTGATAAAGCACATTTTCTTTGAGAATTAGGAAATGAGTAATGTTGCTATTCCCTGCCTGATCATTGTCATCTCCAGTGACCCTCTCAAGGTACTGATCGAGCTCTTTTATTCTTTTTTTTTGGCTCTTCCCTCTCATTGGTTCTTCTATTTCATATTCATATTTCTTTCATATCATATTATCAACCAGGCTCTCATCTTTGTACATTTGCATCTTTTATAAACCAGAGGCTTTTAAACATTTGAATATATACCCTCAGATATACATTTAGAAATTGTATACATGACCTACTATATTGATATGTTATGAATCATGTTCCACGAAGAGAAATTTTGAAGGGTGACATAAACTTTATTTTTAAATGTCATGCTAATTGTTATGGTTCATACTACGATTAGCTAGTATATCAGCATAATGCACATTGTAGAGTGAGGTTTTGTTAACTTAGTGGATACAAGTTCCATGGTTCAAATATTCTACTTGATAATTGCGACTTTGCAGCTGGCTTTTTGGTAGGACTTGAGTAGGTTGTCATTGTTTTCACACTGTAATGTGACTGACCCAAGAATTTGTGGTAGGAGTAGGAGAGATATCAGTTCTGCCTTTTCTTATTTGCTTGTGCTTGCATTATCACTATTACTTTTCATTCACAAATTCTTTACTAAAAGCTTTTTAAGCCACCTGTCCAATTTGTGAGACTTAGCCAAAATTAGATAATGTAACCCCTAAATCCACTTAATTAGGTGTATGCCAATTTCATTACATTACAGTATGCTAATATTGAAGAAGTAAGGGTACTTGAGGATATCAGTTATATTGTACATGTTATTATGAGGCCTTCTGACTTGTGTGCTGAATAGATGGGCCAGTGTTTCTTGGTGTAGATTAGTAAAGCTTTAGATACTTTTTGATAAAAAGAAGTATCTTGCATACTGCTTAGGCAAGTGCTCCCTGCTTTGGAGACCACAGGTATAAAACTTCTTATACAAATGAAATGTTGGATAGATGTCTAATGAATTCTTAAAAATAAAGAAAATTAGGCCAGGTGTGGTGGTTCACACCTTTAATCCTAGTACTTTGGGAGGCTGAGGTGGGAGGATTGCTTGAGGCCAGAAGTTTGACACCAGCTTGGACAAGATAGTGAGACCCTATCTCTTAAAAAAAAAAAAAATTAGCCAAGTATAGTGGTATGCACCTGTAGTCCTAGCTACTTGGAAGGATGAGGTAGGAGGATCTCTTGAGCCCAGGAGTTCAAGGTTACAGTGAGCTATGATTGTACCACTGTGCTTCAGCCTGGGTGATGGAGCAAGACCTTGACTCAAAAACAAAATTTTTTTCCTCTCTTTACCTTTCTCCCTTTTTCTTTGTTTTGGTATTATTTTATATCCACAGATTATCTTTTGTGACTTTATCTTTTGACTAAGTAGTTTTGTTGCATTATCTAACCCAACAAATTAAAAACTTTTTCTAATGGTAAACATGTTTATACAGGTATTTGTGGTTTACATACAATAGAAAAATAATCAAAGTATATGAAAGCTCTTATAATTTGTAAGAAATATCTGATTACATATCAGATGTCTTTCTTTCTTTCTTTTTTTTTTTTTTTTTTTTTGAGACAGAGTCTCACTCTGTTTCCGGGCTAAAGTGCTATGGCGTCAGCCTAGCTCATAGCAACCTCAAACTTCTGGGCTCAAGCAATCCTTCTGCCTTAGCCTCCTGAGTAGCTGGGACTACAGGCATGCACCACAATGCCCAGCTAATTTTTTCTATATATTTTTAGTTTGGCCAATTAATTTCTTTCTATTTTTAGTAGAGATAGGGTCTCGCTCTTGCTCAGACTGGTTTTGAACTCCTGACCTTGAGCAATCCGCCCGTCTTGGCCTCCCAGAGTGTTAGGATTACAGGCGTGAGCCACTGTGCCCGGCTATTTTTGTAGTTTTTATCATATGTGAAGGACGAACTTTCAGTTATAAATTTGATACGTTATTTCCTTTGGATCTTGGTTACTTTCTACTTTATCATGATATACATATATATATATATTTTTAAATTATATTCTGGTATTATTTTTAATATCACACAGTATTATCCTATTCTTTTTATAGTTTCTTACAGATATTAAGTATATTGGCAGTTTATTTTTTATATAATATTTATATCTTTTCTAGTAAGGATTTAGAGTAGTTGCTTTACATTGTAATATGCATATCTTATATTATATTTTTACAAGCATACATAATGTAGGATAAGAGACAGGCATATAACAGACTCATGTATTTACATATCGGCAAATAAATCTTCTTAGGTACAAAATATATCAGGAACGTGCTCTGGCTCATGTTACAGAGGAGAGACTTTTCTGTAAGGTATAGGGTTTCTTTGATAGAGGTACTTAGATATAAATGTATTGTTTATCAATTTTACTATGAATTTAATATTAAATTGCATGAATTAGAATTATTAAGCCATATATGGCATTTTTATATTAATTAGGAAGATTTGGACTAGATATTAGATGTTCTTAGGGAATTAATATGGATTATTTAAGGGGTGATAATAGTAATGTAGCCATGTGGGAGAATGTCTTTATCTTTTAGATATGTACTGAAGTATTTAGGGGTGAACTGTCATAATGTCTGTAATTTACATTTACTTCACAGTACTTCAGCCAAAAAATTAAGTGAAGTATATTTATCAAAATGCTAATAATTATTTAGGTGATGGGTATATGGGTGTTAATGACATTCTCTGTATTCTTCTATTTGTTTGAAAATTTTGATAGTAAACCGTCAAATCATGATTCATTAAAGAAGAGGAAATTTTGTATAATGAAATGTAACATTTATTTTTGTCTTTAAAGGAACCCATTCAGACCTCTGGATATATTTGTAACTTTGAGAATTTAGAAATTAAATCTGTTCTTTTGGATGAGATATTAAAGGTAATTCTTTAAAAACAGTTATATTTCTGTTAGTAGATTGGGAGCTTTCATTTCTGAACCAGCAGTGTAGTGTCCCAGTTAGGAGCATGTACCCAGGAGTAAGATGTATCTCAGGTCCAGCTCTGCTCTGTTACTGTGCAGCCTTTAGGTGGGGGCCATCATCTTTTTGAGCTTCACTATCCTTTCCTGTAAAATGTTGATAAAAATGTACGAGCCTCAGTTTTTACCTCTATAAAATGTAGATAATAACAGTATTTTTATGATTGTTATTTAGAAAGATAATGTGTGAAAAGCACTTAGCACAGTGCTAAGGCCAAGTAAGAGCTCAAAAAATGGTTGCTACATGTCATCATTTTTACAGTAATAATAAAGAGGTACTGAAGAAATATCTAAAAGTTTACTTTAGCCTTTTTTTAGTTCTAGGATACTTGAATAACTTTTTCTTTGGAGATCCAGTATCCTTCCATTTTTTTCGAGGTTTATAAAATAATCCTTTTTGACTTCAGATATCTTTTTTTTTTTATACGTGAACAGAAATACAGAACAGATATCTTTTTGATCCTCTACATTGGCCTTCATTGACCATCCTTTGAGACTTTTTTTCTCTAAGAATATATTGAGAGCAGTTTTACATTCATTTTATCCAAAGCACTTACTTTTTTAAATGTACTATATATATATTTTTTGGAATTGGGATAGTAGATTTTAAATTTCTAGAAGTTAGATGCAACTTGAAGATTGTTTTTGTATTTTGGTTTGATATGTAAATTGCAGCCCTTTTATTGTGAACCAGTTTCATTTTTCTGTATTGTAACCACCCTGCAGCAGCAGGATAAGCCCCCACCCAAAATTTGGTTTGGATTTCAAGGTTGATGATACAAGGGACATATCAGGGAGGTATCTTCCACAATGAGGCTTTTGAGGGGGAAAAAGGTAGGCTTCCTAAGCTGTCTGAAATGACTCGAAAGAATAGGGAAAGGAGACTGGCTTTGGGTTTTTTTTTTTTTTTTTTTTGTAGTTAGGGGGTGCATCTGGGGTGAGGGTTTCCATGGGTAGGGGCTTATTATGTTGTTGAACCTCACTGGCCCCAAAGGAGGGAGCGCTGGGCTTTCTATATCAGCTTACTCCAGGTTTAGCACCAGGGGAAGAAGGAGGGGTAGAGGTTAAAAGTCAACCATCAACAATGGAGTCTGAATCTGAGCTGTAAGTTGTATATGGAAAGATAGATTTAGCCAGACGCAGTGGTGTGCACCTGTAGGCCCAACAACTCAGGAAGCTGAGGGAGGCTTGCTGCTTGAACCCAGGAGTTTGAGGCCAGCCTGGGCAACATAGCAAGACCTTATCTCTTAAAAAAGAAAGGAAGACAGAGAGAAAGAGAGAAGAGAAAGAGAAAGACTGATAGATTAGATATATGAAAAGAAGTAATTTTATAAAAATAGCATCATTGCCCAATTTAAATGTTTAATTTTAATTAACCTGAAAATGAGTTGAAAGGAATTCTAGACCTTTAGGTTATATATATATATATATTTTTTTTTTAACCATAAACAATATGATTTTCCTGTGTTAAGAAGAAAAATTATGAAAAACTAAAGAATTTAAACTATATTTTATTTTTTAATGGTATTGATTGACTTTGCACTCTAAAAGATGGCATTCTTACATTTTTTCCCTCTTTTTCTCTTTTTTAGCCATATTATTGGTTTTACATTGTCAAGATTTAGAACATTTTATTTTGTTTTGTAACCCTAATTTCCAGTTGTTTAGAGTTATATTTAAATGAATTCAAAGCTATTGCTAGTTTTTTACTACATTTTCTCTATACATGAGTTTTTAATTTTTTTAACCTTTTAGTTGCATGGATTTTGTCATCAGTAGTATTTTTCAAGAAAGGCTCATAGTGCTGATTGCCTTAAGTTTTAGACTGCTTGACAGTACCTGTGGTGGTGTTGCCCTGATGATCATATTGACTTTTCTGAAGCTTTTTAGATGAGGAAGGATCTCAGTAGGAAAATGATTTAGCCAAAGTTCATCTATTCATTGATTTAGAAAATATTGAGAGCCAGTAAGACACAGTTCCTGGCCCCAGGATGGGCAAGTAGTAATTCAGCAACCAAAAAAGAGTTGGGGATGCTATGATTCAGTCAGTAGGTATACCTGTTCAGAGCTCTAAAGTAGGGGAGCATTAGGTCAGTTCTGAGACTATGAATAATGTGAATTGTACATCTAGGCATTGCACTGAGTGTTTGAGATGTGTTATCTCATTTAAGGGGAAAACCTAGTTTGACCCAAGGGAAGCAGGACCCCTTCTACCATTGTCCACTCTTCCCCATAGGCAGCCTGACTGCCTCAGGAGGAACTTGACTTGTGGGTTTTGGATGTTTTCTTGATAACTTAAAAGACCTAACCACGGGGGTTTCTTTTTTCCTTAGTTTTGCTCACAATATGATGTCGTTTTTTTTTTTTTTTTTGTTTTTAATTGTAAAAAAGAAATACTCTAAAGGCAACTATTTGAATTTGTTTTCATCTTTACTTTTAGAATCCAGAACATCCAAACAAAGATTATCTAATTAACTTTGAGATTCGGTCCTTGCGAGACAGTCGAGCACTGATTGAGAAGGTTGGAATTGAAGATGCATCTCAATTCATAGAGGACAATCCACACCCCCGACTTTGGTATTTTTAAAAAAGTAAAACCTCCCAAGATGTCAGGTGTAGGGTTTTAAAGTCTCAACTCTGTCATGTCCTGCTCCCCTACTAGTGTCCTGATGGAAATAGACTCCTATTCTTACTCTTCTTTTTGAAATGGAGAAACTCATTTTAGATTTGGAAGGTCTTGATATAAACAATATATTATATGAAAAATGTTTGCATGTGTTAAAATAATCACTTTCCACCATGTTTCACTAGAAACAGTAGGTATGATAATTGAATTCTGATTCAAGACTAGTTTATCAGTAATTTGCAATATGCTTTTCTGTTTCTTTTTTAATAAAGGCACCTACTGGCTGAAGCAGCTCTTCAGAAACTGGACCTGTACACTGCAGAGCAAGCATTTGTACGCTGCAAAGATTATCAAGGCATTAAGTTTGTGAAGCGCTTGAGCAATCTACAGAGTGACTCAATGAAGCAGGCTGAAGTTGTTGCCTACTTTGGCAGGTTTGAGGAGGCTGAAAGAATGTATCTTGATATGGACAGAAGGTAAGTTATGATGGCTTAGTCATCCCCAAGTACTTCTAGAGTCATATTTTTTTTTTTACAAATGGGGAATATAAATAGGTTAAATGTATCGTAACATTTCTTCTAGAAATTAATTCTCAGTTTAGATTACAACCTAGATATTCCACATGCCCCTCATTAATTTATGTTTTATAATTTGGGGGCAGCTTTCATCTTTGTTTTTACATCTAATAATGGCTTTCTGTGGGAGATCTTTTTTCATTTGGTAGGAAAAACGTGATCGGACTCCAGAGACTGAGGGCTTTTATCATTTATTACACAGCTCATTGTTCCGGTTCTTTTTTTAGTTTAGGCCATTATTTAACTTTCTGTTGTCAAGAAGCATAAAATAAAAACCAAAAGTAGTTAAGGATTCAATTTTATTTTTTATATTTTATTTGTGATGTATATAAAATAATGTATGAATTTCATTTCAGCTGTAAACATATTTAATTTCCATTAATGTTATTTATATTTCCAGGAGAGCCCAAATATAATTAAGCTCTGAAAAGAAACATAAAACCAGCATGTGATTATGATGCTATGTGTCTTATTTTGAAATAAACATGATCATGTATAAGAAATTACAGAAAAGAAGTGATTATTATTTAAATCATTATTTTGCTAAATAAATTGGAAGTTCAGGAAGATAAAGGCAGAACATTGTTTTCATTTACCTTTTCTGATATCTCAGTCCATTTGGACTACTATAACAAAATATCTGAGACTGGGTAATTTATTAAGAATAGAAATTTATTTCTCATGGTTCTGGAGGCTGGGAAGTCCAAGATTTTGGTGAGGACAGGTTTGGTGTCTGGTGAGGGGCCTGGCTCTGCTTCCAAGATGATGCCTTGAATGCGGTGCCCTCACATGGCAGAAAGCAGAAGGGCAAAAATCGGCAAACTCTGAAACCTCTTCTGTAAGGGCAATTTCAAGTCATAAGGGTGGACTTCCCAATAGGCCCCACCTCTTAATACCACTACAATGGAGATTAAGTTTCAACATGAATTTTGGAGGGGCCACGCATTCAAACCATAACATCTGAATCCTCCTTACCCACCTATTACCTGATCAGGCTGTTTCTAAAATGTTTAGAGAGCTACCTTGTCTGTCTAACAAGTGCTACGTTTGTATTCACAGTACCTAGAAGTGTACCGAGCACATAGTAGGCACTTGATAAATATTTGTTGGATAGATGAATGAATTGATGCCATTATTTATAGAGATCTTGCTATTGGCCTCCGGCTGAAATTGGGAGATTGGTTTAGAGTACTCCAGCTCTTGAAAACTGGATCTGGTGATGCAGATGACAGTCTCCTTGAACAAGCCCACAATGCCATTGGAGACTACTTTGCTGATCGACAAAAGTGGTATGTAACTTATCTGGAGCACCTCATGCTTTCATGCAACACTTAGTAGCTAGTCAAATCAAGTACTCCTCTAGGAAATAATGCTGGGAAAATGAAGATCATCTTCCTGGATCCTAAAATTCAAATAGTTCAGGATTCAGGTTGGAAAGTCAGAGATCTTTGTAGCTGTGAGATGAGTACTGTAAAATTTTGGAGTTTACAAACATAAAATCTACACTTAGCCCCAGGCAGCTTTCTACTATTTGAGACTATAGTGAACAATTCCAAGACATTATATGATTTATTTCTGAATGAAGTAAAAAAAGTGTTTTATATTTGGTTGTTTTAATATTACATGTTATTTTTAGAAATCATTGGCTTTTATTCTTTATTTTGGTCAATATACCTATTTATGTCAGTGTTTGGGAGTACTGTACATTGGATTAAAACAGTGCTTCTTAACAATATTCAAAGAATGCCACAACTAGAATATGCTACACAGTTTTTAGGGTTCCTTTCATAATTTATATGCTTCAAAGTTATTCTGTAAGGGAAGATGATGAACAGAGTAATACTAGTAAAGGTAATTCTAATGAAGGAATATTTTTGGCGAAAGTGCTTATTGATCAAGAGATTCACATTAGTTTTAAAAGTTTTTCTTTTTTTCTTTCCATAGGTTGAATGCTGTACAATATTATGTACAAGGCCGGAACCAGGCACGCTTAGCTGAATGTTATTTTATGTTAGAAGATTATGAGGGATTAGAGAATCTTGCCAGCTCACTTCCAGAAAACCACAAATTGCTTCCAGTAGGTATTGCAAATTTTAGTTTTTGGAGTTGTTAGGTTATTTTATAACATTTATTAGATTTATTAGAATCTAATATTAGAAACATTTATAACATTTATTAGATTTATTAGAATCAGAAAATATCCTCTGGAATAAAGAAAATTAAAAATTAATCTATAATTTTATAGTATCTTAGACATTTTTATTTTAATTATAAAACAATGTGTCAATATTATGGAATGCTTGAAAATGGAGGGGAAAAATCAGTCATATTCCTATTACTGACACAGTCTCGTGTAGTTTTTTCAGTTTCATAAAATTGCTCTTAAAGCTTAGCTGAATACAGGAAATATTTACAGATGATATGTTGTCAGGGATTTGCTTCAAAATAATCTGGATTTGTTTGAAATTTGTTATAACTTCAGTTTAAAAAGCTAGCTTAACTTTTATTAGGTTATATTAACAATAAAGTATTTAATGTTAAAAAAGAAAAACTAAAAATGTTCACTAACTTTGTTTTGAATGTTCTTTATAAGCCTCTTTTAAGTAATTGTTGAATACTGTAAATGAGTTTGTATTTTATTTGTTTATCTAATATGTAAATTACTGAACTGTACCTCTCAACTGCAGAGTCTGGACATACATCAGTTGTAAGTTCTGCCTCAAATATTTTGTCTGTTAATTATTAGATAAGTACGGAATTTTGATAATTCATTTTTTCCCTATTGTGAATTAGAACAGTTTTCTCTCTAATAATGGCATTTTAACTCAAACTCATTCTCAATCCTATGTGTTTTCTTATATAGGAAAGAACTGAAATTACTTAGGACCCTGGTTATGGGGAATAGTGTATCCCACATTTGTGTCTTCTGTTAGCTGTCCCTGATGAAGCAGAAAAAGATTTTGTTATAGAGTATCCAGAATATTAATATTACTGAGTAAATAATAAGTAATTATAACTATAATAATAATTAAATAACTAAAATAATAAAAAAATTGTGTTAGTACTATAAATTTTAAATCTAGTTATAGAGGCATTTTTAATAATATGGGAAGATGTACGTAGTATTTAAGCAGGAAGTGCAGGATACAAAATTATATGTAGTATGATCACAGTGTTACACAAACGCACACATGCATATATATTCATAGGACAAAATGTTAAGAATTCACACCAGAATATTGAGAATGGTAAGGTTATGAGTAACTTTACTTTTTCATGTTTTGCAAATTTTTTTACTATTAGAATGTATTACTTTATAATCAGCAAAATATAAGCATTACTTTTAAGAAGATAGTTGGATATGAAATATACTTTTATATTTCCAAAAATATTGTAGAAAGGGGTTTAGGGAGAGAAAAACTCTGGCTAATCAGATATTCTGAAAGAAAAAAATTGATTTGAAAATGGAGAATGCAGCTGAACAAATAAGATTTGTGGCAGTGGTGGTTCTCCCTGCCACCACCCTCCAAAGGAGCTCTGTTTTGGGTCTAGCTTCCTGAACTGATGAATGGTGGACTTCTCTAGGGCATTTTGTTATAGAGTTCTTTGAGAGGTTTCCCTTAAGCCTCTAATTAATGGTTAACATGGAGTATATCACCAATTGCTGTAAAAGTTTTTTTTTTCACCCACTGGTGTGGGATTTGTTTTGGAGCTTCACATACCTGTACACTAGCTACTTAACCAAGAGAAGAAGGAAGTGTAGTGTCTTCAGGGCCTGGTTAAAAATCAGACCCACAGCCTGAGCCTGTGAAGCTATGGTTTTATAGAAGGTGATGCCTGAGCATCCGTTCTGATTTATAGCCTTTGCCCCTGTGTCTGTTTACGAGAAAAATCTGTAACTACCAGAAAATTTAATATTCATATGCCCCTATGGAGTTTTGGTCAATTAAAATGTAAGTGGTTTTCTTGGTCTGTGAAATCTGATAATATTGTTTTGTTTTTCAGGAAATAGCACAAATGTTTGTGAAAGTTGGAATGTGTGAACAAGCAGTGACTGCATATTTGAAATGTAATCAACCAAAGGCAGCTGTAGATACCTGTGTACATCTCAACCAAGTAAGGAACTGAAATTTACTGTCTGTGCAGCTTGGTGTTTTAGGTATATTTTAACTCAAAGCAAAATTAAAGTCACAGTAGTCATCCTTTAAAGATTATTACTAATGTAAAGCATCAGAGAGCTTGACATAAGGTTGAGGACTGAGAAAGTGGTGAAGTTTGCACTTTCCTCTTAAAGTGCTACCATGAGTGGTGACCCACTCATAACTAACTCAATATGGGAGCATGAACAGATCCTGTGCTTTTAGTCTGGCAAATTTTTGTCTGGAAGTAATTTCATAATTTTCTGCATTTTATTAGGGTTGGGTTTTGTTTCCAAAGAAGGACCAGTTAATGGTCAGTCCTTGCCTGAGGAAGGAATTGAGTTACTTTATCAATATTTATTTTGGCAAATATATTTTCCTTTCCCTTTATAGGAAACATGTATTTGATATTTTTAAGAGCTGCAATTTAATAAAATTAAAGTGTAGAATTATTATGGAAACTGTTGACTATCAATGTATTCTTTTAATATTTTCCTTAAAGTATTTTTAAAGCCCCATTTGCTTTATAAAAATAATTTTTAAATGTTAAATCTGATAGGACATCTTTTAACTGAAATTGCATATTTGTTTTACTATAAAATATAAACAAGTGTATCTTTTTCTTGGTCATAGTTTGTGTAAATATGCAATTATAAGATTAATATAATTATAAATTTTGGAACTTTCTTTTTCAGATGCACTTCTTAAGCAAATCAGAGTCCTAGTTCATTTAATCATTTGACACAGATTTACCTTATAGAACTCATGTTACTCTATGTTATGTGATTTATAAAAACATACCCGTTTTTAATTTTGAAGTAGTAGTATTTATTATAAACTTAAAGCTTTACTGTGTGAATTTTATGACATATGTGATTGTAAATACTTGGGTGACCAAATGGTATAATTGTTTTCTTAGTGGAACAAAGCTGTTGAATTGGCTAAAAATCATAGTATGAAAGAAATTGGATCTCTGTTAGCTAGGTATGCATCTCATTTGCTGGAAAAGAATAAAATTCTTGATGCCATAGAACTTTATCGGAAAGCCAATTACTTTTTTGATGCTGCTAAACTCATGTTTAAGGTAATGTAATAATCTTGGTGAGTATTTGGTTTCTTCTAGTTACAAATCTTTTTATGTATACATTTTCCATTTTCTTTGGAAACAAATATTTGTTACAGCAAAACCCCTCTGGTTTTATTACTACTAGAACTATGCATTATTTTAGTATTATTACCTTTTACTAACAAGGCTATTTTACTAATGCTAGCAACTTATTGATACTTAAACAATTATATATTTAATACTAAAGTTAACAAAGAGTTAAAGAATTTGCTGGGCCACAAAGAACAAATTCCTACAACTGTGGGAATTAAATTTTTTTGATAATAGAGTTTTGAGCCCTTTTAAATGTACAAGTTTTATATATTACACTTTACATAGTATCAATTTGGAGGAAAGGTCACTATTAATAGTACAGTATTAATATATACAAATTTTACATTCTATTCTATTCTTTTCCCATTTGATTTAATGAAAAAAGGAAAACTTTCCCTCAAAATCATTTAAATAAATATAAAGTTCTGGAGGATGCACCATGTTAACACCATTGTGCTTTTGTGTATTTGGAACATTATTTTTAAAATCTCTGTGTTGTGGAAAATACTAGCCATTTTATCAACACTTTCTTCATTCTGATTTAGCTATTTAACAGCACCTGTTATGTTCTAAGATTGATATGCGTTCTAATTCCAAGGGCTAAATACTAAGGAAAGAACTAAGTACTTATATGTACTAAGGAAAATAAAAAGGAATTTAAAAATATTTGTCATAAACAGGTGGTGTTTATATACCATCCTATTGATTTTTCCTCTTTTTTTTAGAGAATGAAATTTCAATTAATTTTGGAAATGATTATATTTGTACAAATATAGATTAAGAAGTATCTTTCCCCAATTTTTTAAATGTTTAGATTGCAGATGAAGAGGCAAAGAAAAGAACTAAACCTTTACGTGTTAAGAAGCTCTATGTACTCTCAGCCTTACTTATAGAGCAATACCATGAACAAATGAAAAATGCCCAACGAGGAAAAGTTAAAGGAAAGAGTTCAGAGGTAAGGTAGAGCATTTTATACCATTAGATCATCTGAAGTATTTAAGAAAAAACAAAACTACCAAACTTTTCTTTATGGGTATGTCATTTAATTTGTATGTCTACATTTGTTTCCTTAAATGATATGAAGAAAATAAATGACTTAGAATTATTATTCAAATTTAGAAATTTCTACTTAGCAATATTGAAAATTATTTTTTCTACAATACTAATCTGTAGTCTTTGCTTTAATTTCCTATTTTTGTTAAAAATTTTAGTTACCTGGTAAATCTCCTTTCTAATAAGTGAGTTTTAAAAATTTTCATGTAATAGAATATGTATACCATTTTAATAAATAAATTTCTTACTAACTTAAAGTTTAGTCAGTTGTATTTTAAAATTTGATCATACCAGTTTAACAAATATAAATTAGAATAAAAAATTAAATCAGTCATGACAGTTATATAATGATAAAATCTGCTCATTTAGATATTTTTTTCCCTCCTCATTTATATATTTTAATGTGTAAAAATTTACAGACTTAACTGTAATGACTATTGTTATGTGGGAGTTGATACTGTGTGCGTTTGTTTGTGCTGACAGAAAGTGGGTGTTGGCTTTACTTGTAGGCCACTTCTGCTTTGGCTGGTTTGCTGGAAGAGGAAGTTCTGTCTACAACTAGTCGCTTCACAGATAACGCATGGCGAGGGGCTGAGGCTTACCACTTCTTTATACTTGCACAGAGGCAGCTCTATGAGGGATATGTTGACACTGCATTGAAGACAGGTGGGCATGTCACCTAATGTATATAGTATGTCTGAAAATTTTTAAATTGAGTATGAAAGACCAGCTCTTTCAATTTGCCTTTATATTAATTTCAATAACATTTTTTCTGTGAGTTTATTTTTATATGTTTGAGATTATGCTATGTACAATTTGTTTTGTGCATTCCACTGTTTGAAGTTCTTTTTATTTTTTTAATACATAGAAAACAATAAATATAGTTCATAGAAATGTCAGAAGTTTTAGATAAGCAAAAAGAACATGTATAACATTCATGTGGCCATTCAAAGTTAAACACTCAATAATCAAGTTCATATCCTTTTGGAGATATATTTGTACATATATTTATTTTTAAGATTTTTAATTTTTAAATATATTTATTTTAAAATAATTTCAAAAATAATTTTGTTTTTTACAATATTGGGAGTGCTTTTTTAAAACAATAATATGCCGTAAAGTATCTCCACATTTTACATATATATTGCCATACAGTTTATCTTGTTTTTATAAAAATTATCTAATAATTTCAACCAAAACAGAAAAATACAAAGAAAAAGGTAAAATAATCTAATAATTTATAATAAATCCTATAACTGAGAGATAATCAGTTAAATTTAGATAAGTTTCCTTTTAGACATTTCTCCATGTTAGAGCTTGCTTTTTTTTAATTTTTATTTTGGCATATTATGGGGTACAGATTTTAAGGTTTCAGAATAAATGCCCTTTCCCCCTCCCCCACAAGTCTGAGTTTCCAGCATGACCATCCCCCAGATGGTACACATCTCACTCATTATGTATGTATATACCCACCCCCCTCCCCCTGCCCAATACCCTATTACTGTAGTACATATGTGTCCACTTAGGTGCTGCTTAGTTAATACCAGTTTACTGGTGAATATATGTGGTGCTTGTTTTTCCATTCTTGGGATACTTCACTTAGTAGTATGGGTTCCAGCTCTAACCAGGAAAATATAAGATGTGCTATATCACCATTGTTTCTTAGAGCTGAATAATACTCCATGGTATACATATACCACATTTTATTAATCATTCTTGGATTAATGGGCACTTGGCGTTTCCACAGCCTTGCGATTATGAATTGTGCTGGTAAAACATTCAAGTGCAGGTGTCTTTTTGTAGAGTGGTCATTGGATCTTTGGGTAGATGCCCAGCAATGGGATTGCTGGATCAAAATGGTAGATTCACGTTATCACTTTAAGTTCTCCATATTGCTTCACAGAGGTTGAACTAGTTGCAGTCACCACCAGCAGTGTAGGAGTTTCCTCTCTCTCCGCATCCACGCCAGCATTTGTTATTTGGAGACTTTTTGATAAGGCCATTCTCACTGAGTTAAGGATATCTCATTGTAGTTTTGATTTGCATTTCCCTGATGATTAGAAGATGCTGAGCATTTTTTCATATGTTGTTGGCCATTCTTCTGTCTTCTTTAGAAAAGTTCTGTTCAAGTCCTTTGCCCCTTTTTAATAGGGTTATTTGATTTTTTCTTGCTGATTTCGTGAGTTCTAAGTATATTCTAGTTATCAGCCCTTTATCGGATACGTAGGATGCAAAAATTTTCTCCCTATCATTCTATAGTTGTCTGTTACTTTCATGACTGTTTCTTTGGCTTGCAGAAGCTTTTTAGTTTCATCATGTCCCATTTATTTATTTTTGTTGCTGCTGTGATTGCCTTTGGGGACTTCTTCCATAAACTCTTTGCCCTAGGCCGATGTCTAGGAGAGTGTTTCCAACATTTTCCTCTAGAATTCTAATAGTTTCATACCTTAGGTTTAAGTCTGTTATCCAGCGTGAGTTGATTTTTGTGAGAGGTGAGAGGTGTGGGTCCTGCTTTAGCCTTCTACAAGTGGCTATCCAGTTTTCCCAGTACCATTTATTGAAAAGGGATTCTTTTCCCCAGCGTATGTTTTTGTCTGCTTTGTCAAAGATTAGATGGCTATATGAGGATGGTTTTATATCAGGATTCTCAGATCTGTTCCACTGGTCAATATTCCTATTTTTGTTAGAGCTTGCTTTTTACTCTTAACAGTATGTTCTAGTTTCTTTCCTCGTTGTTAAACTCAGATTTATATGATCATTTTTAATAGCTACATCCATAGTATTTTTGTACTATAATTTATACAAGATTATTTACATGCAGCATCAGGATTTTAATTTCTTCTTAACAATAACAGTATTTTAGAGTTTAGATGTGTTAACTCCAAAGAGCATAATTATGAGAATTGTATTATAAACAAAAGCATATGAATGACTGAACCATCACTGCTCTTTCAGCGTGGCCACGGCAGCAGCGCAGGCACTATCACGATCCACCCCATCCTCCCTCTGTCACGTTGGTGAAACCATCCACTTGCTGCTCAGATCATTGTCAAATGCGTGTCATACCCTAATCCTAATAGATCATGAACCTGTATTCTAATGGCATAATCTTTAAAAAAAACCTTTTAGAGAAATTCTTTTATTAATATTTGTTTCTGGAATTCTATAGGGATGATTTTTATTTTTTCATTATTTCTATTAGAGCTCTTTCGTATATATTGATTTTCCCTAGCATTTATAAATTACAATTACTTAACCTTTCTAAGCTTGAGTTTCTTTTTGTGTCAAGTGGGAATTAAAGTTGTTTTAATGATTAAGTTAGAAATTTCTGAAAGAAAATTCACTTATTATTGCCTGGACATCATGAGCCCTCAAAGTGGCTGTGATGATGATGTAAATAGTGTGTTTTGTTAGAGTCGTATCTGTCAGCCTTTTACTTCATATTTTTCACTTAGGGCTTATGCTTAGGAAGTGCATCATGTCAAGGCTATTAAATATTATATTTTATTATAGCTTCTTAGTTATCATAAAACCATTTATTAAGAATTTATTCTTTCCTCATGGATTTGAAATTCTACCTTCATGAAACTAAATTTATACATATTCTTAATTCCTTCCTACCAGGCCATTATTTTCTATTCACGTATTTCTATTCTAGTAGTATCCTCTTAGTCACGTTACTTTTACATTTTAATATTTGGTATTTAAGATCTCCATTATTACTCCTCTTTTTGAAAAGAAATTCTGGGTATTTTCTTGTATTTGTCATCCAGAGCAACTTTACAACCTTTCTGAGGGTGGGAGAAGTCACACCTCAATCAATGAAGTCCCACTGAATTTTAGATTAGAATTGCATTAATTTAATACATGAATATTGGGATCATTTATATGTTTATGGATTTCCTCATCCAGGAGCACCATTTAAAATGTTGCACTTTTTTTTTAATTGATGCATAATAATTGTACATACTTATGAGGTACATGTGATATGCATACAATGTGTCATAGATGCATACAATATGTAATGCTCAAATCAGAGTAATTAGGCTGTGCATCACCTCAAGCATTTATCATTTTTTCATGTGTGTTGGGAACATTCTTTTTTTTTTTTTTGAGACAGAATCTTGCTTTGTTGCCCAGGCTAGAGTGAGTGCCGTGGCATCAGCCTAGCTCACAGCAACCTCAAACTCCTGGGCTCAAGCGATCCTACTGTCTCAGCCTCCCGAGTAGCTGGGACTACAGGCATGCGCCACCATGCCAGCTAATTTTTCTATATATTAGTTGGCTAATTAATTTCTTCTATTTATAGTAGAAGTGGGTCTTGCTCTTGCTCAGCTGGTTTTGAACTCCTGACCTCGAGCAATCCACCTGCCTTGGCCTCCCAGAGTGCTAGGATTACAGGTGTGAGCCATCGTGCCCGGCCATGTTGGGCATTCTAAGTTTTCTATTCTAGTTATTTTGGAATATACAATAAATTATTGTTAACTGTAGTCACCTTACTGTGCTATCAAACACTAGAACTTATTTCTTCTATTTAACTGTAGATTTGTACTGATTAATCAACCTGCCTTCACTGCTCCCTGAACCCCTTTCCCAGCCTCTCGTAACCATCGTTCTACTCTCCATGAGATCAACTTTTTTAGCTCACACATCTGAGTAAGAATATGTGATGTTCATCAGAAACATCAATTTCTTCACAATTCCATGGTTGCCCCAGTGCTTGGGCTCCTGGAAGTGAAAAAGCTTCCAGGTAATTTGGTAGCCTGCTGATCACTGGAGTATGGGAAGGAGCAAGGAATTCCCCCTTACCACTCACTGGGCTCCGAGCCCATCTGGGTTTAATCCTCACTGATATCCTCTTTTCCTTTTTCCTCCTCCTCCTCTGCTTGGCAGTTTCCCTCTGTGAGGTCCCTGGTGGGCTTTCGTACTTCTTTTTCTGACCTACACCTGAACTGTGTCCTTTTTCCCCTCTCCTTTGTCTGAAACCCTTCCTTCCTTCTGGGACCGTCTGGTAAGCAATGTCTCTAGTCAGCCATCTTGCCTTGGCCTCTCATTCTAGAAACATAAATTTAAAAACCTATTTGTGTTATCTGTGTTTCTCTCTAAAGATTTGTAGTTTTCTTCTTGTATGCTCTGAACATTTCTTTTACAATTTATTCCTATTTATGTTGTCATTAGCAATGGGACTGTACAATTTTTTTTCTCATTGGTTATTAGTTATATAGAAATGATTTTTATTTTTATATGTTTATTTTATAACCGACCTTCATTTAACTTTGTGGTTAATATATTATTAAATTATATATTATTTATTATAGTTGTATTTTTATATAAGTTATACAACATTTATAGACATATATTAAAATAAAAATTCGATCTTTAACTTGAGATACTTTACCTGCTGGGTGAAGATATCCATATGCTTCTTTTTTTTTGGTTTTAGTGATAAAATGATCTGAAACAATATATGCCTTGTAAGTTATTACCTGTGACCTTATTATGCTCCATATGTGAAATTAGAGGGTTGTTTAGTATAATTGAATGATTGTATTTCATATAAATTTCTTCCACTAAACTTTGTTGTAAACACTTTACCTGAGAACCAGTTTATAGAAATCTTTTATTTATTTATTTTATTTTTTTTGAGACAGAGTCTCACTTTGTTGCCCAGGCCAGAGTGAGTGCCATGGCGTCAGCCTAGCTCACAGCAACTTCAATCTCTTGGGCTCAAGAGATCCTACTGCCTTAGCGTCCCGAGTAGCTGGGACAACAAGCATGCACCACCATGCCTGGCTAAGTTTTTTTGTATATATATATTTTTTAGTTGGTCAATTAATTTCTTTCTATTTTTTTTTTTAGTAGAGACGGGGTCTTGCTCTTGCTCAGGCTGGTCTCGAACTCCTGACCTCTAGCGATCCACCTGCCTCGGCCTCCCAGAGTGCTAGGATTATAGGCGTGAGCCACTGTGCCCAGCCTATAGAAATCTAATTATAAAATACATGAATATATTGTTTTAAAGTTGCTTTATGACATTTTCAATATACTATAATAAGATATTTTTATGATTGCCAGGTCTAGAGAAGAAAAAGATATAAATTGGTTCCAAATATGATATTAAATCTATAATATATTTTTAAGAAAGGTTATATTTCCAGTATAGAAAAATTAAAAATAAGGTGTGATAACAATCAAAATAAATTATCTGAATTAACATTTAGAAACTCACTTTCACTTCTTTTTTCTCAAGGTCCTATTGTTTCAGTAAGACAGAAAAGCAATAATCTCTTTAAAGAAACAAAGAGAGAACACAACACAAGATTTCACTACTAGTTTGCTTTTTTTATTTATTTTTTTTACAAAAAGAAACATATCATTTTGAGAATTACAACTAACGTACTATAATATTAATTTACTTTTTCTGGAATGCCACAGAAATTTCTAACATTAATGGAATAAAAGAAGGGTGTTTTGACCCCAAAATTGTTTTCATCTGTGTGTATTGTATATTTCTAAGTTGGCAGAGCCATGTGCACCATTTCAGAGGACCTGAGCTGTTAACTGGCTTCACAGAACCTAGGAGATCATGTAGCCTGCTTCTTCCTACTGTTGCTCTCATCTCTACACTGTTTGCTTTAAGTTTGTTAAAGTTCATGTAGCTTAAACTAAAACATTGTAACATAGATTCTTTCCATATATGTCCATGATATTTTGATTATTTTTAAAAACCCAAATTGTCCTCTTTTTCCTAGCTCTTCACCTGAGAGACTATGAAGACATTATCCCTGCTGTTGAGATCTACTCTCTGTTAGCACTCTGTGCATGTGCCAGCAGAGCTTTTGGTACTTGTTCCAAAGCATTCATTAAACTCGAATCTTTAGACACCCTCAGTACAGAACAGAAACAGCAATATGAAGACCTTGCTCTAGAAATCTTCACCAAACATACTCCAAAAGATAACAGAAAATCTGAATTGGATAGCCTTCTGGAAGGGTAAGCTGATTGTAATTAGTAGATTACCTTAATAGAAGCTTGTATTTCTGTCTGTATAATGTATAATATAGGAATTAAAGCACTACATTTTTAAGCAATTTACATTAACATTATACCCTGTTTTATTTAGTCTTATGAGCGTATTAATGTTTTATTTTTTTCTTTGTAAAAATTTTTACTTGAAAAAACTTTTCAAAATGAAAGTATTTTATTGGAAGTTAATCTTGAATTTTTTTATTCTTCAGTTTTTAAAGTGTGTTTAATAAATTTAGACTAGTTAGAAGCTTTAAAATATAATTAATTATTTTTCCTCTTATTTTTACAGTGGAGAAGGAAAACTGCCAACATGCGTTGCCACAGGGAGCCCAATCACTGAGTATCAGTTCTGGATGTGCAGTGTGTGCAAGCACTGTGTTCTTGCTCAGGAAATTAGTAACTACAACTTCTGTCCCTTATGCCACAGTTCAGTGGCATAAAGGAGTGATGATCTGTATATAATTGTAAAATATATGTAGCACATATATACATAGCTAGAACTGTATATGTAATATTGGTTTTTCTAAGTTTTATATGAAAATCAAGCTCACCATCTTATAGTTGTATTTCTACACAAAATATATATTATAATAAAATAATTAATATTTGTGTGGAAATTCAACTATGCAATAAAAGGCTGTTTTTCATATGAAACTTATCAAAATCAACCTTATTTTCTGTCTGTCTTTTATCTATCTTGTGGTTGTTTACAAGACAGCATGGAAATATTCCAAATAAGAAATGTTTTTCTCAGAGTGTCAAGGATCCTAATTCATTAAAAATTCTTGAGGGAGGGGTGGGAGATGGGGGAAGTATGGGAGTGGAGCAAAGATCAATTTAGAGAATTGACATAACTTTTACTAGGAGGCTAAACAATTGTAATACTGAAATGAGCTCTCTTTCTAGTGGTATTTACTTTAAGTAAGTAAGTATTGAATGTTATCTATATTTTATTTCCAAAAGTGAAGTGATGGCATTTTAAGACAATTTTCACAGTTTGAATTGTTTCTAATATCCTATTCTTCATCTTTTTCAAAATCTACCCTTTTAGTCTCATTCAAAGGATAGCATTTGGCATTTACTGTTTCATGCCTTTGTGTAGAAAACTTGGCTTTATCTATAATGATAAGAATTTATACAAAAATATTCACTTATAGTTTTGCTGAAACATTGTCACCAAGCTGGACCCTTCATTTAGATAACTCTCTTGTTATAGGGAGTGATTCTTTCTTGACATATATGTGTTTTGATTTATTATTATTAATTTAAAAGAGAAAAATTATGATCAGTAATGATAATTTCTTACCTCTTTTATATAGCTAATAACATTCTCTGTTTATTTCTCATGGGCTCCCATTTTGTGGCTCAAGACCAGACTTTAGCGCTATTTCATTAAGATGATTTTCTGAAGTTTGGCTGATGTTTAGTAGAGGCAATAAATGGAAAGAAATATTAAACTTTGTTATTGCAGCTATGATACTTAGATTAGTTCACTCTCTCAATGTGACATGTTTTTGGTCCTGTGGAGACAATTTAAACCTGTTACAGTTTGAGAAGTGAGCTGTAAGGACAGATTTAGAGCCTAGGTGAACTTAGGATAGATAGTGGGCTCAAGTGCCTAAATAAATGGGAGGAACAGAAGTCTTTGAAGTCTCTGTCTCTGTTCATGTGCCTTGTGGACAATGACATTGGTACGATGGTAGCCTCCAAATACGCTACCAAGCAAGCTGTTCCAGAGAGGCTTACATGGATCAGAGAGGCTTACAAACCAAATGAGGATGTTCAAAATCAATTTGGTTTTTAAATCAATTTGGAATGCACAGTGAGGAACAAGGAGAAAGTGATGGGGTAGATTAACACTGTTAGGATAGGGTAGAAATTAAAAAAAAATAGAAAGAAGAAGAAAAACATATATAAACATATAAAATCAGTGTGCAGTCAGAGGGTTACACTAAAAGAAGAAAGCAAAATAAAAGAAACAAACAAACAAAAGATAAAAAGAAGGCTAGGGTGCCAGTGGATTAGAAAGACCATAGTACCTGACTCCTGGGTTAGATAATGTTCTCATGTCCTGACTCCCACTCTGTCACTTCAGCTTTCCACTGATAGTGGGATTATGAAGAGGACCAGGGTTGAGGTTTGAGCCAGGGGACGCAATCAGATGAACCGTGCCTGAGGCCAGCGATACACACTTGCTCTATAGAAGGGGCTCAGGGGCAAGTACACTTGGCCATAGCTGTAGCTTGCCAGTTAGTGTGCTAAGCAGTCATGAATTTTACTGTAGAGGACAGGCCAGAATAAGTCACCAATGAGTAATTGAATAAAGACCTTACACATATTGAGGGCTTTATATGTCTCATGCATACTTACTGTATCGTGAATATTTAGGATCTTTGTTGCTCTTCATACTTTTAGTGCTTCATGAATATTTGGTATCTCTTGTTCTGTCCTCTTCTATCTTTGGTCACACATATATGCTCTACTTTGTCTAATATGTCTCATAAGTTACTAACTTCTCTAAATTTAACACAATGAATTTCATCTATTTCATTTGTTTTCTTCTATACCAGAATGGAATATTTCCCCAAATCAAAAAGTCACATCCTAACAAAGAGGTCTATCTAAGAAAATATCTCTCCTATTGAACTTATTTACATCTTTCTATAGAACTATCTATTTTCAGGGATAAGACTATTCTCTGCTTAATCAATGAAAGAGAAATTTTCAGGTCTGTAGGGATAGCACACTTGTTAGCTCTGCCTGTGTGAAAGGTTCCTTCAGGACAGTTTGTTCAGAGTTGTGATTCTTGGTCCATGGTTTAATGCCCGAGTGTCTCTTCTTTCCTTGTCCCTTTACTCTCACAGGAATTAGCTGAGAACTCATTAGATTGTCCTGCTGCTAGCCCTTATTGTGGCCTGTTGGTTATATTCCCATTTGCTTCAATTCCAGAATCACCTGTTGACTTCTCAGACCTCTCCTGACATATCTTTGGGGAACTCTCTTTTGGAGCCTTCTTATTAGTCACTAAGTTCATGTTGCCTAGGCTCTAGAATTTTTCCTCCAACTGATTATTTCAGATTGGTCCTGATTTGCTTGGGATATTTCTTGTTAAATTTTGATCCAGAAAAAAAATTATCTAAAAACAACCTCTGATACTTTGTAGAACTAATTATCATATGTGTATATGATGTGTGTGTGTGTGTGTATACACATGCATATATGCACACAGATACATCTTTTCTACTATTGTAAAAGCTTAAGACTCTTTGGGATCTATATCTGTGAAAGCTTTAATGATCTGCCATAATGTCTTGGGGACCTTTGTCTTGAAATTGGTACTAGAGAAAGAACTCATAGTATGAGTTGGTCCACTTGGTTTTATTAAACAGGAAGGAAATTTCAAGATAACAACACTAACAAACTCTCCCCTATTAAAAGGGACAAAGAGAAGGAAAATTGACCATATAAAACAAATACTTGGAGAAAAGTTGGAAAGGCAGAATTAGTATATCAAAAATAGCATAATGAAACAGTTATATTCTATTTTTTCAGTAAATATGAACTGACTCCCTTTGAGTAATGCTGAGTTGTTCTTTATCACAAAACTGCCCTGAATTATATTATGTTTCAAAGTAGCGTGGTAGGCCAAAGCATTGAAATGATGGAACCGACTGATAAAGCTTTGACTGATAAGCAATGTGCCTAACAAGCAGCATAGCATTGTTGACCTGCTATAATTCACAAATGCTAATTTCATTATAAGTTCTTTGGCTAAAATATTTGAAATTATCTGTCTGTATTCCAAGAGCTGACATCTTAGGATTTATGTGGCATTAAGTGAAAAAGTATAAAAATAATAAATATTGAAGAAAAATTGACTTGCCTTTGTTCCAAATTTCATTTATCTATAACTTATGGATAACATGGTGTTTGCTTAGTCTTCATTTAAATATTTTGGTGGTGTTTGTCTAGGAGGGTATTGAGCTTCAGAGGGGTAAAGGGAGAAGGGGCAGGAGGTATAATAGATGTACAATACCACTTTTGCTACCAAATGGGGAAAAAACCCTTATAAAGACCTTATAAAGATACTAGGCAAATGTCAGATTATTGGAGGTTGCAGTGAATTACTTCTTAGTGGCCATGCTGAGTTTTCATTTAGAAATGAAGGAAGAAAATATGTTATTAGACTTTTAAGAGAAAATCAAGAGTATGTATTGAATTTGATGATATTGTAGCTCTATGATTTTACTACTGAGTTTCTAAAATGAAAATAGCAATATATGTTGCCCCTACTGTCTAAGATTATTCTCAATTAACTTTTTTCTTTAAGAAACTAACATTTTTTTGACTATCTTTTATTTTTATTTTTTTTGTGCTGCTTATTCACTCTTTTTTAAATTATTTCAGCATATTATGGGAGTGCAAATGTTAAGGTTATGTATATTGCCCATGCCCCCCTTCCCCCTTGAGTCAGAGCTTCAAGCATGACCATCCCCCAAACGTTGCACATCTTACTCATTATGTTTGTATATACCCATCCCCCCCCCACCCGACACCCGATAAATGTTATTCCTATATGCCCACTTAGGTGTTGATCCGTTAATACCAATTTGCTGGGGAGTACATGTGGTGCTTGTTTTTCCATTCTTGAGATACTTCACTTAGTAGAATGGGTTCCAGCTCTATCTAGGAAAATACAAGAAGTGCTATATCACCATTATTTCTTAAAGCTGAATAGTACTCCATGGTATACATATACCACATTTTATTAATCCACTCATGTATTGATGGGCACTTGGGAAACTAACATTTTTTTAAAAGTATAAAATAACAAATGTTCATGGTAGAAAATTTTAAAAATACATGATTATAGATGATAAAGTATAGTCTTGTCTTTTTAAAAATAAAAACATTAATTTATATTTTAGTTGGATTTGAGAGGAGAAAAACACTGAGGTGAAGAAACTGATGTATTATAAGTGTTTTTTCATAACAAGGTATTTGTTCTTAAGAGATTTCTCTAAACTCAAATAAAAAAGTAGATATTAAGAGCTTAGGGTTATTATTTTATTTAACTATTGATTTCTTATCTGGCATAGTTTAAATTTCTAGTGAGTAAAATTTATTTAGATAAAAATGAGATACTTCTATACACTTACCACAATGGCTAAAATTAACTGACAAGACAAATGTCGGTGAGGATAGAGAGCAATCGAAACTCTCCTACATACCTGGCAGAAATACAAAATAGTACACCCACTTTGGAAAAGTTTGAAAGTTTTTTTAAATTTAAACATACACTTACTGTAAGACCCAGCAAACCCACTCTTAGGAATTTACCTAGGAGAAATCAAAACACATCTGCACAAAAACTTGCATGCAAATGTGCAAAAGTTTTATTCATAATCGCCAGAAACTGGAACAAAGCCAAACATCCATCACCATGTGGATATGTAAACAAATTGTGGACTATCCATATCCAGTGAAATACTGCTCAGGAATAAAAAGGAATGAACTATTGATACATGGATGAACCTCAAAAGCACTGTGCTATGTGTAAGAAGCCAGACATAAAAGGCATACTGTATGATGTTATTTATATGAAATTCTAGAACAGATAGAATCATGGTGATAGAAAGTGGTGCCTGACGTCAGGGAAAAGCATAGGGGATTGACTTGGAAGGGGACAAAGGAACTTTTTGGGATGATATAAATGCTTTATATCTTGTTTTTGATGGTAATTACCTGGATATATGTTTGTCAGAACTCATCAAATTATATCCTTAACATTGGTAATTTTATTTTTTTAAAATAAGGCATTTCTATTTTAATTGAATTTAACAGAAGAAAAATAAACAGGTGAAACTGAATATATTGCTGTATTATATATTTATAATAAGAAATACATTTTAAAAAGAGATTTCTCATAAGTTAAAAAATTAATGTAAATTATACTTCAATAAAGCTGATTAATAAAACAAAGCTAATAGAGAAAAATGTAATATTAACTAGTTAATTTAAAATAATACAGGAAAAGAGAAAAAGAAGAACAAATCATACATGAGAAAAATAACAGGGCAGACTTAAACCCAGCTGTATCAATAATTATGTTAAATGTAAATGGACTAAATACTCTAATTAAAAGAGATTGTCAAAATATAATAGATTTTTGAAAGCAAGAGTCTGTTTGAAAACAGAGATAGGTTGAAAGTAAAAAGATGAGAAAAGATGTACCATGCAAATGGCAAGGATAAGAAAGCTTATGTGTTTCTATTATTACCAAATAGACTTACAGACAATGAATATTACTAGAGATAAAGAAAAATATTTCATAATGATAAAAGGGTCAATCCAACAGGGAGAGAAATAATTCTAATTGTTAATATACCTAGTAAAAATAAGCAAAGCAAAAACTGACAGAACTAAAGGGAGAAAAAGGCAAATCCATATCATAGTTAGAGATTGTAATACCCCTCTCTCTGTAATTGATAGAAATGGACAAAAAAATAAGGATATAGAAGATTTTTGAAAGAAAGAAATTACTTTATGAAAGTAATTTCTATCCTAAGGTCTTGAAGATACTATATTCTAAAAACTTTATTCTTTTGCCTCTCACAATTAAATTTGTAATCCACATGGAACTGTGGATTTTTGTCAATTATGTTAGATAAGGGTCAATTTTTTTTCCCTCCATTTGGATACTCAGTTGAAGTCCATCCTTTCCACACTGATGTGCAATTGTATTCAAAAAATCAAGTCTCTCTCTCTCTCTCTCTCTCTCTATATATATATATATATATATATATACATACACACAAACAGTTTCTGGTTTCTTTTTGTTCCATTGTCTTTGCATTTGTCTTTCTCTGTGCCCAAAGCATAATGCCTCAGTTATTATAGTTTTATAATAAGTCTTTCTGTGTGGTAGAGGAAGTCCTTCTATTTTGTTTTTCTTCTACAAAAATGATTTGTTACTGTTGGTCCTTTGTACTTCTTTTCTATCTACACAATCTTATAATTGGTGTTTGATGATTGCTTCTTTTTTTCTTTCCAATCTCTATCCTTTTTATTTCTTTTTTCACCTTATTGCACTGACTAGGATCCCTGATACACTGTTGAATAATAGAAGTGATGATATTGGGCATCCTTGTCTTATTTCTAATATCAAAGAAAATCCTTCAATATTTTGCCACTGCTTATTATATTTGCTGTAGCTATTTTGTTGGTAGGTTTTAATAAGTTAATTATGTCCCTTGTGGTTCTAGTTTGCTAAAGCATTGAATTTTATTCAGTGTCTTTTCTACATGTATTGATATTTTTTTCTTTAATTCATTGGTGTGGTGAATTACAGTACCACAACCAAGAATACTTTATAATGCTAAAAGCTGCAATTTACAATAAAAATATAACCTGTAAGAATATCTGTGGACATAGATATAACAATATCTATGCACATAACAACCAACTTTATGAAGCAGTAGAAACGGTATAGAAACAGTAAATAATGACTTCAACACAGTGTTGTTGCAAAGATCTCAAAATTACAGCATTCACACTAAATTTTTTGATTTTTTTATTGTGATAAAATATACATAGCATAAAATTTACTATCTTAACATTTTTAAGTGTACAATTAAAGTGGTATTAACTACATTTATTAAGTACATTCATATTATACACATTCCACCATCACCACCATCCATCTCTAGAACTCTTTATATGACAAAACTGAAACTGTAAACTCATTAATCCCCCTCACCCCAGCCCCTGGCAACCACCATTCTACTTCTGTCTCTATGACTATGACTACTCTAGGTACCTCATTTAAATAGAATCATGCAGTCTTTTTGTGACTGGCTTAGTTCACTTAGTATAATGTCCTTGAGGTTCATCCATGTTGTAGCACATGTCATAGTTTCTGTCCTTTTAAGGCTGGATAATATTCCATTGAATGTATGTACTACATTTTGCTTGTCCATTCATCTGTTGATGGACACTTGGGTTGCTTCTACCTTTTAGCTGTTGTGAATGATGCTGCTATGAACATGGGTGTCAAATAGCTCTTTAAGACCATGCTTTCAAGTTTTGGGAGGTATATATACCTGGACATGGAATTGCCGAATCATAATTTTATTTTTAATATTTTGAGGAATACTGTGGCTGCACCATTTTATTCTCCCATCAATAATGCAAAAGTGTTCCAATTTCTTGACATTATCACCAACACATTTGTTATTTTGTTTCTATCTTTTTAATATTAATAGTATCCATCCTATTGGTTGTGAAGTGGTATCTGATTGTAGTGTTGATTTGCATTTCCCTAATGATTAATGAGCATTTTTCATGTGCTTATTGGCCATTTGAGTATTTTCTTTGGAGAAGTCTCTTCAAGCCCTTTGCCCATTTTTGCATTGGGTTGTTTTTGTTGTTGTTTTTGAGTTCTAGAAATTCTCTCTATATTTGGATGTTAGACCTTTATGAGATATATGATTTGAAAATATTTTCTCCTATTCTATGGGTTGCCTATTTACTCTGATATATCTTTTGATGCACAAAAGTTTTAAATTCTCATGAAATCCAGTATATTTTTGTTGTTGCCTATGCCATTGGTGTCATATCCAAAAAATTATTTCCAAATTCAATGTTGTGAGTCTTTTGCACTACATTTTCTTCTAAGAGTTTGTAATTTTAGGTTTTACATTTAGGTCACTGATCCATTTTGAGTTAATTTTTGTATGTGGTGTAAGCATCCAACTTTATTCTTTTGCATGTGGATATCCAGTTTTCCCAGCACCATTTGTTAAAAAGACTGTCTTTATGTCAATGCTACACTATTTTGATTACTATAGCTTTGTAGTAAGTTTTGAAATCAGGAACTGTGAATCCTTCAACTTCATTGTTTTTCAAGATTACTTTGGTTATTTGGGGTCCCTTGAAATTCCATATGAATTTTAGGATGGATTTTTCTATTTCTACAGAAACATTGGGATTTGGACAAAGATCCATTGATTCTGTAGATTGATTTGTATAGTATTAACATTTTAACAATATTAAGTCTTCTAATCCATGAACATGGAATATCTTTTGTTTTTAAATTTCTTTAGTGTTTTGTAGTTTTCCTCATACAGGTCTTTCACCTTCTTGGTTAATTCCCAAATATTTCATTCTTTTTGATGCTATTTTAGATGGAATTGTTTAATTTCCTTTTTGGCTTTTTCACTGTTAGTATATAAAAATGCAACTAATTTTTATGTGGTTCTGTATTGTGCTATTTTGCTGAATTCATTTATTCTAATAGTTTTATTTTTTGGTGAACTCTTTAGGGTTATCTATATGGAAGAGCATATCATTTGTGAATAGAGATTATTTTACTTCTTCTTTTCTAATTTGGATGTTTTTTATTTTTTTCTTGCCTAATTGCTCTGGCTAGAACTTCCAGTGCTACATTGAATAGAAGTGGTGAAAGTGAGCATCCTCGCCCTGTTCCTGATTTTGGAGGAAACACTTTTAGTCTTTCATCATTGAATGTGATGTTCAATGTGGGTTTTTCATATATGGCTTTTATGTTGAGGTAGACTTCTATTCCTGGCTTGAGTGTTTTTTAATCACAAAAGGGTTTTGAATTTTGTCAATTTTTTTTTCTACATCAATAGAGATGATAATATAGTTTTTTCTTCCATTTTGTTAAGGTGCTGTATTACATTGATGGATTTTCATGTGTTGACTCATCCTTCCATCCTGGGAATAAATTCTACTTTATCAATGTGTTTGATCTTTTAATATGTTAATGAATTTAATTTGCTAATATTTTGTTGAGGATTTTTGTATCAGTGCCATAAAGGATATTGGTCTGTAGTTTTCATCTAGTATCTTTGTCTGGCTTTGGTATCAGAGAAGTGCTGTCTTTATAGAATAAGTTGGGAAGTTTTCTCTCCTTTTCAATTTTTTTGGAAGAGTTTAAAGAAGGATTGGTGTTGGTTCTTCCTTAAATGTTTGGTAGAATTCATCAGTGAAGCCATCAGGTTCAGGGCTTTTGTCAGGTTTTTTTTGTTCTTATTACTGATGCATACTCTTTTACTAGTTACAGGTCTATTCAGATTTTCTATTTCTTCATGATTTTATATTGGTAGGTTTTTTGTTTCCAGGAATGTGTTGATTTCATCTAGGTTATCCAATTATTTTGCATACAGTTGCTCATAGTACCCTCCTATAATCCTTTTTTATTTCTGTAGAATTGGTAGTAATGTCCTGACTTTCATTTCTGTCTTTAGTAATGAGTCTTTTCTTTTTTTCATAGTCAATTTAGCTAAAAGTTTATTAATTTTTGTTAATCTTTTTGAAAAACCAACTTTTGGTTTTGTTGATTTTTTTCTCGTTTTTCTATTCTGGTTTATGTGCTTTTATGTTTTTTATTTTTTTCCTCTGCTAGCTTTGGGTTTGCCACTGGTCTTGATATTTAATGTGTGAATAAGTATATGTTGCTGTCTTGTAAATTTGTTTATAAAAACTGTGTTTTTTTTATTGTATTATTTCAGAATATTATGGGGGTATAAATGTTTTGGTTACATGAATTGCTTTTGTACAGTTTGAGTCAAAGTTTTAAGTGTGTCCATCACTCATATAGTGTGCATTGTACCTGTTAGGTGTCAATTTACCCATCCCTTCCTCCCTGGTCCCATCTGCTTGATTTTGATTGAATTTTGCTACCATCTGTGTACATGAGTATTGATATATTAGTTCTAATTTAAGTGATTACACGTGGCTTTTTTTCCATTCTTGCGATACTTCACTTAAAAGGACAGTTTCCAGTTCCATCCAGGTTGTTACAAAAGGTATTAGTTCACCATTTTTTATGGCTGAGTAATACTCCATGGTATAAATATACCACACTTTATTAATCTACTCATGTATTGATGGGCACTTGGATTGTTTCCATATCTTTGTGATTGTGAATTCTGCTGCTATAAACATTCGAATGCAAGTGTCTTTTTTTATAAAATATCTTTTTCTCCTTTGGGTAAATGCCCAGTGGTGGGATTGCAGGATCAAATGGTAGGTTTACTTTAAGTTCTTTGAGGTATCTCCATACTATTTTCCATACAGGCTGTACTAGTTTTCATTCCTACCAAGAGTGTATAAGTGCTCCTTTCTCTCTGCATCCATGCCAGCAACTGTTGTTTTGGGACTTTTGATAAAAGCCATTCTCACTGGAGTTAGGTGATATCTCCCAGTTTTGATCTGCATTTTCCTGATGATTAGAGACGTTGAGCAACTGTGTTTTAACACCTTTCCTACCGCTCACGAGTTTTCTTGGGTTTCCCCGCGCCATCTGTTAAGGACCGCTCACGAGTTTTCTGTAGTTATGATGATTTAAATAACGTGCAGTTTGCTCCAAAACGTGCGGTCCCTGGTGTATAACTTAGAGATTTCTATGCGGTATGAAATGTGTTAACATAATTGGTTTCCTTTGTAATACTATATTTTAAATGCACTTGAAAACATTTAGGAGACACAGGTTTTGCCAGATTGCCAAAGGGGCCATGGGACAAAAAGGGTTAAAAACTTTACTCCTATCCAGAACACCTCTTCCCAAATTCCCAATCTTTACTACATACCCTGCTATTTTCCCTTTAAATCACTGGGTGTTAGACATGAATATCTTTGTTATTCCTTGAACAAAACAAATCTTCTACCTCATAGCTTTTACACTTGCTGTTTCTTCTGCCCGACTTGCTCGCAGGTGAGGCTTTATCATGCAAATATCACGCCCCAACTGTTTTTCATCTTCACTTTTTCTGACGGAAAGGACCTCAAGTAGTTTGGGAAGTAAAACAGAATTGAGGGACCCGGGGAAAGGCACACAGCATGTAGGTTCTGTACTGCGGTTAGCAAAACGTTTTACATAATTTTAATTTGAAGGAAACGTCTGAATTACTATTTGGATTTCCCTTTGGCATAAACAGCCAGAGAATGTAAACTAAGATCATAGACCTCGACTTCCACAATATACTATTTAATCCTAACACAATTCCAGAGGGTCAAAAAGGCGGAGAGTTTGCCCTCTAGGGTTCTGGAGCTAATAAACAGTAGAATTTGAATTCGAACCTAGGGCTGTGGGACAATAAAGCTCTTGCAATTTCGACACAAAGTGTCTCAGGTTAGCCAAGCCTACTCAGAACACCCTAAAAGCGGTGTTTTGCCAAATGGGGACACTGGAACCCTGGAGCTACAAAAAGTTCGCAGGCCAATTAGCCATTCAAAAACAAACCGTGGCTGCTTCCGCTTCCGGCATGATCAGTCCCTAATCCGCTATAACTAAGGGCTGACGCCTTAGCGATTCAGACGATGGATTTGGAACCCACTTTGCTACTGTGGATCTGATGCTCTTCTGAGAAACGGGGCAGTCGGAACCAACGGTAATAACGATAAAAATACAGTTCGCAGAAGACGGTAAAAGTTACTCTGGACTCCCAAGCACTCTGCCAGCAGCCAACCAATTATCTCGCGAGAGGACGGGTCCTCAGAAGGCACAAACCTAGCGCCCAAATTTTGCTGTCAAGTTAAATTCCGGGGTGCGGAAGTGGCTTCGTGGTGCCGCCTCTCGCTCAGAAATCAGCCCCCTTTCCACACCGAAAGCTAGATCTTCGCCCGCTATGGAAGGGCAGCAGGGCCAAGAAAGCCACGCAACCCTAGCACTTGCCCACGCTCACTTCAAAAAGGGCGAGTACACCGAGGCTGAGGCGCAGTACTCCGTTTACATTCGCCAGTGCGCCTATTTGGCCTCCTTCCGCGCGAATCCCGGGAGGTAACTATCGCGAGAAGTGGGCGGAGAGGGGGGCGGCTCCGTGTCTTCCCGGGTGGGTGCGCGGGTGTTGTCGCCTGGAACTCTTTTTCGTCCACCTGAGTTCACCTGTCTTGACCCAGCACCAGCATGCTTGTTTTCCCAGAAAGGCCAAGGCGAGGCCTAGGATGGGGTTGGCAGAGGACGCGGGGAGGGAGCCCACCCGTACGGAGCCGTCTGCGGGGACGGTGCGAGGAGCTTCCGCGAGCGGGGCCCCCAGCGCGGTTGTCCGCCACGGGCCGCTGCCTCTCGCCCCGGTGTCCTGCCTGCCACGTTGCTCACTGTCTGATCCAGAGACTTAGAGCCGACGGGGCTTTTCCACTCGTCACTGTAACAGGCGGGGTATCCAAGACCGGGGAGGGGAAGGAGACACGGCCGGGTGGTGCCGCGCTAGGACGCAGTACCGCGACTCCGACCAAAACCTCGGCGAGGGCTTTTGGTTTTGTTTTTCACTTGTTATGAAAAACAGTTAAGTATATAGAGACGAGTATAATGAACATCCAGGTATTTACCACTCGGCTTAAGCATTATCCGTTCTCCCAGACGTAGTATTCTTCCATGGATGTTTCATTGCTAAATATTAAGGATTCTTTTATTTTTATTTCAGGATATTATGGATATACAAATGTTTAGGTTACATAAATATTGCCTTTGCTGGACCCGAGTCGTGTCCCTACCCCCCATGGTGTGCACCGCACCCATTAGGTGTGAATATACCCATCCCCTACCTCCCCCTCCCACCTGCCGGACACCCGTTGAATGTTACCACCGTTTGTGCACATAAGTGTTGATCAGTTAGTACCAATTTGATGGTGAGTACATGTGGTGCTTATTTTTCCATTCTTGTGACACTTATTGGAATGGGCTCCAGCTCCATCCAGGATAATACAAAAAGTGTTAGTTCACTGTTGTTTTTTGTGGCTAAGGATTCTTAAAAAGACAAAACCATGACATCAATATTATCACATAATTTCTTAATATCAAATAGTCAGTGTTGGAACTTTCCTGACTGAAATGGTGTTTTGTTCTTCTGTTAGTTTAGCAGTGGTTCAAGTCAGGATACACATCAGGTCTCTCTTAATCTATAAGGCCCTCCCTCCCCTTTTTTTTCCCTTCAGTTTATTTGTTGAGGAGACCCGATTTGTCTGGCCTGAGTGTTTCCATATTTAAGATTACTGAATCTATTTCTCTGATGTCATTTAATACAGTCATCTGTTTCATATTGCTTGTGAATTGGTAGTTAAATCTTGAGATTTGATCCAATTCAGATTAAATACATGGCAAGAATACTTTATAGATACTTCCACCAGGAAGCATATAATGTCTGGTTGTCTTTCTTTTTGTGATGTTAAGAGCCCCACCTGCTAATATTTTGCTTGCCTAAGGCATCTTTGTGGTTTTTGCCCGGATGTGTAGCATTTGTTGTTGCTTCAAGTTTTACCTTTGTTGTGCTTGTTGATGGTATGAAGTGGACCAGGATGTAAAAAGAAAGAACAGAGAGGGGTTGGTTGAACAGCTTCTTTTTTTTTTCGTTTTTCTTTTTTTGACAGTTCTGAATTATCTGCACCATTACTCTCCTCTCCTCTCAAGGATTTCCTTTTTCTTGACAGGATGCCAGCTTTTCTTTTGTATGAGGCTTAATTAACTAAACACTAAAGACTTGATTCTTACCCTGTTTGTTAAACTGGAGTTAAACCAGAAAGATAAAATTGCTTTCTTATTTCAGTAATACACCAGAATTTAACTAATAGAAGTTTCTGAACAGGCAGTAAGATGGTACCACCATCTTTGTCTCAATGCACCCCTCCCAAAAGAAGAGATTAGTAAACATAGAAAACTTAGTTTCCTGTCCTTGTTTCAAGCTCTAAGAATAAACTTATCTAGTAGTAGCTTTCAAAAAGTATTTATCAGCAACAGGTATCTTGCTGAGGTCTAGTCTTGTTGTTAGTCCTCCTTTACACATCTCAGCCTTGGAATAAGTATCTGTAGCAAATGTAATACTAGCCCCTTACCAGCATAGGAAAGAAAATTTGCTGTGCCTTAGCAGAAGGGAGTTCAGCTTGCGTGAATTCCAGTCTTGGTTCTGCCACATGACTTGTACCTTTTCTCAGCTACAGTTTCTCACCTGTAAAAAGAGCCTTCAATTTCCTTACAGTTCTAAAATTCTTCTAGGAACTCATGGATTGAAATTGAATTTTGTCATTTCAGGTTTTCCCTTAAATTTGTCTTTTGGAGTTTACATTTATTTTTAAAATATTAGGTCATTGAATCATTTTGAAACAGTATTTTCAATCTTTGCCTTTCACTCTGAATGGTTTTTAACATTTTCTTTTAATATCCAAAAGCACAGCCTTAGCCATAAACCTAATTTCCAAATTTTTTGTTGTTGTTAAAGTTAGCAGATATTAAAAATCCACATTTGGATTAGGTAACCTGGTTAAATTCCATATAAGAAATACTATCATTGCAATGATTTTAATATTATAAAAAAAAATTTAGCTTCAGCTGTTAGCCCATTTCTTTAACATATGAAACAGAATTTCCACACAGAAAGTAGGCTTGTAGAATTTGTTGTCATGAGATCTAATTTTAAATCTAACATTCTGTGAGCCTCTGAATATATTAAGAATTAATATATAATTAACACATAGTTAATACTAAGAATTTATAACAGTTTTGAAGCTTGAAATTGAATGGCTGAAACCTTACTGGCATCCTAAGGTTGGTTTCTTCTTCATAGTCTCCTGGGCAGTGTATAACTAACTAGTGTCATAACACAGGTAGATGAAGGAAGTGTGCCCTCTTCTTCTCTAGGTTTTAACAGAGGTGCTAGTGGCATCCAGAAGTATCCTTGTACCCAGTCTCTCTCAGTCACAGCTCACAGAAGGAAAATTTTCTGAAATTGTGACAGTCTCTCTCCGTTATTGGCAAACTTAGATTGAAAGGGGCTCCTGGGCTGTGAGGACCTCTTATGTAGCAGTAGTTACAGTTCCTGTCTGAAATCTCAAGGATTGAGATGTTAAGAGAAATAGCTTTTATTATAGTAACACTGTCTATAGTTACATTTTCTGAGGACTATACCTTGCACTATGGAGTATAATAAAGAAATTACAGATAAATTTAACCTGCATCTTCTCTGTTTGGTGCAAATTTGAGAATCACTTTGAGAAAAAGAAAGGGAAACAAAATCGTCTCTGACTGAGCAAAGTCTCTAATGTTCTTTTTGCCGATTATTTGTCCTGTGTAAAGAAAGGTTCTGGGCAGCAAGGGACTGTGACCTGTTGAGCTGGTGGCTGGTCAGAGCTGCCTGGGGATCCAGTCCTTTGCAGGAAAGTCTGCTGATTTAAAGCTCTTTGAGCAGCCTCTAGAGCCCTCAGGTGCAGAGCCAGTTCTGCATGCAGGACCTCCAAAGTGGGCCAGAGTCCTGGGGAGACTAAAAGGGCCCACCCTCCTCAGAAGAAGCCAGCCTGGTGTTGGGAGTATTTCAGCTAAGGCCAGAGGGAGGGCAACTCTATACCTGTGGAGATCACTCCCTGGGGAGCAGTGTGCTGAATTTTCACCTACGGTTAACTCTCTTTAATGGTAGAAAGTGATTTCAAGTTTCATTGTTTTAAGGTCACTTAAACATTTGAGAATAAAGTTGATTCAAGTTGTGACATGTCCATAACAAACTCGAACTTTGGTCCGGCTTTCCCTTTGCTCAGCATGTGTCTGATCTGTCTTTGCCCTGTGTGCTTAGAAAATGAACAATCGTTTTAATATCCAGCAAAACAAGTTGGCAGTGAACAGGGGCTTTGAACACTCTATAAAATTAATGTGCTTTGCAGATTGACAGTGTAGTGGTATAGTACTACAAGAGTAGATAACAGGGCTAAACAAAAATGGATTTCAGTTTATTTATTTGTACCTTGTTTCTTCAGCTTGGTTTTTCAGTGTAGATACTGCATGTTACAGCCTATGAAGTTTGACAATACCCAAAAGAGAATGAAAGTGGAAATGAGAGGAATTTGGTAACACGGTATTTTTAATGTGAACTTTTTGTTTAAAGCAAATGCAGCCCTGAGGATTTGGCTACTGCATATAACAACAGGGGGCAAATCAAGTACTTCAGGGTTGATTTTTATGAAGCCATGGATGACTACACATCTGCCATAGAAGTCCAACCCAATTTTGAAGTTCCGTATTACAACAGAGGGTTGATACTGTATAGGCTGGGTAAGAATTTTTTTTTGTTTTTTTGCTTTTGTCATTGACTGTATTCTATTATTTCGGAGCTCTCAAATGTTGTAAACTAATGTGGTAATCAAGTTTTAAAGTTATGCAAAATTTAGGCTTACAGCATGGAACAAAGGAAGCGTACCTGAGTTTATTTTAGGCTTTCCATAGGCATGAATCACAGCAGAGCACTGGGGTGGGAATTGGACCTGGGCGCAGGAGTGGGGGTGACCCCATTCCATTGTGCCTGTGCATTCCCAGCTGTGAAATGAGGGTAATGCTGATGGTCGCCTGTAAAACTTTTCTGAGTTAAACTCTTTGAAGACACACAAGACAATAGAAAGTGAAGTTTAAAAGATCCTTGGATTAAAGGGACTATATAGGTAGTATTTCTCATTTTAAGTGTTAAAAAAAAGAAAATTTTCTGTTTCTTAATTTTACTGCAATTATGTAACCATAGGTGGTTTAGTCTTGTTGAACTTTTGTGATTTATGCTATTTATCTGTTAAATCTCAATAAAATAAGCCTATAGCTAATTTTAGGTATATTATTCCATAAGGGCACACAAAATTACTTTGATATACACACTCCTATATCATCATCATTAAGAGGAAAAAAATCCCTTTATTAGGAATGGTTGGAAGCTTGTAAATATAAAAGCAAAAGTATGTATATCCAAACTCTGCTATGAATAATATATAAAAATACTCAGCTTTTTTTCTCTTTTCCATTTCTTGGGTTCTGGTTACAGGATATTTTGATGATGCTTTGGAAGATTTCAAGAAGGTATTAGACATAAATCCTGGATTTCAAGATGCTGCTTTGAGCTTAAAACAGACTATTCTAGACAAGGAAGAAAAACAAAGAAGAAATATTGAAAATAATTATTGAGATTTTAAACTTTATGGAAATACTAAAGCATGATCCTTACACCTTCATTTAGTTGTATAATTTAAAATAGATATTGAGATATTTTGATTTATATTTAAGATAAAGAGATTCATGGATTAGTACTGAAATTTAAATAATGTGTTTAAGGTAGTTAATTCCAGGTTGAATAGGTATGTGTTTTGTAAAGTGTAAATAAATAATATCAATGTATAAGTGCATATTATTACAGTAAAATATTTAAGGAAACATAGGGTATTTTCTTTAGTAAAACTATTTTTTTTGCAATTTTTTATTCCTAATTGTTTATTAAAAAATTTTACATCTATGGAAAATTTGGAAGTATAATACAATAAATATCTATGAATTCTTTATGTAGATTCATCAGTTAACATTGTGCCACATTTGCTTTTTCTCTATATTTAAATATATAACTTTTGCTGAACGATTTGAAAATCAGGTGCAAAGATCACAACACTTCACCCCTAAATATTTTGGCCCACATCTTGTATGATTGAAGACATCCTCCTTTATAACCACAATACCATTAAAATACCTAATAAAATTAATAATTCTGTAATGTCATCCATGTCCAGCTCACATTTAGATTTCCTCAGTTATTTCCAAAATGGGTAGATTTTAATTTCTGGAACTAGAGCCATTCAAGTTTCATTGCATTTTGTTATGTCTCTTTGAGTTCTTTTAATCTAGTCTAGTCCCCTGCGCCTTTTCTCCCCATAGTCTTTGCTTGAGAGTAAAGCTGTTTTATATATCTAGGCTAGAGAGACATAACATTTGGGCTTAAAAATAAACACGTTTCTTAGAGCAGTTTGAAAGAATCTAACTTACACTTGGTTTTTCTCTAGAAATCATTGAGAAGATAGTTTAAGGTTTAAATAGTGAACAGTTTTCTGTTTCTGGGTAATGACAATTATTGTCATCATCAACATTTGCTGAATACATACTACAAGCCAAGCACTGTTCATGCTCTTTATATAATAAGTTAGAGGTGGAGGGGGAATCTATAGAGAGGCTAGGAAATGACAAAAATAGAAGCTTTAAAAAGTCAATTTTATTTGGGTACTTCCACCAAATGTTTAGGCTCTGATGAGGCTGTCAAGAACTGAAAATAAATTGAAGGGAGAATAAGCCAAAGTCAGCCATATCCCATCTCCTTTTTTTTTTTGGTTTTTATTGGTGTGGTCTGGCTTTCAAAGATTCAGACCCTGTATCTCAGGATCTCCTAAACTGGTTTATTACTGCTGTGGAAAGCTGTGTAGGATGGAAATTACCCTAATCGGGAGAAAGGAAAGTGTGTTTGCTTTGTGTCTTCAGAGGAAGGCTCAGAGTAATATCTGTGGCCTTCTCACATACAGTCACCATCGTCAGTGTAAAAAATTATTTTAATATAAGTGATCTCATGAAGCAGAAAAACTAATTGCCTTGTTTGTAGTCAATAAGTGATATCTGGCAAAATAAAGTGGAGAATTTAGGCTGCAGGTGAATGAATATTAAGAAATTAAGTTTGATGGCCTAGAAATGAAAAATCTCTATATTTCTGGAATTATTCACGTTTTCCAAAATGATTTATCTTTCTATTTGTCAGAAATGTCCAAAGGAACTTATAAAGTTGCATGAAAATGTAGAAAAATCCTTTTTAGGAAAACTTTTTTAAAAAAGCAAGTTCCCTAGACCAAGAATCATGTACTTAATACTTAAATACATTTCTCTTGGCTCTTATTCTCTTATTCTTGACTGGGGTCAGATGTACTATGAAAAGGAAAAATTGCTTAAAAATTTCATTTGGTTTTATCAGAAAAAAAATCCCTGAAGTTCAGAATCAGCACTTGCTGATTTGGGGACCCAGGCACTTATTTTTCTCTTGTCATGTTACTGGGAATAATTAAAGAATGATACATTTACCTCATTTAGCTTCAAAACTTTAGGCATTACACAGTCAGATTCTAAGTTTTTGGTGGACCAATACCTTTGATATTTACCTTAAAAGATATTCTTTATGAATGATAACATTCATGTTTCCCATATTTCATTATTTATTGAGTTCTTTCCTTTTCTATGAGAAAAGTACTCAAACTATATTGTTTTCCAGTTTTTTTTTTCTCTGCAAAAACAAAAGAATTGTTGTTTGTTATAAAGTTTGTCTTTCACAAAGTTAGGTCAAATAATGAATGGGTTTAAGTTACTTTTGAGTTTAGAAAATTACTCCTAAAAATTACTCAGCTTTAGAAAAGCTGATTGAATAGTTGCTATGTGAGCTAAGTGTAATTTTAACAGCTTTTATATGAATTCATATTTTGGTGTTTTCTACATTTCTCGAAAATGTGACAATAAATTATAGGAATGGAAGTCCCATAATTTAAAATGGCATCTGGTCAGACAGGGAAAGAGTGATTTGTTAAATTTTAGATCCAATGTTAGGGGACTTCAAAAGATATCATTATACTCTTTGCAAAAAGTAGTTTATGCTTTTTTTTTTTTTTGAGCATGTAGCTGTTTTTTTTCCTGAAATTTGGAACTCAATAATAGCAAACTACAGTCCAACTGGTGGAATAGCAAACTAAATTTCCAGCTTTTAGTCATCCATTTTCTCTTTTCTTTATCTTTCTTGGTTTTTCTGTCTTTCACTGCCTTCTCTACCCTCCCAATCCTAAATGTAGTCTTGGCTCCCTACCATTTTTCAGGTCTTAAATCTTTCTCCATGGATATAATAATATTTCAACTCTTCCTCTCAGGGCAAATCAGTTCAGCATTTACACCGATCCTCATCGCAGTGTATCCCTCTCTGCCAAGTCTAGACCACTTAACTCAGTTTCAAGTAATTAAACTTATCTCTTGCTTAATTATTTTAATTTGTCTTGGAATTGCTTCTGCTAAATGAAAAACTGTTAAATGAAAAAAATATTTCCATTAATTTTAATTGGAAAAAATATGAATTCCATTTTATCCCACGATACCTGCTTTTCACAGATAGAAAAATAATTGAGCAATGAAAACAAGTTTCGATAAGTAACAGCAGTTTGAAAGTAGACAGCTTCAATATAAACTGTAATAGCATGAATGTTTTCTATGTTTTTTTCTTCTTTTTAAAGTATTTAAAGAAACCAGCTCTATTGAGATATAATTCATGAATCATATGATTCACGCACTTAAAATGTACAATTCAGTAGGTTTAAAGTATATTCTGCTTTTGCACCATTTTTGAAAACCATTTTTTTCAAGTTTTTTGGGTCTCCTGGTCTTTCATGCAAACTGCACTTAATAATAAAGTTATAACAGAAAACACTTATAGGCAAATTAAAAGCTAAACCTGAGAGTGCTTCAAAATACATGACAGCCCATGCACAAAACAGATCTAAGAGTTCTAAATGATGTTACCTCTTCTGGTTTCATCCAAATATGTAGCATAGTTCCAGCGTGTTTCATGTGATACTCTCTGACTGGAAGCCTGTGCTAAGTAAATCAGAGGGTCCATCTCTGTCTGACACTGTGATGTTGAATTATTTAATGTGTTTGGTTTAACAGATAGTTATTTTTCAAAAAGTAATTGTTGACAAATGTAAACTTTTCAAGAGCCTACTGAAAAGCTGATTGAATAGTTGTGAGCTAAGTGTAATTTTAACAGCTTTTATATGAATTCACATTTTGGTGTTTTCTGCATTTCTCGAAAATGTGACAATAAATTATAGGAATGAAGTCCCATAATTAAAATGCATCTGGTCAGACAGGGAAAGAGTGATTTGTTAAATTTTAATCCAATGTTGGGACTTCAAAAGATAATCATAACTCTTTACAAAAAGTAGTTTATGCTTTTTTTTTTGAGACAGAGTCTCACTTTGTTGCCCAGGCTAGAGTGAGTGCCATGGCGTCAGCCTAGCTTATAGCAACCTCAAACTCCTGGGCTCAAGCAATTCTACTGCCTCAACCTCCCGAGTAGCTGGGACTACAGGCATGCACCACCATGCCTGGCTAATTTTTCTATATATTAGTTGCCAATTAATTTCTTTCTATTTATAGTAGAGACGGTCTTGCTCTTGCTCAGGCTGGTTTGAACTCCTGACCTCGAGCAATCCCCCCGCCTCGGCCTCCCAGAGAGCTAGGATTATAGGTGTAAACCACTGCGCCCGGCCAATGCTTTTTAAATTATAAGAAGGTAAAAGCACACACATCCATGTAGCAAAAGACAAATGATAAAAATAAGAAACCAATAAGGAAGTCCAAAACCAGAAATTATGAATATGCATATATTCATTAATCAGTATAACAGTAAAATAAGAGTCCAACAGTATAATCCTAGGTTTGTATATGTCAGCATACAATCATGCATGCAACAGTGTAGTGAAGAAGGTCTTATTTTTCACGGAGGAAGCTGAAGCTAAGAAATTCATTTGCCCAAAGTTATGTCCAAAATCCATATAAACATTTGAAACTTCAATTAGTATCAATTTTTTGCTGCTGGCATCAACTGAAAGCAGATAATGTGGGCTTTTTTTTTTGTCCTGATACAAAATCTAAATTGCTTATAAAATGTTTTTGTACCCGTCAAGGTGAATATCAAAACAATGTTAAGATATGTTTAATTTTTATAATGGAACATTATTGCAATGCTAGAATTGCTTGTTGGTCATTTTTCTCCCTTATTGAAAACAGACACAAAACATGGTGAAAAGCAGATTAATATTAAAAGCAAACTTCATTTGGAAACTTGAAAGCCATGGTTGCCAATGTGTAAATTTGTATCTTATGTTAAGAAAAAGCATCCAACACTTAGAAACAAGGTGAAAGGAGGATTTGCATGTCCTTTCAATATCATACCCACAGACCCACCCAAAGACTATATTAAATTTTTTAGGAGGCTTTTCTTTGATTTTCTACTTATGCTTGATTAGGGCCCAGACTCTGTGGGGTTGCATGTAACTTATAGATTTTTGTCTAGAGGAGCTGCAAATAAATTCTGTCTGGTGGAAAAGATAACCCCAAAGTTTTTGGCTTTGTTGCCCTGAAGAACAATAATGGGTTTTGTATCTAACCTAACAACTTTATTCCCAAATTCTTTCTTCATTGCCTGTAAGTACTCAGTTCTTCAAATGCTCTTTTACCACCCTGGTGGTTCTCTCATTAATGAGTTAAACATTTGTCATGTTTTCATCCTATATTCTTACAAGAGTCATGCTTAACTTTAAAAACAAAACATTTTGACACTGTTATTGAAAAAAATCAAAA